ATCCGTTCAAGGATATTAATTCCAAATCCTAATAGAGGTATCTAACGGACATTCATTTAATGTCCAAGGATATTCCGACCTGAATTGGACTGGAATTGGATATCCACAGAAAATCCGATGTTGCTCCCAGTACAGAGTACTAAGTCTGAATCGTGCGAAATCCCTCCTCTATACAAACTGGAAAAACTATGGAGGAGTGAGTTCTTCAGACGTACTTTTAAAATTTGTTCATATTTTTTTGAACATTTCACGAATATCCATAGGATATTCGTCCAAGGATATTAATTCCGAAATCTAACGGACATTCATTCAATGTTCAAGGATATTCCGACCTGAATTGGAATGGAATTTGATGTCCACTGAAAATCCAATGTTGCTTCCAGTACACAGTACTAAGTCTGAATCTTGCAAAATCCCTCCTCTATACAGACTAGAAAAACTATTGAAGGGTGATTTCTTCAGACATACTATTGAAATTTTGAAATTTGTTGATATTTTTTTAACATTCCACGAATATCCATAGGATATCCGTCCAAAGATACTAGTACCAAATCCTAATAGAGGTATCTCTAATCTAATGTTGCTTCCAGTACACAGTACTAAGTCTGAATTGTGCAAAATCCCTCCTCTTTAAATACTAGAAAAACTATTGGAGGATGAGTCACTAAATTTGAACCGTGAGAACAAGTATGAATATACTTTCAGAACAGAGACTTTAAAAATGTGGTAATCGAAACAGATTTGGAAAAAAATGTAATTTCAGAAGTATTTTCATTATATTTATGTGGTCTATTCGAAAATATGATCCCAAAAACCACTATTTGAAAGTTGAGTTCAAATTATTGCAAAGTTTGAAAACAATATTATTGGAACAAAATCAACTGTTGAAGTTTTATAATCATATTCGTAGTAATTGTTCCTAACCAAGCCATAAATTTTCACCTGCACATTCCTTTTATCAGTTTGATACTATTTTTAGTAGTACATAAGATTCACGGATAACAAACAGGGCGTTTTTCCTGCCCGATATACGGACACCTAAGACTAAGTTACTTCTTTAATAAAACCGATAATCATTTTTACTTACATTTTGAACATAAATCACATCCTCAAAAACTCCGAACAATCATTCAATATACATCTAACTTTTAAATGACGGTCCTACACACACATCACTGCCTAGAATATTACTAAGGAAATTCTTATCTCGAATCGCTTATCATCATTGTCAGTTTCACTATAAAGCGTTTGTTGTAATGGAATTTCTACGTGCAACAATTAAAAGTTCAAATGTCTGGAGCGCTGTCCACTTCCCGCTTTGCTCTGTTAATAATAATATCACACAATTTAGGTAATTGTGGGTAATTCGGCAGTGTAATAATTTTGTATTTGGGTTACCGCTGGAATGTGGGAGTAAATTAAATGGAATAATGCGTTTACCAATCGAGTCACAGGGAACACGCAGTGAAATTATTCGCATGACAAAGGCAGAGATACGTTTAATGTGATTGCTGAAGATGGCGAAAATTCACGAAACTGGTTCGAGTCGGTACAGTTTTCGTGTACTAATTATCATTCTAGACTCTGTTTCATCTCTTCTATGTTCAAAGATACATTCACAGTTGAGGAATGAAAAGGAATGCTTTTGTAGGTTTTTCGTTCATTTAAGAAGAATATTTTTGGGTCTATTTTGTATTTTGAAAAAAAAACTTCATAGTTGTTAGATTGGGTTAGGTCCAAAATGAGTGGGTCTATTCGTCCCTCCACCGCAACCCACAAGGATTTATTGAGGCTCACACCTATTCTCACTCGACCAAATAAACCCAGCTTCTTAACGAAGCCCTATTGTAGTCCAACAACTGTTTGGTATCAAGCTTCGAAGTGTGAACCAATCCTGGAAGATTCTGCCAGAAGTCCATAAATCTTCTTGCCATCCAGGTGTTCAATCTTTGTTTGGCAAAGCCTAAAGCGATGCCAGTGACAGGTTCTGACAGGGTCAGCGTTCTCCCTGACAATCTGTTAATCTATTAGTCTGTTGGTCTAACAAATCCCTATATATCAGGGACAAAAAGAAGACAACATAAGAAAATTAAATCATTTAGTTGAGGACATTTGAAGAACCTTCAATCATAACATTTGACGTAGATTTTTCGGTTTTATCTGATGATAACACACCATAATTTGTGCTTACACCTAATATCTTCTGAAATAAGCGAACATCTATCATTATGTGAATATTTAAAATACAAATGTTCTAACAATATTAAATGTATGTAAATTAATAAACATAGTTATCGGTTTTCACAAGTTATTTCTATTAAATACACATACGGACGCCACTGCCGGAAGAAAGCGACCTGAACGCTCATAAAAATCTTTGGCTCGCGACCCGTTTGCGATACAAAGATAGTGTGAATCCTGTAAAATGTTATAAACCCTCCTATTCGTGCTGTGGCAAATCTTAACGAAATCACCAAATTTTTTTTGAGCGATCTGTGAGCATTTTGCATTTATAATGAGCATTTATTATTTTTTACTATTAGAAGGCAGGGTATAATAATTTTGCATATCGAAAAAAAAACTGAGAAATTATGCAGATACTTATCTTAACGGTTCGTAAAGATAACGTAACGTTCTTCCAACTGCTGCTCGTTTGATCTGAAAATCTTTAATAAGTATGCTGTGTTTGTTAAATCATCCAAAGTAACTTTCATATTCTTTCATCTCCAATGCACATCCTGATTCACCAAAAACTTCAAGACAATTAATATACATATTTACAGAGCCCGTACTTTGTCAACAATGATTGTCTACCGTTTCCGTTCCAAAATCAACAACAATGAAAAACTTTGTTTAAGGAGTTCCTTTAGTATTTATGAACATTCTCCAAACAAAGTAATAACTGCATAAAGGAAGGAAATTGTTTGCCTCATTACGTGAAAAATAACTGAAGTCCATGCAAGGTATGAAAAATGAAATTTAATGAATTTTAGTAGTGGAAAATAGTTTTTATTCAAATTTTCCACCGAAACTACATCTTTTATCGAAAAAATGAAAATAAGAAAACTTTTTGAGAATTATTTTTCTTTCTTTGTTTCATTTTCCACCAAAATAATTTGCTTCTCATGAAATTTGGTAGAAACTACTACCAAATCACAGATACTATTTTGTATCTGTGAAAAACTGTATTTTTTGTGAAACGAAGGTTTTTGGCATTCTACTTCATACAAAAAATGTGGGAAACTTCACAAAGATGTGTAGATCATGCAAAGATAAGTAACTCAAACTGGAAGAAAAAGTCCTCTCGAAACAACTACTTTCCTATTCACATTTTCCGATAAATTTGTACATAGTTATTTTATTTTATACCGTGTGAAAGTAGATAGGCCAACAAAAAAAGCTTACTTTTAGTTTCGAGAGAATAAATATTTTGATAAAATCAAAGCCCTAACAACACCAGACAGCAGTGTTTCCACCCACCATAGGTTCATCATTGGTACCAGGCTGAACCACGGATGAATTGTTGTACTCAACTGTCTCTGAAAAAACAAGCTTCAGTTTGAATCAGTAGAAGATCCGTATAGAAACCTGTGAGGGGGTAAAGGCGCTGAAATCACTCCTTACGAAGACGCCATCTATAGAAAGCCTCAATAATTTCAAACCTGAACCACAGTAAAAATCAACCAGTAAGTCGCCACTTCCACTAATTTCATTCATAAATGCACCAAATTCTCGATTACCTCGAAACGAGGTGCAGAGCCAATTTCATTCTTTTACCATAGGCGTGCGCTCATATAATAATGTATTTTTTGCATCTACCATTTTCTAATTACTTAATAATAAAACGGATAATAACCAACTACAACATTAAAAACAGTAATAAGAACAGCGAATAAACTAAACACAATATCAATTTACGACCGTTTATTATAACTAATCCGATGCCTGTGGTACCGTCGAATCCTTCGATACTACAGCACTGAACGCGTTGGATGAGAATCTCATCCTAAGAGCAGTTGAAAGTCCCCGGCAACTTGGGCGGATCACGTGGTAAGAGAGTCTACTGGTTATATTATCCTACTGTGGCCAAACCACAGAATTGTTTACTATTCTGTGGCCAAACTTCGACATCGACCACTTTGCAGTGAAAAACAGAGGTCAACTCTCGTTCATTCTTTGAGATTGTCGTTAAAACGTACCGTCTTGGAGAGAAATACTTTGATTTAAAAAATACAACATATTTACAACACAATTGTAGGAGAATACAATCGAAAAAGGTTCCGATTTTTTCGTAAATTTTTAGGTTAGGTATCGGAAAAAATGATTCATCAAAGTTGTAGACCTTTAAATTATCGTCAACTTTCATAATCACCTTTTTTTAGAGGTCTGTTGTCTATTCGGTGGAAATCGTGAAGAGCTATTTTTTCTCCCCAAAAATTAACCCCATTTCATCCCCTTTACACATCGAATCGACTTTAATTCATTTCAGTCCTTTCCAACAATTCTACAACAAAAGTTAACCATTTTATTTGCTTAATGAATGAATGAAGTGTTTGCGTCTACTTTTATATTTTATAAAATATCAATATAAATTAAATGAGTTTTCGGTTGATAATTACATTTTTAATTTTTCTACAATTTTTTTTTTTAAATAATGTAATTCTGGTGTCTTTATTCTGGTTTCGCCATCTAATGCACGGAGGAAAGACAATGCTACAGACATTGTCTTTACATACACAGGACAGGCATTGTGGACAGGTATATTTTATAAAAGAATGTCTGGGCGGTTATTTTTGAGAATTTGAACTCATCATTCAGATAAATACAATGTTATAGTTACTCAAAACAATTATTATTCAACGTTATATTCCAATAACCAAAACGTACTATTACCTCAATTTTAGTAATTTAACATTTGATTATTTTTTTTTATATCTACTTCACAATATATGAATACACAATAGTAGGATTATTTGAACAATTCTAACTAGATTCAGTATATAATATAACTTCCCTGAAACAATGGAATGCCCTGTTTACCATAATTACATTTTACATTTAAAAATACAGCAGGCGTAGTATTTGACAGCAACTCGAATACATGTGAAGTAGTTTTTCAACCTATTATTCATCTATTAACAGATTTCTTTCAGTCTGAATCTTTTTGAGATAAATTTGTTGTAAAATGGAAACTTCAGAACCTGAATTCGATTATCAATTGGTTTTAGAAACATATGGATTACAGGTGAATAAATAAGTTCCTTTGTTAATTATCGGAAGCTTCTCGTTTCTAAATATTTTTATATGATTTAAAGTGAAAAATTTCCAATTAGAATAACCTAAAAATAACTGATGCAAAATATAATCTAATAAAAAAAATCGACCAAGTTCGTCAAGAACTGTTAGTAATTTGCTTTAAGATCCAAGATCATAAATACAATATACACTTATGTTATTCTGATCATTTTTTTATTACATTATAAATAATAACAGTGTTACTGCTCACTGTCTGTACATTGAAGAAATTATTTGAGAAAAAATATTATTGGGGGATCTTTATCAAGGCAATAGAACCCAAAACGATAATTTTTTAGAGTATCAGATATAAAATACTATACAGTTGAGCTGAAAATCTGGGAAAATAGTCAACTCATCTCAAATGAAATTTCATAGGAATGTTTTTTATGTTTTAATAATAAGTTTTACAAACAAGTTGGAGTTTTTAGCAATTTATTTATGAATTTTTCGTGTTTAGGTCATTTGGTGACCAAATGCAAATAAGTTTAAGAAACTACTTATACTTGACCTAATTCGTTTATGTAAAATTCAGGGTGAAAATGTGAAGAATGTTGCTGAAAGAAAAAATAAAACCTACATGCAATTTTATACTCAATATGACATTTTAAAGAAGCTCACAACAAAAAGAACACATGAACGTGATAATTTGATGGAAATATCACTGAACCAAAGAAAAAATATTCATAAACTCAAGAGAATCATCGAAAAACAATCAATTTTGAACAAATCCACTGCAGAGTTGGATAAAGAAACGTCTACTTTGAACTCAAAACTACAAAAACAATCGTAAGTTTTTTTGCATATATTTATGTTATCAAATATTCCAATTATATTTAGATAAACTACATTAAAATTCCATCTTTGGGTACTTTCCTTATTTTTGTTAGAGTCGTTGTATGATCATAACTATTTCAAAAGTAAGACTCATACACAAACCACATGAAGTAACTTGGCAAGTGAAACATTTTTCATAGAATGAATGAATGAATGTTGATCATGCAATTAGTTTCGCTCTGACTTTGTATCTACATATACAATAGAGCTGATCAAAAAGCCAAAAGTTTTCAGTGTTTTTATTAAATAGAAAATATGACCTAAAATCCAATCTATATTTTTTCAGGGACGATTTTATTAAAAAAATTGCTGCAATAGACGATGATTTAAAGAAGCTGCACTCACAGTTTGTAAGGCTATTAACTTCATCTTTATAACAATATTCTTTCAAAAAAACATATTTTTAAATTTTCAATTATGAGGAATTGAAATTATTTCAAGAAATACTCAATTTGGTTAATACTCTATTGGGTTGAACAATATATTTTCGTTTTTTTAGGAAGGAGAAACTGTTTCAACTTTAGTTAATAATGTTTCTAATGACCTTGGTTCATCAGAAAATATCAAAAAACATCTCCAAAGAGAGTATGAAAAACATTCCCAGGTCAAACTCGATGATTATGAGAGATTTCCTATTGTGAATATGTTCACCAACGAATTAGAAGAAGACCAGAAACTCAAGAATATTGAGAAAATAATATCAGAGAAAAGGGAGAAAATCGAGCATCTAACCATGGAAATTGAGAAAATGTCACAATTACATCAACTCTAGTATGATAAGATATGATTAAGTTTAAAAGTTCAGTTTGTTGAATTCTTTTTAATAAAATACAATATAAATAAATTTGTAACAAAAAATGAGATCAAGTTGTTTTTCTTAGAACTATATGTTCATCAGTTGATTTCAAAATCCGAGTAACTACTCTCCGCGTTTTTCTTTGTTTGTTCACTTTGTATATGCCTGGTCAAGTCTGTTGCAGTGCCACCTTTCCTTGAAACTTCTTCATCTATATTATCACCAGCTTCAATATCAAACAGCACCTTTTTTTTCACAAGTGAACCATCAGAAGGATAACTTTTCATTGCACTTTTGGTTTCAACTGTATGTTTATCATCACTCAACAGTATTGAATTCAAATCAGAATCAGTATCGCCTGTAATCGTTGGTATCGATTTTGACTGTAAGAATTTCAGTTCTTTAATGACGGCCGCCTGATTTTTTTCAACTTCTTTTGCAGGAGAAAGAATGTGGTTTGCAATGACTTCGCTTTCAGAATCAGTATCATACATGGATCTGTTTTTTATTGTCACTATCGGTTTGGATTTGGTCCTAGAAAACAGACAAAAAAAATTAATGGTAGTTAGTGGTGCACAAAAACAAACAAGAGTATTATAGGGATGTATGAAAACTCACTCATCCTCTTTGATTTTCTTTTTGTACCGAATTTTAACCAAATTGGGTTTTTCCTTATTTGAACTTAGAGATTTTTGAAGTCTTACAGTTCCTGCAGTATTCTTTTCAAAATCTAGACTAATGGATTTTTCAATGGACTTTTTCACTGAATCGTAATTAGGCAGGAACTAAAAATAATCCAAAATTATCAAATGTGCCTGCAGCTAATCAAATATTACCTTTTTGCTGAGACTAGCTTGGTGTTCAACAATTTCCAAAGCTCTTTGAAAAGTTTTCTTTGGAATGCCTTTCCAGTTTGGGGAAATACCCATCTCCTGTAGTCTGGAATATAGAATGTCATTCATTTTCTGTCTCAATTTCTCCACCGTTTGTTTATTATCCACTGGTATGGTTTTCTTTACATCGACAGGGTGTTTTTCAACGTGTTTTGGTTTCTCCACAGTTACATTTCTTTTTTCCACACGCTTTCTTTTATCAATCATTTTCTTTTCTTCAAGTTTATCACCAACCATAGCAACACTTTCTTTCAGATTACTGATTGTCTCTGGTGGATTTTTCTCAGTGGATTCGGAATCGCTTTCAGTTTCAGAATCTAAGGTGTCATACATATTACCTACTGCATTTTGAACCAATTTTTGTTCATTATTTTTTGCTCTAGAAAGAATGGCACCTAATTCTGTTCTTATTTTTTCTACTTCTCTTGAGGTTTCTTCAGTTTTTGGCAAAGTGGTGGGTTTACTGAACTTAGTTCTTGGTTTTATTATTGGTTTATCATCGTGTGCGTGTGTTATTTTAGCAGATAATGATGAAACCGGTATGGACTGCTCAATTTTGTCAACAGTAATGTTTTGATTCGATTCCAGCTTAGACAATTTCTCGTAAAACACTTTCATTTGATTCTCTATACTGAAGAGTCCCGTTGATATCTGAAATACAGCATATGTCTTGATATCAAGTCAACATTACTTCTTGACTTCTCTGGGTATTTTAACCTAAACAGCCAAGATACAACAATTAAACAATGGAGATGGAAACAATTCTCCATGAAGACCCTCAAAAAAGCGAACTGCTTCAACAAAGCAGTGATTGGCTCAGAGCACACTGGTCACTGTCCATTGAGAGGACACCTGAACAAAATTGGGCTGCAAGCAATGCAACAAAAGAACAGAGACAGCTCGTCATATTTTATGCAAATGTGAGGCTATGGATCACAGAAGGTAAACAATTTATGAACAATCCAAATTATGTCCAAAAGAATATGACGAATGAAAAGAATAAGAAACATCACACACAGAGGTATTTGGGAAATTATGGAGTTCCTAAACTTTGAAATCTGCTAAATACAAGTACCTCCTACTATTCATTCTACTCTGGGGAGAAATTCTTACATTTCTAATGTATGTTGAGACTAAAGTTTCAAAAGGTAGAATATTTCTCTATTTTCTATGTTAAGGGTTTTACTCAAGGTCTGACTAGTCTCATAAAATTTTATCAGCTTAATCTAATTCAGTAGTAGAATGTTTAATGACAAACTATATATGCCTGAACAAATAATTTTATGTTGAAACTCGATGTGAAAATCTCGTAGCAAAATGTTGAATGAATTTATCAATAGAAAATCTAGGCAAGTTTAATCATGAAACAAACTGAAAGTTAATGCATAATAAACTCAAACTGATTGATTTTTTCGGTGAATCGTGACAGCTCAATATAAATATCCATGAAAGTCTTTATGTAATGTACCGGAGTTTAGTGTGTTCTACTCTTCCACTTAACGACATTATATACAAGGAATAATGTGCAGTTTAAATTCAACAAGAATATGATAAGTTGTATGAACTGACCCACCAAAAAAAAATGATTATGATATAACAGTTACTGAGTATAAGTAAGCATAGACATCTCCTCTCACATAGAGGGCATTTATGGGATCCTTACTTTATTCTCTAAAATTTCCCCAAAAGCATTCATTTTCTTTTCCAGAATTTCATTTTGGACATGATCATCTTCTGCGGTTAATTCCTCAGTACTACCTTCCTTGAATTCATAGCAATTTGTATTATGAATTGTTTCTATCTGAAGCTTTTCTGATTTTTCAGCGTTTTCAGTCTGTGTTGTACTTTCTTTCATGTTAGAATGCTCTACTGAAGATTTCTTGACATTTTGAACTTCTTGCTCTTTTCTTTGATCATCTTCTCTATTTCTGTATTCCAATACAATGTTGAATAATTTATTATATTTGTCATCATAAAAGTTCTTCTCAGAATATAATGTCTCTATTTTATTCTCAACATGCTCTCTGAATTTCTCAAAGTTTTTGTGGATTTCATTAATTAGTTTACTAGCATCAAATTCATCATCCCTCAATTTATCTGACTCAATTTCATCACTGTCCTTTTGAATACGTTTTTCAGTATTATTGAGCCTTTCTTTCAACTCTTTGATTTCCAAATGCAGTTTTTCAGCCTCAATGTTCGGATTTAATTTATCTTCTTCATTATGTCTTCTTTTCAAATGGGAATTTAAATATTCCTCTGTTGAGAAAGCTTTCGAGCATTTTTCACATTTAAAAGTCGCAACCAAGTTACTTTTTGTCAAAACTGATATATGAGTTTCCAATTCTTCTGTATATGACCTCATCTGTTTCATTTCCTAAAAAACAAGACAAGAAAAATTTTAAGGATGGACGATATGAAAGATTGTCGAAATAGTTGGAAAATCTTGATGAAAACTGAAATACAACAAACATTGGGCCATTTTTTTCAGAAGTACTTTGTTTCGTTTGAAGTACTGTCTGCCACAAAAATGATAAAATGTGATTTTTTTCAAAATTCTTCATTGTTTAATTGATACACACAATATCAGTACTTCTTAATTGAACGTATTTGCATAGAAACAAAACTGAAAGTATTAAATGTACACACATAGATGGAATACAATTTTCAAATATTTTTTTAAAATATTCATTCTATAAAAATAATAACAATAAAAACGCCTTAGTGGTGGGCCTTAAGGAAATGGACATGCCACGAAAATGACAGTTTCAACTTTTATTCGTGAATAATATCTTTTACATATACCTTCATCTTTTTGAAATATTTTATAGTGAGAAAAGTTTCACGTAAATTTCAAATGAGATAATTGAGGTGGAAGACACATTTGATTATATCTATGTATTATTAAACCGGAAACTGAATTTCAAAGAGCATGAAATAATTGACTGGAGTAGACTTCATCTCCTGAACAGTACTTCATCTCCTGAAGATGCCAACTTGGCTATCTCAACCCAAATGTAAGAAATAATTACTTTCAACTCTGAGCACCACATTAACATTCAATTCTTATGACTTACATCAAGACGGGTGCATAAAAATAGCTTCAGTGATAAAAGTTCAGTGTTCATGTTTTGTAATTTGTATATAATTAATTTCTGACAATATAAAACTCTCCTTATGTATTGGTCAAATATAAAACCAATAAACCATTTTCATTCTTGGGAGATGCACCCACCTGTTTCAATTTTACAATATCCTGTTTGAGAATAGTCACTGTATGGTCTAGATACTTTTTACAGAACAGTAAATATTCAATAGATAACTGGCTCATTCGAAAAAAATTTACAAAGTTTGTATCTAGGATTTCAACTTGTTCACCTTCTAATACATACTGCAGTACTGTTGAAATGTGTTTCTCAACTGAAGAAAAATCTCGATCTTTTATAATTCGGTCTATGTCAACCATATCTGAAAGGATAATATGAATTTGGGAAAAGGAATATTATTCATGTCTCTACAAACATATTTTATTTTTATCCAAACTAGTATATTTGGATTTTCCAAATGAAAATCCTGCATCCCAAGCCAAACGAACATAATCATAATGCCATTTATGATTTTCGGCTTCAAGCCACATTTTATAAAGAAAAGTGGAAGTAAGGATAGTTAAAATATATTCAAAATTTCATGTTAATTTTCATTAATTTGTTTATATGTATGTTTCTTCTTCTTTTCTATTGAAAGGCATCATCAAGTAGAGGTATCCGGTCAGTTGGTTTCTAAACATGTCTAATGTATGTTCTGTGAAACCACGATTAACTGGTTCGCAATAAAGTTAAAATATCTTGACTTTTTTTCTACACTTCTAAAGCAGGCATTTTATTCGTCTTTCTCTTCTCTTTTTTATGGTCTCCGCTTCCCTTCGGCGCAGTATACCAGAGGCATTTTATTCGAAAAAAAATCACGAATTCGAAAGCGCACTGATGCGCCTTAATTAATTATCTGCGGTTAAGGTCTGAATTATTGGAAAGGATGGTCAGGTTGGGTTAGATCTAAAATGAGTGGGTCTATTTGACCCTCCACCGCAACCCGCAAGGGTTTATTGTGGCCCATACCTATTCACACTCGATCAAATAAACCCAACTTCTTAACGAAGCCGATTGGTTCGTATGGTTAGTGGTATTTCAGGTCAGATTGTAAGAGTACGGCTCTGCCGAACTCTAAAAACCTGATTCGGTCCCCAGCCTGACAGGCACAAAGTATGTGCTCTGCTGTTTCATCTTTTTTCAAACAGAGGCGACACACACTGTCTTCCGACAGTCCGAGTCACTGTATATCATGATTCAAATGACAAGGACCTGTGAGAAGGCCTGTTAGACATCGTAGTTCATCCCTACTGTATTCCAACAACTATTTTGTATCAAGTTTGGAAGGGTGAATGAATGCTTTGTTGGAATGAGCCAATCCTGGAAGATTCTGCCTGAAGTCCACAAATCTTCTTACCGTCTATCATCTTGCCATCTTTGTTTGGCAAAGCCTAAAGCAATGTCAATAACAGGTTCTGGTCCGATGAAGCTGCTTGCAACACCCTATCCTTTGCAAGGGAGTCAGCAGCCTCATCACCTTCCAGGCCAGTAGTGTAAATTTCCGCTTGAAATTGAGTCGCATAGATTCCTAGGCAGGTTGATATCTCTGTCCTGGGTCTCTGTCTATGTCTAATTCATCTAATGAATTACGGAACAGAAGAACACTCTCTAAAACTCTTCAACTTTATATTCCACCTGTTATCACATAATACCTCAGAGTATATTATCACTCTGAGCAGAATACCATGATACTCTCATTTACTGTGGTTCTGTCTCAGCTCACAACATACCAGCACCCAGCACATATACCAGTGAAATGTATACTGGTACTGGTAGTATAGAGTTCACTGCAGCATACTAACCCTAAACATAAACACAAGCCGTTTAATACAAGAGTATAGAACATAACAATGTTCTATGATTAAACGTCAAATTTCAAATGATAATGTCATCTATTATCATTTTCAGATTTTTTGTATATTCGTAAACAATAGCGATTTCTGAATTCGTTGACGATATGCTTGGAATAAATAATAGTAAATTCTATTTATAACTCATGATGATGAGACTTGAAAGTGATTTTGGAGGTCACTATAATAAACCAATTAATGGTTCAATATTCCTTTGGAATAAATAATATCTTATTAAAGGTTATACCAAAAATATACTTCTTTAATTAATTGTACCTGATATTTTTAAATGTTAGCGTTATCTAAATCACGCGCATCAGATAAAAACAATAAAAGACTAGTCAGATAAATTGATCAACCTTTATATGACAAATTGTTGAACCTTTGATACCAGTAGCCAATGGTCCAGTATGTGATAAAAATGGGTCAAAATTCCAGCTTACCTAAAGGTAGAAGAAAATCTTTGCGATCATTTTCCAAAAAAGGAGGTTCTAGAAAAAATTCTCTAAGCCATACATTCACCATTAATGAAAATGATGATAGAATAGATCGATTGAATATTAATATAGCTAGTGAAGAAGAACTAATGACACTAGATGGAGTGAACAGGGAAATTGCCAAAAGTATAGTAGAACATAGAAAAGCAATTGGCAGGTTTCGAAAAGTGGAAGATTTAGCTGTTGTTCGGGGCATTGGTGCTGATAAGCTACAATATCTGCGACCAGAAATATGTGTTTCCTCCAGAAGAAGTCAAAATTCGGCATCGTCGAGAGCACAGAGCTATGATAGCTTGAGGAGTACAGAGTCCAGATTAACTTTGAAATCAAACAGACTTGTTAATATAAATAAAGCAACCATATTTGATCTTCAAGGAATAAATGGAGTTTCTCAGGAAGTAGCTGCTGCAATTATTCATTATCGTAATAAAAAAGGAAATTTTCAACAGGTAATAATCAATTTATTATAAGAACATCATTGTTTTGGTACTTTTCTGATCAAGAATACATTTTCTTATTTCAAAAATGTCAATTCATCTACATTTGAATTAACTTTTTTGTTTATAAAGGTGGAAGATTTGTTGAAGGTCAAAAATATGGATCATATGCGATTTTATAATATGAGCAGATATTTAACAGTTGATGATGAGGATGACTTCTTTGACATTGAAGACCCAAGACCAAGCATATTAACAAATGGGTTCACTAACTCGAACTGTATTGGGAGAAGCCATAGTGTACCTAAAAGACTGTCTATCACCAACGGCTTAACCAATTCCTCTGCTGCAGATATATTTGACCTGCTATCTGCATATTCACCTAGGCCTATAATTCAGGAAATTTTTCGATTCTCTCGCAATGATGAACCAGCCATTCGAATGGCTTCTTGGAATTTGCATGAGTTCTCCTTTGAAAAATCTAATAACCTAGGAGTTAAAGAAGTTATTTGTAGAACCATACTGGAAAACGGGTGAGAAACCATTCTTATAAAACACGGCCAAATTTATCAATCCTTTCTGTTCTAGGTTGTCCCTAATAGCTGTCCAAGATGTTGTGAATGCAACTGCTCTTCGAACAATTTGTGAAGAATTGAATACACCAAAACTTCAGAGGGTAAAAGAATGGGGTTTCTGGAACCATCACAATTGGAATTTCTGTATGTTGGACGTGCATGATAGTAAATTAGGTTTTATTTATGATTCTGATGGAGGTGAGTTGTTGAACTTTCTTTTTATTTTTAAAAAAATATCAATTATTCCAGTATCCTGATTCAATGAATTGGTAAATCAGATATTATAACTAATTAATGATTTTGATTTTACCTTGATCATAATGTGTTCATGTTTTTCAGAGGCATGTTTCTCATTAATTTGTTTATGTATGTTGCCTCTAATAACTCTCAAGCTAATTATGTCTAAATTGAGGCCTTGAAGAGTATGATTGCTTTTTTTTATGCTTCCCACTGATATACATTTTCCGTCACATAAATATCAAGTAAAATCACAAGTAATTCCACAATTGGTGGAATTTACATATTTCAATTTCACTTTCAATTCAACTCTAGTAATTATTACTAGATGAAATTAGTATTCTTAATTCTATTATATTTGCTGGGTCTGAAGATGAATTATTATTTATTTGAAACAGAAATTAGTGAAGGACTTGAAAAGTTTGGTTTGCTTTTTCTCACCTGGCCCCGTACTCTCATTATCCAGGTATAAACAAAAAAAATGTCCTAGTTGTAGGACTTTCTCTTTCAGTTTGTATCTGAATTAAACTTCGGTCTACATTCTACATTTTTTGGAGGTTTCCCACATTTTTGGTTTAATAATGGAGAAGGAAACCAAAAATCTTTTTTACGAAAACTAATCTCTCCTAAAAATATTCCCTTGAATGAAATTAATGCCAATTTTTTAATCTATATGATGCCTATGTAATTTTCTCTAGATGTTGTGTATCTTTAATAATCGGTCATTACTTTTTCAGTTACTGCCACAGATTTGTTATCCTTGAACAAAGGACCAGATGAAACAAACAATGAATGTGACGCCTTAATTGCATCTTTCAGAGTGGGAAATCTTAATATGCAATTAGTCAATTTGAGTTTGAATAGGGGTGCCAACATTGAAATTCTGAACCAAAAATTTAAAGACTTGACATCGGAAGGCGATTTTTTGATGGTTTTTATAGATTATACAAATGTTGACATTACTGGTGAGTTGAAGTTATTTATAATTCAGCACTAAGTTGAATAATATATCTATCTGTTAGTGTTGGCAACAAAAAATTAAGTTGTACTGATCAAGAGAAACACTTTTAGGCATCACAATTGATGAGTTTATAAACTGGTTGCAAAGTTAAACTCTGTTTTATGTTTTGACAGCTGAGAGAAGTACTCTCATGTAAGAAATTACTCATATTGTAAGTTCATACATTGTTTGGGGTAGGGTAATTCACTAAAAAGTAACCCCTTGCTATGATTTTGGGTCAATTTCATGAAATCCATCGGTATATATTAATTATTCTGTGAAAATATTCAATTTTCCAACTCCGATATCCAGCAATTCAAGTATTCCAGTATGCAGGAGATTAGTTCTAGTCATTCCCACTATCGTTTCCATTCTTTATATATATCATATAGTACAATTATTGACCTACCATATGTACATTGAATATTGAAAATGGTCAATGAAGATTTTTAATATTTTCAATAATTGTTCTCAAAATCTGAGAAATCATCGACGACTCGCGTTTGTATACCCATAGTTGGGATAATGTAAGAATTCACATGCAACATCAATAAAATACAAGGGTTATAGTTCAATTATTAAAGTTTTTTCATTGTTTTTTTTTCTGAAATTTGACAGAACGTGTGTAATATCTGTGCAGCAGTATGACATTACTAGTATCACAAATGCTATACTTTAAATGACATCCTTTTCTTGTACAAAATAGTTAATTTGGGTTAAACTAAAAAGAACTTTGGTTTGCATGAGTACATCAGACAGAGACGGATATACAAATATGAGTCATCTGCAATTTCTCAGATTTTGAAACCAATTGGAATAACGTAGAAATACACATGCATCATCAATAAAATACAAAGGATTGAAGTTCAATAATCAATGGTTTTTCATTGTTTATTCTGATTTTATGTTGAAGTTATAAAGGTTTGTTCCCATGACAGATGATTTGGTTCAAATCATCTGTCATTTGACAGTTTACATTGTGTATTGAATGTTTCTACGGTTTAAATTCATTAATACTATTCAAATAGTTGTTTTCACAATCAATGTATTGCAGGCATTTCATATTTCACAGTAAGTAAATTTTGAATCGCAATAATACAATGTATCTAATATATTTAGTGCAAGCTGTTATTCAAAGCTGTAGCTCTGTGTTGTTTTCCTTTTTCTCATGTTGAAGAATAGGATATCATATAAAAGTATGTGTTTTAGTGGGAATTTTATTGATGATGTGTATTCTTTCTTTGTTTCAACTGTATCTATGTTTAATTTTAGAATGTTAGTGTGTATAATGTGAAATGTATGAGTTTTAACAATAAGTGTTTTTCATTTCTGATGAAAATTTGGTTTCCAGATGAACACCTATCTATCGGCAGTTTGAAATCGGTACTGTCAAGAAATGCAAATACAACATTTGTGAAAAACATTCATAAAGGTGCAAACCATACATCGAATATACTTTACAACCCAAAAGTTCAACTCCAACTAACAGGAACTAATGGGATCATCAAGCAAGGCTTGATACATCTGGCCATACCTAATGGATGGTCATGGGGTGGCCCCGTATCACCTTACTGTCCCGTATACACCGAAATGTTTGTTAACTTAGTGACAGATGATAATTTGTGATATTTATTTATATTTCAATTGATTTTAATTGTTTTTGATTTGTTCTCACTTTTTTGTTATCATTCAGATGAGGATAAAAATGGATTGATCGACATCACACACAACTTTTCATTGAGGTCAGTTGGTGATAATGAAACTACATCTTTTTAATTTTTTCAATTAGTAATTTCATGTTGATATGAGGTGTGTTCAGAAAATAACAGGAATTTATAAATTTCACTGGTTTGAGAAGTCCAGTTATCATAAAATCGAGTTTGAGAATTGTTTCGAGAATTGGAAGAACTGCTGGCACAAGTTCATAATATCTAATGGGAACTATTCTGAATGCAACAACATTGATGTGTTCGTAAAGTCCAGTTATCATTTTTTCTATTATATTGATATACATGCTTCTGAAGTATGAAATAACTTTGAGCTGTATTCATTGTTCACTTTGTCGCTAAGGTTAGAGATGCTTTCAAGAACAGGTGATGAAATATGATTCGCCAAGACCAAAAAGGCTCGAAAAGTGCGATCAAATGTGAAGGTTATACTCACGAGGTCAAAAAATTAATGAGGATTTGTGGAAAAGAATTCATAGGTTTTGCAGCATGATAATGCACACGGCATCACTTGTTCTTGAAATTTTGGCTAAAACCAATCCTGAAACGATGCCTCAGTCTCCATATTGGCCAAATATGGCTCCGTGTGACTTCTTCTATTTCCATACATAAATAAGGAGAACCTTAAGCGCCGTCGTTCTTCAAGCAAACAGGACATTGAAATCGCATCACTGATAGACAACGGCTATATCAAAGATCGAGTTTGAGAATTGTTTCGAGAATTGGAAGAACTGCTGGCACAAGTTCATAATATCTAATGGGAACTATTCTGAATGCGACAACATTGATGTGGACGAGTAGATTTTTTTTTGAAAAACGAAAATTTCCGTTACTTTCTCAACAGACAACGTATATTGGCATATCAATTCATTTATATTCGACATTCACACTTTTGCGCTTTTATTTTTTTACTTGTTAAGATAAAACTTCAAACGAAATTGTGAAAAGTACTTAATTTATTTGTAAGTTTTCTTATTATAAAACAAAATTAAATACCGTACTTTTTTCATGAGTTTTGTATTACAGCCTTAACCAAACTTTGAATGGGACTCTTAGGTTAGATTTTTAAAAGAAATGTACCTTTTTTGAGAGAATCATTTGTAGACCTGTTTTCTATTTTATCGCACTAGCACTGCAAGTACATGTAAAAAAAAGGGCTTATCCTGTGAAGCCTCTTGTCTCAACACATAGTCCTAAATGTTCCTTGCTGCGAGTACCTCACTATATTAGAAGAATTAAGAATTATTTGAAATCATCAATTTTCTTGTAAGTTCAACTCTGCGTTGTAGCAAAGAAATAAAAATATATTTTATCTTGCATGCAAATCTGCCAAGTCTCTAATATTGAAAATTCAATTATTCATTTCATATGCAGTATCACACAGAAGTTTTTTTTTATCAATAGATTTATTCAAAATTTGATTCTGCAGTAATTTTGTGCTTGAGAAATGAATAAAAACCGGCCTCTTTCCCTTTCTCATGTGTTTTTTGGAAATTTCCAAAAACGCCAAAGCAAAAAGTTGCTTGGTTTCTAATTTTATACGTTTTCTCTGAATTTGAACTCTTGTCACTTTGACTTTGTGTCAAATTCATAATTTTGATGCATATGACGATGCATTTCATTGAAAAACTGATTCATATTTTGATAGTAAGGAAGTTGATATGCCTATAAACGAGTAAATGATTTTCTCTTTGATCCTATTACACTCCTATTTCTTTTCAAATGATTTTTATTCAGTTAGATTATTTTTTGACCAATACTTCAATCACAAACAAACCCGAAATATCATACTTTCCTGTAAGCTGAAGAATGACCTACAGTTTCATAATTATCCTAGACTTTCGTTCTGGCAAATTGAACTAAATATGATATTAAATATCGTGATTTTAAACAATACAAGACTAATGCAACATCTCGAGAAGAAAATAGTGAAACTGATTGAATCGAAATGAAATTTTCCTTGAAACAAATTTTTAGTTTTGATGATTTTCAAAAAAAGTAGAATTTGACAGGTTGAGGGTAGCATATGACAAAATGAAAGAGTGTTTCAGTCATTTCTCAAGGAGGGTAGCATATGACAAAATGAAAGAGTGTTTCAGTCATTTCTCAAGGACAAATTCACTGCGTAACCAAATTTCAAATAAATCTAATAATAAAAGAACTTCCATGTATTGAGGACTTTATGTATAACAAAAATGTGATAGAACTGACCGATACTTGATGAAAATCCATTATGTTTTCAAAAAACACTATGAAATTTTCAGTTTTGACGGCGATACTTGTTTCGCTATACAATCATCTTCAGGCGTCACAATACTGACTGAATAAATTCTGTCTCATGCTTGTATATTCATTTGAATACAACCACAAAAATACATTACATAAAATATGAGGTCTTCAATAAAACTTTAACGAGTTGTTCCTAGAAAGGTAAATATTTTAGGTGATGAATTTATCAGGTAGAAATTGGTCATTAGGATTTGGATTCAAATTGCATCTAACATGACCCAGAATTTGTTAAGACAGTATTGCGACTCTTGAAGATGCTATTGTATAGCGAACACGTGTCACAGTTTTGTAAACTGTTGTGACAGTGTATATGAGCAAATGTCAAAATTCCATCCACAAATTTCACTCAGTTCATTTTCAAACATGTCACTATTTTATATTGGGCTGTGTTTCACTTAAGAATGATTGTGATAATGTAGAATGTATCATGATGTAGAGGTAATATTCGTATACTGAACTTATTATTGTTGTGGTTTAAACAAATGTTGGTAATTGATTGCGTTTCAAAGACGATATCAATGCCATAGTTTTCATCTCACTAAAATCTAAAACTCTAATACACCTTTTTTAAAAAATACGTCACTGTAAAGTAATGGCGTGGTTTTATGGAGTTGGACATTTTTTCTCTGTTTCGAAGGTACAAGATGAATTTTACAAAAACTAGATGGTAATAAAATACGTTAGTGTGAAAAATTGTGTGGTTTTATGAAATTGGTATTTTTTTTCCTTTATTTTGAGGCCACGAAATGATTTTTACTATGAATAGACGCAATATTTCACCAACAAACGGTTTTCCATATACTTATACATCACAAATAATCTATTTTGTCTTCATAAATTTTATTTATTTTGAAATAAATTTTATTTTGTTATCTCAAAAGTGTTTTTTATTTGGATTAAGGTTAGTAGTCATAATACATGTTACGACCATATATCACTCGAAAAAAAAATAATGGAATAGAATAGTCATAATCAGTTATAGAACTTTCAAGAAAAAATACCCATCAACACACTGAGGTTTTGTAAACTTGTCTGTGTTCATACAGTATAAACACACCACTAAACCAAAACAAAAATTGGAGAATAAAACAATTCAAAGTTATGCGATATAAACTATGTATAATGATTTAGCTTTGTTTCAGTCAAACTGATGAAGCTACTGTGTAGCGAAACGGGTCTTCAATAAAATGTATTGTGAAAATTCTATTATGAAAAGTTTGTTTATTTTTCAGAATGTGGAAAGCTATATGCCCAAAAATACTGATACACTCAAACTCCATTCATAAATTGAAAGTCTATAAATTAATTTTGATAGAAATGAAATAAAATCTTTCAATTTAAATAGTAAGGTAAATTCTATAGAGGAAACATGAGACTCATTGTTAAATATATTGAAAACAATAGATTTTTTTGTAAAAATTTCCTATTTAACAATTCAATGGTAACTTTTTTCAAATTATCTGTTGTTTGTCGCATACTGATATTGAATATTGTATTTTTGAATAAAAACTCAATATATTGTAGAGAAATACATTTACAGATTTCAAACAGAATACTAAACAGTGGAGTATATATTCATCATGAGTTTCCAATAGACTTGCTGATAACATATAAAACTAGTTATACAAGAATATTCAACATTCATTTCCTTGAAAATTATAATATCTTCCATTAATTTTGACTTTCTTTATATTATAAACATAAATGAGGATTTTGAGTATTCAACCATAATACCATCATTTTTAGATCTTTACCAATGTTTTCCTCTTCATCACCACTTCGGTTGTGTCATCTGCAAACACTTCAATTTCACCCCTCAAACTCAAATTGGAAATCAAATCGACATAAAAGAGAAATAAAATATCCTAGAGCTGAACCTTGTGGAATACCACATTTTACATTTTTTTAAAGCATCTGTTTTTCCCCTACATACAAACTATTATTATTCAAATAATTCTTTAATAATATACGTTCAATTCCATTTACATGATGATCCTCTCACTAGATTTTCAAAAACGGTAATAACTGTATATAAAAATATTTTTCCAGATAATTCTAAAGTCTTCATTTCATTATTTAAAAAAAAACTGATTGATTTGCTAGAAAATTATCCAAAACCTCTTTATATTCACTTTTTAAAACTTGTTCAACTTTGGCTATTTGTATTATTTATTTTATGCCCAAGGTGTTAATTCTACCCATCAAATGTGTTAGGATTTTAATCAAAATCTACAATATTCCCAAGAATAACTTCACTAAATCATAATACTGAAAATATAGTGTTTTCCTATGCTCTAATTAATCAACAAAAATATTATCTCAATGTACAAGAAATTGAAGCTTACAATGTTAACATAATCAATGACAAAGAACTGATGTTTGGATTTATGCACCTGTTGTAAAAAGTTAGATCATTTATTTTTTTTCATGATAAAATTCATGCATGGATCGTAAGCTTCTTATTCTTATTGTAACAAATGTTTGCCAACCTGAATACTAATTTTAAAATGAGAGCATGTTTATAATGTAAGGAATCAAAAATGAGACCACTGTATGGGTATAATTCAGGTCACACTACTAATGAAAAACCAACAATCCCAAGTGGAGCCACAAATAAAACAGGGTCGATGTCCATATAATGTTACAGTAGGACATATTGTTGAAACCCAATGGAAACATAATTTCCTTAGAAGGCAATAGATAAAAGTTTCTGAGAACACAACAGAATAATGAGTTTGCCGGAAATAAACATGGAAATTAGTTCTTAGTTCTATCTAAAATATCCTATTAGTATGGCCTGAATCGATGTTCGTTTTGACGATGGCCATCCCTATAATTGTTTTCTTGGTGGGAATTTCTGTATCTGAAATTATTTTCATAACGGCTGCCTCCAGGCCGATCTCTGTTGTTGTATCTGGATTTTCCATTCCATGGGCACATTATTGGAGGCGGTGGGACACCATTATCATAAGTTTTTTTATAATCTTCATCAGAATCAGTGAAACGTTCGGAGAATTCCTCAACGCACTCTTCAAGGAATAATTCTTGTTCTTTTGTTAAAGTTTCTTTAGCCATTTATGAAGAAACAGTTTATTTTTCAATATACTTCAAAATAAATAATACAAAAAATTTCTACCAACGACCAACTCTACTTCTTTTTCACATTATCAGGTGACGTCTCGCCCTCGCCAAGGACAAACCCAATGGAAACACATTTCACGGATGGGGGCGTTACTGTATTTTCAACAAATGTGAAATATATGTTTATTGATTTGGAGTTTGGTGTGTTTCGAGTTGTTTGATTATGAATTTCAATTTCACAAAATCGAAGAACTAGAATCCATGAAGATTCGTAAGAAAACTGACAGAATATTTTTGTTTTACCGTTTGTCTCAATTCAAATTTTTCCGATACAGTTGTTACTGGACGATGAACTTCCTTATCTTCACCAGAGTACTCAAGTTTCAAGAAGCGAAATTCGCTAATTTCGTTTTAATGCCTTCCTGAGGTTGTTATGAGTTGGCCTTTCACTATATAATATAGGATTTCATTGCATACCATGTGTCTTTTGAATTATTAGCAATAATAGCTATTGAAGATTGATTGTATACTGGTCGCTCGAGCGCTCACTCGCTGATGCCGAACCGATGCTGTTTATAGACGATAATTTTGTACTCTTGTCTTTACATACAGTTCAGTCATAAAATTACTAAAATACAAGCAATATCATAATGCGAATGAATAATGAATATGACTTATGAGTATTGCAAGAATTCTCTTTACTGACTTATTACTATTTAGGTTCATTTTCAATAGTATGTAAACATTTCTGAAATTTGAAGTTCCAAAACCATATTTGATAATTCATTTTGCTATATAAAGCTTTTCTATGTACTAAAGACAAATTATTTACGCTTAATGTGTAAATATTAGGAACGTGAATGCACTGATGACATGAGTAATAAGTGAGATTGATTCTATTGTCTTCCTTACCTATTTATTCATTCCAAATACTGTTTAACGAAATTATAAATATAAGTCGGAATTATCATCACTTTCTAATTTAATTTTGCTATATACTAAAAAACGGCAAATTAATAAATGTTATTAATTAATAGTGCATTCCTTTCAGACATCTACTCAAGCTCATCTCTGCTCTAATTAACAGTTAACACCAATTAAAAAAGTAATGAATCATCCTTAGTATTTTTCAAATTGACTTGGACATGTTGGGAAAGAGATAACACTTGCATCAATGGCAAAATCCAGTTACAGGTATGATGACTTTTTGAAATTTTCCTTGTTGAATAATATTTATTTCTCATTTCAGTAAAGTAGACGAATATGGATTTGAACGCCCAGAAAATTTCAACTATGAGTCATATGATCAGTATATGTCCCAATATTTCAGAATATTGACCCGTAGGTCACAAAGATGGAACACATTAAAGGGAGATATCTTCAAAAAACCCAACACCCTCAAAAGGTTTATAAGAAAAGGAATACCAAGTGATCGTCGCACATCGGTTTGGATGCACATTTCTGGAGCAGACAATTTGAAACGATCAAGTAAATTGACATATAATGAACTGAAAATGAAAATTAATAATCAGAATATAATAGACACAATCCAAATAGATTTACCAAGGACCTTTCCAGATAACATTTACTTCTCTACTCATGAGTATCTCCCCAAAATGCTCTACTATGTCTTGGCTACTTTCGCACACCAAAACAAAGAAGTAGGTTACTGCCAGGGCTTGAACTATATAGCAGGATTGCTGCTTCTCGCCACAAAAGACGAGGAAGCCTCATTCTGGCTCCTCAAAGTTCTTGTTGAACAAATTCTACCTCAATATTACATTGTAACTATGACTGGCCTCTTGACTGATCTCGATGTCTTAGACGAACTAGTTCGTAAATATGAACCTGTTGTACATAGACATATACACAATATTGGGATGCCTTGGGCAATGGGCACCACCAAATGGTTCATTTGCTTGTTTTCGGAGGTGTTGCCTACAGAAACTGTATTCAGGATTTGGGACTGCTTGTTCCTTGAAGGATCAAAAATAATTTTTAGAGTGGCACTAACCTTGATAAGGTTGCACAAGGAAAATATTTTACTAACAAGTGAATTGGGAGAACTAATAACTTGTTTTAAGGATATGAGGAATCATCAATCTGTGATCAATTGTCATCAATTTATGACTGTAAGTTTATCATGTTTCGTAAAAATATTAAAAAAGCAAAACACTTTGGTGTTGTAATTACATAAAGAAGGGTAACTTCCAATGAAAGGAAAAAAATTAACAAATGAAAACTTTATAAAAATGTTAAAGTATAAATTATCGATACATCATCTAGAGTGTTTTTCTAAGAAATCTTTCGCCTCATTGATTTTTGATGCAAGGTATGGAGATCCACCTCTGTCTGGATGATTAACAGCCATTACTTTCTTGAAAGCGTCTTTTATTTTCAATTTATTCGCAGAGGGAGTCACACCTGAAAAAGAGAGAATATTTTGAAATGTTTCCTTCTCCTCATCTAAAGACAACCTACTTGGGAAAATTGTAATGAAAATTTTCAGAGAATGTTTGTTTTATCCCTTTTGAATATCTTTTCATAAACTACACCTCACCTATTGAATATAATGGTTCAATCAGAATATTTAAATAGTAGAATAGAAAAATATAAGTATTTCAAAAATATTTTCACTATCACCAATTTTAGCAAGCATATGACGAATTATTGATTTCGTGTTCCTCCACTACTTCATCGGACTCTGTCGGGTGAGACGAAATAAAAAGTAGCAACTGGAGTCAAAGAGGATAAAAATGAAGGGAATGATCACTCTGGTATCCGAACCGTAGCAAAAAAAAAAGTTCAGTCAAACGACTTGATGAAAGATGTGGAGATTCTGTTTCATACACATTCATCCTCAATATTGACATCTGTTTCTACCACCATTTAATTATAACTCAAATGAAGAAATGCAGAGGAAGCATACCTAAAATCAGCGCTGCCTCTCTCCGATTCATTTTGGCATCGAAACCACCCTTGTAATATTTTGAATTGGCCACTGAGGCAGAATCGAATTTAGGGAGATTTTTCAAAGCTTCATTGAATGTTTTGGCAGCATTCGGCACTTGCCTTAGAGCATATCTTCCAGCAAAACCCACCGCTGCCAAACCAAGACCTGCTAGTATTATGCCATTCTAAAAAAAAAATATTATTTTTTGAGAGTTACAATATATTTGTTTACCATTTCTACAGAAATTTAGAATGTGTATTCAGATTTAATTTGAAATTTGCTTTCTGAATTCGAGATGAGTACTGACAAGTGACAGTAATTATATGACAGACTTGAGATGTGTTCCGAAAGTAACCAGAAATGTGGTTGGCTGGATCTGAAATCACTATTGGTAAGTTCATCGTCCACATATGGCGTCTATCAGACATATTAGAACTGAGCCAGATGGTAAAACAAAAAGTCATGTTAGCTGTTTTCATATATTGTAATGGTTTCTTGTGCTTCCCTTGAGCGAAACTAATTTATTCCACCTATTCATCAGTTTTTTATGTCTATAACAATCACACCAATTGATTCAAAACAGAAAACAATAATAAACATAACCTATTCAAAACAGAAAACAATAATAACGGAAATATATGAAACACGCTCAAAATACTAATAACTGCTGAAAACTGGTGGGCGCCAGCACTATGTACACTTTTTGTACCGATATGTCCATTCCCGTTGTTTTTATGTTTTTTGATTTTTCCTCCATCTGCTATTTCTCAATCGACGAAATCTTCGGTATGGAGACCTTTGGAAAATACTATTTATAGAATTTATAATATTCAACATCTGTAGCAAGGATACAATATGATAATAAATTGATAAAATATAATAATATATTTCTCTCACTCTCCCTTTAAATTCTATCGACGTTGTTTCTCATTCGAGTGAATTTGGACAGACCCCTCCTGATCATATTGCACAGAAGCAACACCAAAAGTTTTTTCCTTCACCTATTCTTGAAAAAAACATTCAATTTTTACAGGTCGCACCCTTCTCGGAAGACCTTTGGATAAAAATAACACAAATCGGGAAACATATCTATTTTAGAACTGACGACTTCGTTGACATCCAGCCTGCACACTGGCTTAGAGGGCCACTAGTCCTCTTAATACGTCTTTCACTTCAATATTTTTTTCGATCGTAACTTTATTTTAGAATACACATCTCTTTTGGACTCCACTCCAACCACGACCTCCACCCTCCACATACCATCTTTGAGGGCGGTCGTTATCGGAGATAAGGCCCAGTGATATAGTTGTAAATAATCGAGGATAATGAATGGGCAAAGTGTCAGCAGGAGCTGTCAACATTCCATTAGATGAGAAGTTGAACAATATCCTATTGTCAAAATTGTCTATGTTAGATTGTGGTAAATATTTTTTATGTAATGTAATAGTCTTATTCGTGAGTAATTTATTGAAGCAATATTTTCCACGTTGATGCTCAAGGATCTGTCACAGAATAGTTTACTATTCTGTGGTTCTATACCCCCACTCCAGGTATCGGAAATTACCATTCTGCCTTTCGCTGTCAAGAGTCAGCCATCTAAAATTTCTTTTCCTTCAATCAGTTGAAACGTGTGCTTGTTCTCATTGAGCTAAGGCCAAACGGCGACTTGCACTAATTAGAAAAATGACTTCCAACGCCGAACTTGCTTGTGTCTACTCAGCCCTAATTCTGGTTGATGATGATATTGCCGTAACTGTAAGTAAACTTCATTATTTTGATTTTGTTAATGTTGACCATGCAGTAACTTTTCTGGTGTGTTGGATTGTTTGTATGTATCTGATTATTTATTATCCATCCTCAATTTTTTTTGTTTAGGACCTAGATAATACGTATTACTTTAATATATCGACTGTCTTTTCAGAGATAGTTTAATCTTTTCATAAAAGTTTAATAAGTTTCTTTACATTAAATTGCTTTGAAATAACAAGACGTGACCTGTTGATATATAATTAGATTGATGTACCTCAACTCCATACAATCTTTCATTTTCACAAATTGAACCTTTTAAGTGTTTTTTATCAAGGTAGTAATTGTAAACTATAGGTGGATGCATGTACATGTTTTATAAGAGCTATCCATTGAATAATTCCATTGATAATAGTGATGTCTATGAAATGGCTACAAAATTTGCAGATACATTTCAAATGGACCACATGATATTTCAAAATGAAACTATCAATCTGTGCTGTGACATATTACTAAAAGCAAGGTCATCCTCAGCTCCAGATTTTTGGGCATTGGTTTCCAAAGAGAAATATCCAAATTTTAAGAAATGTGTTGTACAACTGCTTTCCTATTTTGATTCAACATATTTATGTGAGTCAGCATTTTCCAACTTGAAACAAACAAAAAATAAATATGGTTCTCTCCTGAAAGACTTGCATGCATTGGATTCTTTAAAGTTGGTATTTTTCAAGTACAAACCTGATTTTGCTTATCTATCAAAAGATGCTCATACGCAATGCTCACACTGATATAAATATAGTGACTAAGAATTATATTCAGTGACATGTAAACACGAGGCACTAATAGCGAAAGGATAAATGTTCATTTCATAGAGCACGTATAGCTAAAGCAGTTAATCTATACTACCCTTTATCTATTAATCCAGCTTTATGACTGGTGCATGAATCCATCTTGATATTAGGGAAAACCTAATAAAGCACCAAGTATAATTTTCAATTAGACATGTATTTAAATGGTTTGAACCATAAAGGTCAACTCGCCTAAGAGAATACTCATAATTTATTTAAAACGTATTATAAAAGTGAATGTGGATTATCCAATGTTGCAATCTGAATTGTATGTATCATCCTATATTTTTGACCCCACACAAATAAGCCGGCCCTGTCTGCGTCATAGAGTAGTCAGTGGTGTGCTCGTAGTGGGAACAGAAATGTCTTTTCTAGTGTATGGTGGCTTGGCGTTCATCTAAGACCATCAAAGGAAGATTAGAGACATTAATATTTTCATACTTGAATTTTTTCATAATATTGTCATATATATTTTGAAAACTTGAATTTCAGTATTACCTTCAGAGGTATACTGAACTGACATTTCTGGTAGAGATTGTAAGCACAGCCTTTTGAATATTAACAGCAAGTACGAGTGTACAGAACAGTACTTATTACTAATATTCATTTGTCATAATATCTGAAAAAATTTGGAAATTGTAATAGGGTATTTTGAGCAGGTGTAGAAAGGACAAACTGTCAATTCACTGATATATTTTTTTAAAGCAGAAAAATGTATTTGATTTATACAGTAATTTACTAGAATTAACTAAATGTTTGATCTTTCTACACCTGCACAAGATTCTTTCTACATTATAATTTCTTACAGATGTGGAAAGTGAAAATATATATAATCAAAAGGTTGATGAAACATCTATTTTGGTGTTTAAATCTATCATGATAACGTATTTATTATTTCCTCTTTTAATACATTTAAATTTTTATTATATATCCATTTATTTGTGGATAATTCATTAACTACTAATATCTTTTAGTTATGTTTGCTAGAAATCAAATTTCTGTACAATTTTCAGTCTAGTACCTATAATTATAATTTGTACATCAGCAAGTTTCGGTTACACACTAAATCCTTCCAAATTATAATGCTACTTTTAGTACAAAAGTTACTGTAATAGTTGAAGTGTTCAGGAGAGCTATAAAAATTTATAATTTTGTTATGTTTCATTAGAACAGTTCTATATTTTATTTCATGGAAACAACAGATTGAATTAAAAAGAAAGTTATATTAATGAATCAGGAATTTATCTTTTTTTCTGTGTAAAATGTCAAGTCTTACATACAGCCTTTTGTACTACCATTGACATTGTGTACAAATTGCAACAGTACATACCTACCATTCTGTTTGCAAATTATATAACGATAATTTACTTCAATCGTAACTGAATTTTATCATTAACTTTGAAATGTCAGTCTGGTATATCTCTGAAAAACAATATTTTTGGTAATAACATTCGAAATATAAGCTCATATTGTAGTTTCGTAACCATTTTAACTGGAAATCTTTTTTCAAGGGTGAGAAAATCCAGACCATCCTCAAAGCAGCCAATGTTGATGTAGAACCATACTGGCCTGGTCTTTTTGCGAAAGCTCTAGAAGGAATCAACGTCAGGGAACTGATCACCAACATTGGGTCTGGAGTAGGAAGTGCACCCTCGGCAGGAGGTGCTGCAGCTCCAGCTGCGGCAGCTGCTGCTGCTGAGCCTGCCAAGGAGGAAAAGAAGAAGGAAGAAGAACCTGAAGAGTCTGACGATGATATGGGTCTTGGACTCTTCGATTAGAGTACAAGTTTTTTAACTATGTAACATAGGATTAAACTTTTTCTAAGTTTATTGTAGTTTTTTTATTTATTTTTTCAGTGGTAATAATGTAATAGTGGGAAAGAAAGTTTTCGGCTTTCTACTTATTACTCAATCTTGATACAAAAAATGGATGAGGGAATCTTCCAAAGAAAGGAAGGAAGTAATATCCAGTCCTACAAATAATGTTTGTATTCAAAAATTGTTTTCTTCATTTTCTAAATATTACCCGCGTTAAGTATTTTACACTGTGGTGCTTTGTTTCTTTAGAAGTTTTTCCAAACAACTCCATATTTTGTATTCAGATCTTGTAGATAATATTGGCTCAGTTGCAGCCTTGTTTCAATGCTTGCTCTTCACATGTGAATGAATAGCATAGATTTTCACTTGAAATACGATTTCATAACTCCCTTAGCAGATTGATATCTCGTCCTGGGTCTACGATTGTACACATCTGCATCAGAACTTGGAGGTGTTTTTGATCCATTTGTGTTTCAAAGTATTTCCTTCTCCCAGAGGATCTTAGTGTATTGGTTGTCGTAAATATTGTTCTCACAATATACCTGTTAGCAATTCATTTGATCTTGGGGCAAACGGTAATGTTGGTCATTGTAGGTAATGAACTACACTTTTTCAGCTCCCGTATAGTTTTTTCGTGATTCGAGAATATTCATTTACCTCTAATACATATTTTTGACAACTGTTGATGGTTTCCGCATAGTAATAGACTGTTAAGATCTTTGAGATGAAATGAAGATATCTATTGTAATGTGTCATCTTTTAAATGGAAATGAACAAGCATAACAGAAAAAGCCTTAAATCACTTCGAGTTTGTTGCCTTTACGAAAGTGATGAATTATGTTGAATTCAACTGTTGTAGATTATTTTCATTTAAAAAAACCTCTATAAATGTATTGCTTGCCTTCACTTCCTGACTTCTAATTTAATTGGTTTTTTTTGTCTGCTGTGGAAGAACATGAATTCAAAAAATTAACTAAGGATATAAAAATTGACTGATTTGTTTCAGATGACATTAATTACCCCTTTTCCATACTCATAAATGACACTAGTCAAATGGAAAAGAAGACAGGTTTGACACTAAAGAAAATAGAGGAAGTCAAGATGAAAGTAGCCAGTTATGTTTTGATTTCAAAATTCATTACTACAGGTACATGCTCATTAGATTTCTCTTGAATGTTACATTTCAGAAAAGAAAAAAGTTACATACGTAGTAAATCTTTCCTTAATGGTTAAACAAAAACAGTTTGAATTTGTTTTTATGTAAACTTGAAACGAAGCCCTATAGACAGTCCAAAAAATATTGATTTCTAGATTACTTGCAGCAGATCAAATTCTTCCGTGGAAGAGAATAAGTACAGGATGTAAAGCAATAGACTCTACACTAACAGGAGGTATTCCAATAAATGGAATAACTGAAATATTTGGATGTAGTGGAGTTGGTAAAACTCAGTTTTGTCTTCAACTATGCTTGCAAGTACAATTACTTGCCGTAGATGGAAAAGAAAAAGGTTAATATTATCTTATTCAAGTTAATTTATTAAAAAAATGGAAACTTAACTGTTCTGTCATGTATATGCAGTGTGTCAAACTTCTTATGGAAACAACCCCATATCTTTTTGTACAATTGAATAGAGTTCTATTTTCAGGAAATTATAGAACCTGAAGATTTACTGAAACACAGTTTAATTAACTCTCCTACAAATTAATATAAAATTCAAAACTTGAAAAAACTGTTGGAGAAATAGCAATAATCTCTCAGAGACAAAAAATTTCTCTCTGAGGGTGATGTGAGAAATTATAGGATCTAAGACTACATTCCAATTTAAGGTAGTTTTGAGCAACTTCATTGAACCTGCTTTAAATGACCTTAAAATTACCAAAATTAGTGAAATTTGGATCTTTATGAATACCTACAGCACTATTCAAAAACACCTAAATTTCAAAATGTAATTTAAATCAGCTCTAGAATCAGAAAATTCTGGCCTTCCTTTTTTTGACACAGAGTATATAAAAACACTCCAAATCTATGGATTTAAGTGTAATGTCTATCAGAGGTTTGAATCATATATATCAGACTGAGTCCAGAAGGTGAACTTCAGTAATATGAAATCATACAAAATAAAATTGAAAGTGGGTTACTTCAGGAATCTGTCCTTGGCCCTTTGCTATTTTTTTTTAATGCAGATATATTAATGACCTGGCTGATATTTCTATAGGAGGAAGCTTGGGTCAGTTTTGTTAGTATTGTTTACCAACTTTCCTAGCTTTGTCAACCAAATCGTTCAGTATATCTCCTGCAACTGTTTATCCTAACAATTTCAGAACTCTATTTAAGCTGTAAATGAACATACTGGATGTTTCCTAGAGAAGTGGACATTATGAAGTTTCAAATTATTAAAGGGTTTGAAGATAATATAAGTATTTTACAAAATTTATAGGAGCCATCTATATTTGCACAGAAGATCCTTTCCCATCAAAACGATTTCACCAGCTCTCTACAAGGTTCAAAGAAAAACACAACGTAATAACCGATTTTGAAAAAAACGTTTATATCAACCATGTGGCTGATTTTGAACAGTTACGTAGATGTCTGTATGTTCACGCACCTAATTTACTTCAAACGAAAGACATTGGACTCATAATTATTGATTCAATTGCTGGAGCATTTCGTAGTGAAAATGTTGACGTTAACTATACAAGTCGAGGACGTGAGTTATGCGAAATAGCTTGCAAACTTAACAATCTTTCTGACAAGTACCAGGTTGCCGTCGTTTGCATTAATCAGGTGATTAGAATAATGTGATAATACATGATTCATCAGTTATTTATATTTTTATAACAGGTCACAGAAGATGTGCAGCAAGGAAAGACTGAACCATGTTTAGGTTTAGCATGGAGCAATAACGTAAATTACCGTTGTCAAATATCAAGGTTTAATGATAGACCTACTAGAGAATTTGAAGTTATTTTTGGTCCTGATTTGCCCTGCAGGAAATGCACTTTCGAAATAAGAGAGGATGGGTTATTTTCTCTGGAAGATTGATAATGCATTTAAACTATGGTATGAAATAAGAGAAGATGGGTTATATTCCCTGGAAGATTGATAATGCATTAAACTGTAGTATGTAAGATATTTTTTTAATGAATAAAGCTGATTGTAATGAAGTGATGTATTTATTTTGTAAATTCAAATTTATTTGAATTTACAAAATAAACACATCATTTATATAAAGCATATTGCCAATTACACTTTAATATACCTATTAATTTCAGCTCAACTTTATGATAAATTGAAATTTAAAGTGTAGACAAAATCAAAAAATATAAAAACATGATTATTCTTACAATGAAGCAAAAAAATGTATAACTTATCAAAAATATATAAAATNAATTGATTAAGCAGGTCTCCAAGAATTCTCATTGGGATTTCTTACATGAAAATTTGACTGGTCGTGAATATCTTTTATTATTCCCATATATTCATATAAAATCAGTTTCAACAATTAAAAGTTTAGAATATATTTTCAACAAATAAGTAAATACTATATCACAAGAGAGTAAATAAGTGAAGTTAGCAACGTTCAGTCAAGAAACAAATACGAAATGGCCTCCACAGCCTTTATTCGTACAACTTCGCTTTCGTCAGTCAATAATCTTATCAACCTATCACAAACTGTATCCAAAGAAACTCTCGCTTTATTCTCGGGAACCATAAGAGAAAAAAGGAGGCCCGCAATCAGAGCAGCATTGCCCTTGATGTCTGTCCACTGGCTTTTGAAATAAGACAAGCACGTCATGAGAAGAAGAGGGAACAAGTCTTGGAGTTCATCGGACTGAAACAAACATCGTTAATAAAAAATATTTATCATAGTCACCCTACTCCTACCATAACTTTAATGAAGTCTCTTATGAAGTCGGTGAAGTGGAGATTAGCCTCATCTATAAGGTGTTCCTGAATCATTGAATTGACTCTCGGACTTTCCAAATATGGTCCTATCCGACGCAAAGTGTATTTACATGCCTAGAAAAAAATATTCGTATTTTTTTAAGGCTTGCAAAACTTACCTCTTACCTTAACAACATGAATATCAGGATCGCAAAGATGAAGCATTAAAGTAATGAGATTTCCATGGATTTGTTCTCTGAAAGCTTCCAGATTTGCTTCAGAATGGAGAGATTGCGTTAAATCACCCAACAGATGGAATGATGCTCTTCTCAGGTTCACATCTTCCTGATCCAAGAGGGGTTTTATTCTTACAGCAGCCGTCACTTGAAAAGAACTGAACTTACAACCAGTCATTGCGTTGAGTAACTTCGAGAAGCTAGACATTCCTTCCAAGATTACGGCACCTTCATTACTGTAAAAAATATATAATGCTTATTCATAGTTCAATGAGAAATATAAAATTTTGAATTGTCTTGAGTAAAGTTTGTCTTCAAATATTTTTTTAAATGTTTCTGGAGGCATTAGTCATTTTCTTCTTCTTCTGACTGCCACAACAGTTATCAGTTGAGCCAAACGACAACTTGCTTCAAATTAGAATAAATCAGTTATTCTATTTTATTTGTCGAAGATGTCATTTTGAAATTATCAATAACAAACTGTCAAAAGCTCGATATTTGGTGAAAAACATTGCTTAGTTAGAATAGTTTGAAGCTGGTTGGTTTATGGCAGTCTTTCTCAAAGTAGGCGATAACGCCTGGGCGCTGGAAGCCTATAGGGGGCCGTAAAGGGCACAGAGAAGATTGGGGGGGCGTTGAAGAGGTTTAGGGTCGTTTCCTCCTGTAACGCCATCTAGGGGACTAGATAGTAACTATTTACTGTCCGATAGTTTCCAGAAGTTTCTAGTCTCCATTCACGAAAGTACTTGGCCCGCCCGCTCCATCATATAAAAGCGCGCGTGCCATCCAGCCAGTAAGGTCCGTTAGTCAGGGAAGCTATAGATTACGCTGTAGACGACCCCTCTCGATATAGAAGGCCCCGACACTCTGTCAAATGAGGCCACTATGTTCTCCGTTAACAGATGAATAATATCTTCATCCATCTCACCACAGCCAGGTAGGGGTACACCGCGAAGGGCGGTATGGATGTCTGAGGACTTTCATGCCACCATCAAAAATCAGTCATGACCCATTTGTCCCTCTGACAAAAACCAGCCCAAAAGGTAAGGGAGCAAGGCTCCAGCCCGATTAAAACGACGATGACCATCGGCGCCAGTAAAGTCATTCAACGATATTACGGAAACAAGTGAGTTTAGTTAGCAACTAGCTAGGTAAAGTGCTGTACGTGCGGTGGTGAATACTGTGAGTCGTGTCATTAGCAAGTTTTTAATACTCGATTCTTTACTTCGGCATTTTTGAAGACAAAATTATGTCGAAAGCAAAAAAAAAACGGCAGTATAGCGCGGAATATATAAAACATAGATTTATTGAAAATCCCACAAATCCATCTTCGCCTGTGTGCATTCTTTGACAGGACGTCACAAAGACTTCATAGCGTACTTGAAAAATAAAATTTCAGATGTGCTCGCTGAACATTGCGTCATTCATAGGCAACATTTGGTTGCGAAAACTTTGAGTGAGTGCCTCTCTCAATCACTGCAACATATCATCAAAGCAGTCAATAACATCCGAAACAGCTCTTCAAATTACAGATTATTTAATCAGCTTTGTGTTGCTAATGATGCAGATTTCAACCGATTGCTATTTCACACAAAAGTGCGTTGGTTATCAAGAGTGCGTTGGTCTGACTCGTTTTTACAATCTATTTGACTCTGTGATAAAGTTCTTGGAAAACAAAGACAAAGAATTGCACGACAACCTCATCACTTCAAAGAATGATATTGCGTACTTGACAGACCTGTATAAATCATTTAATGATGTCAATCTCCAACTTCAAGGTGACGACTTGAATTTGATTAAAACAAAAAATGTCATTTCTGCTTTTGTAGCCAAATTGCTCTTAAACAAGAATAATATCGGCAGACGTGAGTTTCGCAATTTCCCTAATTTGTCAGCAGTATCCTTCAACAACGACGACTTGCTTGTTTACTGCCAACATTTGGAGAACCTCTACAGTGATTTTGCAGAACGATTCCAGGACATTTTGAAATTGGAAATACCGGACTGGGTGTTGCATCCTTTTTCAAATGTTAACACAGCAGGATCACCCCAGCTGGAAAAAGAACTCATGGAACTGATAACGAACGAGAAAATAAATATGAAATTCAAAAATGGATACCAGGAATTTTGGCTACAAAAGCCAATCCCGCAATTGTACCCTGGATTGTGGTCCATCGTTCTACAATTTTTGATAGCATTCCCATCATCTATTTGTGTGAACGTATGAATTTAGTGCTGTGGCAACGTTGCTAACTAAAAAGAGAAATCGGTTGCAGGTTACCGAACGCAGTGACTTACGGCTGTTTTCGAGTTAATTCGAGCCTGATATTAACAAACTTGTTAAAAATCATCAAATTCATCCTTCACATTAGATTAGTTTTAAAATTCAAATTGAAATGTTTGTTTTAAAAACATGAATGAAAGTTTTCCTAATATTACAAAATGGTGTTTTTCATTACCCTCATCAGAAAGTCTTATTTGCACATGAAACACATAATTTAATTATTAAAATAATGACTCGATTGTGACTCTTAAGATGTAGTAAAGTAAAAAAAATTGTAGGCGCTAGAAAATAATTATTAATTCTTGAAGTGGGCGGCAGACAAAATAAGTTTGGCAACCTCTGGTTTATGGCAAGTGAGTATTCATATTTTGACATAAACTACCAATATTTTACCTGTTTTCGTCTTAAATATAAATTATAGACTTTGTTCAATAGAAACTTACCTGATATTGTTATAATCCAAACTGTTCATCAAAACACTAAGTATAGGGTTACAATGTCTGGACACCAGATCATAGCTCAAATGTTCAGCAGCGTAACCTAAACCCTGCAAACCGAGTTTCCTCACAAGACAACTCTGGTCACCTTGAACATCCAATATCATTTCCAACAAATTTTCTGTAAGAACTGTCTGCTCGTTACTGCCCTGCTGGAGAAAGTGGGTGAAGAATGCGACGGTGGCCACTCTCTGTGGCTCCAAGTCGGCTCTGATGTAAGGCCCTAAGCAAGCCACGAGCCATGACAACGATTGTGGATGTTCTACACATATGCTGTCGACCAATCCTCGAATAACCTGAAATTATTTAGCACTTTTAGCTGAAATCAGCAAATTGAACAACTGAACTCTTCAAGTAAAACTTGAGCTTGATTCAGTTATGTTTTCTAGATTCTGCATAAAGGAAGAAGAAACTACAAAAAATAATATTAGCAGCCTATTAGATGGATTTTCGTCAGAAAAACGTTTCAGTGGCAGTGGGGTCCCACAAGGTTCCGTTTTGAGACCGGTGTTGTTTCTCATTTATGTCAATGACTTAGTCCATGTTGACATAAGTGGTAAATTCACATGTTTTGCTGACGACACTACTTTCCTCTGGCATAGCAATACCGCCTCAAATTTACTTGATCAAATCATCGTCGACATAAGAAGGGTGAAAGAGTGGTGTGATTCCAATCTTTTATCATTCAACATCGACAAAACAAATGTGGTCACGTTTAGATGTAACATAGGGGAAGTACACTTGGAAAATGTAAAAACTGAAAATTTGGAGAAAAGCAAATTTTTAGGGCTCTTCAGCACTAGCAGCAGGATGTCATGCAGAGAGAGTTAGACACTACTATCACAAGATCAGTTTATTTTGCACAAATTAAGTCCTATTTACGTTATGGAATTTGTTTCCGGGGAAATTGTGCACAATTTCGTTTCAATATGGTATTCTCTCTACAAAAAACATCCATCAGATATTTATAGGCTAGCTACAGGGATTAATGTAGCCCATCATTTGTGAAGCAGCAAAAAATTCTGACCTTAGTATGTCTTTTTATTTTGGAAACAGTGTGTCTTATCCACAAAAAATATAAAAATCAATTTAATACCACGTTAACGGAAAAACAGATTTTAAACAGATTTCCCTTCCAACACCTACTCTAGCCCTTACAAAAAATTATATTATTTTCAATAACAAGAAGTTATTTAATCACCTTCCCATTGATTTAAGGCGAATATATAATGAAAAGAAATTCAGAAAGAAAGTAAAAGAATTCCTTGTTGGGAGTCCCTATTATAGTGTGGACGAATTCTACCAAGTCCGTCTTCCGTCGTCACTTCTATTTTCGCTACCCTGAGTACGTCATCTTTTCCAGGATAAATTTCCAATACTTTTCCTATAGGCCGATTTTATTCGCTTTACATTGTCGCTGCTGACAAGTACAACATCTCCAATTTTTAAACTACCTATTTTCCTTTTAGCAGTATGTACGAGTTCCGCTAGATACTCCTTTCTGAATCGTAATTGGCATATAGGTTTGTGTAAACAAGTTATTGAAATCAACACGAAATGGCTATCAATTACGTAGCATTATATATTTATATTTAATCAATATTCATATACTTATATTTGTATCTGTTCAGCTGGGCTTAATATTGTTCTATCCATATACTCTGCTCTTGTGTCTAAGCATTAATTTATAGTTTATATTTGTTAATTGTCCCATTTACACATTTTACTTTACTAAACTTTGCCAATAAGATGTTCAGAACTTGGGTAATAAAGCATATTTTAATTTGATTTGAATCAACCAGGGCATCAGAATAAAACTAGAATGGCACTGACGTTCAACAATGTAATAATTAAATGGAAGGCTATTCTTCTCATCAACTGATAAAAATTCAAAAGAACTCAATACACTTCCATATATCTTCAAAATCATTATCATAATGAAGCATTTCATTCATAGGAAGTGGAAAAAATATATTGATGGAATTTTGATTAAACTAAAAATATAGGTATGATTTTACCAGCCTTATTTAACGTGTTGGTGAAAAATAATATAAATCTTACCTCGATAAACAAGTTAATATCCTCGAAAGAGTCAGTATTTGTTATCGCCAATAGGCTTTTTTCCATTTTTTCAAATTCACAGCATACTAGGAACAACCGAAATGTTTCGGCTGCTATTTTTGCAGGAACAACTTTGTATGCATCTCGGTTGAAACTGAATCCGTACTTATCCTTCTTTTCACTTTTTTTAACGGCTGGCGCTACCACACCCATATAGGAAACCATACAAACTAGTAAAATTGAAAATAACTCGGAAAACTGCTGCAAGCATATATCTTTGAGTTGGACGTTTTTGAGAAGTTCGTGTAGTGCACATATGGCTTGAAGAGGTTGAAGATTTGCCAGTTTCAGTTCAGCATCAGCTTGGTCTTCATATAGAGGTGTTGATTTAATATGTTTTTTCAGCTGGTCCACTATATCATGTGCTAGAGTGGAATCGGTTGAAATAATAGACCAACATTCACAGATTGAACTGAAAAATTAAAATTGTTTGAAATTCGTATAAGGTTGAAAATACTTCATTCATGTATTCAATGAAAGAGTTCAACTGGTTCAACAATGCCTATCAATCTTGGAGTCGTAAACTTGACATCCATCTCCTCTGTAGACTCGCACCTGAACTAAATTTACAGGGAGTTCAGTTGGAGTCGTAAACTCGACATCCATCTCCTCTGTAGACTCGCTCCTGAACTAAATTTACAGGGAGGACCGTTGGAGTCTTAAACTCGACATCCATCTCCTCTGTAGACTCGCTCCTGAACTAAATTTACAGGGAGGTCCCGTTTGTAGGGGAACAACAGATTTTCAACAGATAAAAGGGTACTTTGAAGATATCTGTATTTCTTGTTGTATTTGGATTAACATTTAAAGTTATAAGTTCAGCAAGTTCCGAGGAATTAATGCTACCATTAATTATTTTGTGAATTAGTTTTAGATCTCATACACAAGTCAATAAAAATATTCTCGGACAGTCAAGCGGCGTTGGAAGCTCTCGGATCCTACCAAGAACCATCTAAATTGGAAGCAAATTGCCAAAAACGAGTCTCCTCGATAGGAATACTCAACAGATTGTCTCTGGTCTGGATTTCTGGCCATACTGGCCTGTAAAGGAGGGTGCTGCAAGCAGCTTCATCGGACCAGAATCTGTCATTGGCATCGCTTTGCCAAACAAATATTGAATACCTGGATGACCATTCACCAAACTAATCGGCTTCGTTGAGAAGCTGGATTTATTTGTTCGAGTGTGATTAGGTGTGAGCTACAATAAACCCTTGCGGGTTGCGGTGGAGGATCGAATAGACCCACTAACTTTGAACGTAACCTAACCTAGATCTTATTATATTTTACTCTGTGCCAGAGAATTCAAGTTAGGAATGTCCAATATAATTTTATAGTTATATTCACCAATATGACATCCCAGTTTACATGCAGAGTACTTTAAAAACTTTTTTGAACACTTTCAAGCATGTCAATATCCACATCAATTGAGCGGCATCAAATCGTGGAGTTGTATTCGATTATTTATTGATCCAACAATTGAACAATATATGATTTTTAAGGAAGGAAGATATAATTCCTCTGTATATCTAAGAGTGAGACCCAACATTTTAAGTGGTCTAAGAGTATCATTGGCAATATGGGGTTTGAATGACATTTTTGGGTCAAGAGTGATTCCTAAATCTTTGATTGTAGTTGTTATTTTCAGTTCTGATTGCTTGATTTTACATAGACCTTTTCTGAATACTAAAACATTAAAGAATGTTTATAAATATTTCAACCTATTTGAGGGGCTTTGGTTTTTCTTTCAATGGTTGACGAGGAGTTGTTTAAAAGAGTTCTCAGATTTGACGGTTCAATTAGATTTACCTATCTAATGGTAGTGGCTGCGTCAGTAGAATTCCACACACAGTTCTGGAATGATGCATAGCCAGATTCAAAATTCCTCTGTAACTAGAAGATTTCGTTCTCATACATTGAATCTTGTATAGTTGCTTCAAAAGTTTTTCTAACACAGGGGTAACGTGGCTCTGCAACTCGCCACCTGAAAATTAGTTCAACTATATTACACTAACTGACGATACGACAGTAACAACCTTTATTTTTTAAAATCGTATTGAGTACAACGCTGCTGCCATTTGAGCTGGAGGATTCACAATCGAGGAGAGCATCTAGCAGACCTTCGACACAGTGTATCAGCTGGAAGGGAGATAAGTTGAGACACACTATGTGAGCTAGATCGCTGGTTAGGTTGTAGAGTAGTTTCGGATCATCTGAATCTATTTGCTGTTGGATGTGTTGTAGAGAATTACTTAGCACTTTGTCGTGTTCTCGCATGTGACCTTCGTATCTAGAGGCTATGCAAAGGATCAAGCACATACACTCGACGGCGACCTGCAATAATTCAGGTAAATTTGATATAGTAATTCACTGTTTTATTTTGAATTCACAAGATTTTTTCATCGAAAATTAGGATTACCTACACTTGAAACTACACAGCAACATGATCTATTTCATAAAAGTACTTTTAAAATTTCCTTCACTTCCATTTTACATTTTTTTATGAAATTTAATCAGACAGCATCAAACAAATTATTTTAACTAATAGTTTTATTCATGCCCCTCAGAACTTGGNTGTCGAGTTTTCAAGAATGGATAAACTAGGAGGTCTGTTCAAAAAATAAGGTGAATGTTCATTCCTCTCAACAATTGTTAATTCATTCATCAATTTCTATTTTGTCCTCTTCAAAGTAGCCCCCTCAGATATAATAGACATGTGGCAGCGTTTTTTTCAATCCCCAAAGCAGTTCTGATATGCACTTTTTGTTATGGTCTTGAGCTCTTTCAGCAATTAACTTTTTATCCCCTCACTTTCGCGAAATTCGGTCCTTTCATGAGTCTTTACAAACTTGGTAACAGGAAAAAGTCACAAGGGGCCAAATCTGGTGAATACGGTGGCTGAGGCATGATCACGGTGTTGTTTTTGTACAACTGAAACTGTGAAATTATGTTCGAAACGAGTGTACCAACAAAAAAATCGCTAATCGAATGTACGTAACACGCGAAATTTAAACATTCATCTAATTTTTTGAACAGCCCACCCATTTCCAGTTTTACCTTTCTTATATTTTTATTTGGATCTGTGCATCTTGGAACAACTTTTGCCAACAGGGACCCTGTTTGCCCAAAACTGGTGGGACTCTCATAGGCAAACTTCATATTTTCTAGGTAGCCTTGTAGAATCAACCTCAAAGTTTCAGCTGCTGGTAGTCTTTGCTCCGCCCTTTTCTTACCCAGCCACGGTTCTAAAAGAGTTACTATTTCATCCAATGTTGCAGGAGAAAGACTCTGCAGAAGGAGCTCCTGCACTAGCTGGTTAAGTTCAGTGAAGCTTTTCGTTACAGAAGGTACCAACTTGAGATCACCGTAATAGCTATCTGGGTTTCCTGTATTAATTTTGCAGTATATAGCTGAAGCATTGAAGACATTATCGAAAAACAATTTAATCAGTTTTATTCTATCTTCTGATTCAATTGGCAAAGGTAGTCTGACCAATGCTGTTATGGTTGGAATTATTGTAGGAAAAAGTTCGATATACTCAGGACCGCTGTGAAGTTGGGTTTGTGATGATACTAACCTACAAAAAAAAAACTAGCCTCTTGCACGAATCTTTGTTGATGATTTAAACAAAAAAAATTTTTTCAAACCATTGAATCTTTCAAAATTATGGATAATTATCTGTACTCACTTGATGACCTTATCCCTATCATTCATTCTTATATGAAGCAGGTTTCTGTTTGGATGCATCGCATCTGCAACAGAATGTATTGTTCGCAAACATACCTTCCTCATTGAGAAATCTTTCGAATTCACCAATTCATTGACGGCATAATCCAAAATTTCACTCTCAATAACCTTCAAAAGTTTATCCGAAGGCGCCTCATTGCAAATCTCAGAATAACTATACAGAATCGTGTACCTTAGGCGCTCTACACCAAGGTCGTGTTTCTGGTCTTTAATGAAGGTGAAAAATTTCAATGTCTTCTTGTTAAGCACTTCTTTTCTTATTAGGGCAAGTTTGTCAAGTACTATCTGTAAGTGTGAACGAGAGCAAATACCTACTGCTTCAGCGCAGGTATGCAATTCAGAGTAGTCAGTTAATTTGACGTTGACTAGAATGTTGTCTAATGTCTGCAATACAATCTCTTTATCTTTGAGGTAACACAAAGCTATGGAAAGACATTTTAGTAGAAAATGTTTCTCAATTTGTTTCATTTGCAATTCCCCATTGCCATTTCCCATGTATCTGAAAATAAAAAAGTAGCCTCGAATTACATTTTTTACATATTTAAATAACACTTTTTTTGATATTATCACCTAACAGTTTACAAAACCGCGATATATGTTTCAGTGTACAATAGCTTCTTCAGGCATGCTCAGTATCAACTTAATTAATGTCTACATAATACTTCTTAGATATTATAGTTATAGAACACATCTGTACAACTGCTTTCTTGAAAGTAACTGATGATATTTTCGAAGCTGCTGACAAAGGTAACACGACTGCTTTAATACTTATAGAATTCTCCAAGGCTTTTGATACCATTAGTTATCCAATTTTATTTGCAATTCTGAACTTCATCAGGTTCTCTGAACCTGCTATAAATTTAATTAAAAGCTATTTTAAAGATTGTTCACAGTTTGTAGAAACTTCGAAGGGAAAATCAAGCAGTGAATTTATTAAATTTAGAGTGCCTCAGGGATCTACACTTGGATTTTGCGTTACACTTGTGATCTAGATTCTGCTTTAAGACATTGTAATTCACATATGTATGCGGATGTCACACAACCCTAATGACGTTGCTACTGCTAATCGAAAATTGAATGAAGATCTAGCTGGTCTCATTTCAGCATCTGAAGCTCATAACCTCAAAATCAATTCAAACAAAACTAATCCGCTTGTTTTTGGTACCAATCGTAGCTTGGTGGAAAGATATATTAATATTGTTATTGGTGATACAGTAATATGCCCCACAAACGTGGCAAAAAATGTAGGTATTGAAATGGACGTGAGTTTAAGGTTTACAAAACATGTCACAAAATGTGTTCAAAGAAGTTACATGAGTTTGAAAATGCTTTATCCTTATCGTCATTTATTATCAATAAGTTTGAAAATAAAATAACAAATGTGCTTGTGTTGAGTCATTTTGCATATTGTGATGTTGTGTACGGTTCACGCCTGGATAAAAAAACATTTTTAGAATTGAAAAAGTTCAAAAATCATGTCTTAGGTACTTATATATGGTATTAGAAAATATGACAGAATTTCATATAAACTTAAGGAAACCAAATGGTTAACTATGAGAAATAGACGTGTTTTACACTCGGCTACCCTCTTCCATAAAATATTAATTAACAAATGCCCATCACATTTGTATAACAAAATAAGATTTCGTAGCGATGTACATACTTTAAATTTGAGGTTTAAAGGGTTACTTTCTTCTCCGCTCCATCAAACCACTCTATATCAACGATCCTTCAGTTATAACATATATAGTTGGTATAATAATATTCCACAAAAATATAAAGTTAGTTAAGTTTCCTTATTCAAGTGCTGTTACAAAAAATATCTCATCGCTGCTCAATCAGAAAATCATTGATTTCATAGATTTTATACTTCCTGAAAAAATTTCAGTATAAAAATTCAACATGTTTTCTCTCCCTCTTTCCTCTCTCCTTCCTTTTTTTTTCTCTTCTTTTCTTTTATCTTCTTTAGTTTTTTTTTCTTCCAGGCTAGAACTAAGATCAACAGTACCCTTCCAGTACATGTTGTTTCTAGCCTCATTTGTAGTTTTTTTATTACTTTTATAGATTGAATGATTATTGTGTTTATATGTAATAAGGAACTACAAATAAATAAATATTATTATTATTTGAATTATAATGACTTCTACTAAATACGATTTCTGGGAACGAAACTCATCAAATTGGATATAAAATGAAAACAAAACTACTTGACCATTACAATAATTGAAGTCTAACCTAATTATAAATTTCATTACAAAACAAATTCAACAAAGGAGAATTATTAAAATCTTTTTGGTTATTGAACAATTATTCCGCATTCTGAAATCTATTGTTTTCCAAACATTCCAAGATTGAGTTTTGAACCGTTCTCTTCCAAATTTTATGTGATCATGATTGAACTCATGTCCCTCAATCAAAATATGTTTTGAAAATGTTAAATTCGTCTTCTCATCATAGAAACTCTTCTAGTATATAGCCCCCAAGTGTGTCTAGACCTAGAGTAATTTATATTAACTTAATAATTAAGTATAATTCCCAATCTTCAATTTCTCCCGTTTGCCGTGTTTTCCTGAGTTGAGTTGTATAAATTGCGATTAACAATGCAGGATATTATTAACTCCTCAGCCTCAAAAATTACGTAAAAGAGCTTGGACCAGGTCTACCCAATTTAGAAAAACCATCATAAACATTACAAGTCATTCTACTTTGGTGAACTCAACAATAATATCGTGCGTTTTTTGAAAAATAATAATTTAGAAGAGGCCTACATGATTAAACAATATTAATTTGAAACAATAAAGACAAATCTTCGGTGTCAGATAGATCGGGAGTTTATAAGTTGACTTGTGGTTATTATTCCAAGCAATATATTGGGCAAACGGGAAGAACTTTCTCCAGCAGAATAAAAGAACAAATTAGAAGACTAATTCAACATTTGCAAACAATTTTTTGGCAGAGTGGCATGAATTCAATTGTGATTAAAACATATTGCATTTTAAAAAGAAAAGTTTAAAACTCGATTTTTTGAAATGCTTATAAATAAGACAATAGATTCAAGAATTACTCAACGAACAAACATATTTGATCGATTCTCCTTAGTTAAATTTATTTTGTAATGATGAAATTGATAATTAGGGTATATTTTAATTATTGTAATATGAGGCTCAGGAATTTTTGTTTTCATTAGGTATCCAATTTGATGAGTTTCATTCTCAGTAACTTTAAAAATGTATTAGTTATGCAGTAAAAGTCATAATGATGCAAATTACTATAATATAAAAGAACATGCTTGACGAAGTTATTGTGAATATTCAAAATAAAATCTCACAATGAAGTGTTATTTAAGTATGCTATAATGGATGTTTTTCAGATATCAGCCAGTTCCATCGCATATCTCAAAAATTTTTGACATTTTTCAATCACAGACAGGTAATAAGAATAATTTTCACCTGGAATTATTATACACATCAAGCTGACTTGTTGCTTTGGATACGATAACTTCATTGAAAGGTCCATTGTTAGTAGTTTCTAACAAAATATTCAAAAAGTCAAATAAAAGATCTTGCCATTCTGTAGTATTAAAATGCTCGTAGTTTTGTTCCAAATATTTCAACAGTTGAGGTATTTTTACATCCCAGACAGCTTTGTAAGCATCTACTTTGCATGGTTTGATGTTTTTCAGGAAATTCAGTATGTAGCAACCTCTGAAGTTCGGTAGAGGATTGGATAGCAGAGAAAGACACCTGATGAATGCTGTTTCACAACTCTCAACTTTTTCTTTCTTCGAAGCTAAATGTGTCAAACATCTCAATATAATGACGATGGCATCATCGTAGGCCGGACTTAGAAAACACTTCAGCAAAAGGTCCCACAAAATGACTTCCAGCTCAGCAACAGAAGTACTCAACATATATAAAGTGTTGTCTGTTGATTTTTGAATGTTTTGCAACTCCTGCAAGTCCACATCACTATTCTTAGGAAGAACTTGCTTACAACACATTTTTAGAATAAACTCCATGTACTTTTCAGGGCCATCGGGATTCACCTCTGCGAAAAATCATGGCCAGTATTATTTCCAAAAAATGAAACTAGAAAAACTCACCTTTATCAAGCAGTACTTTCTTGCATGAAAAAGCAACAATAATTTTAACCAGAGCCTCCTTCACTCTGATATGATTATCGCTCAACAGTTCTCTCAGATACCTAATTACATCTTTGAATCTCCTATTAATTGAATGATCTTTAGAATAAGATACAAGATGTGTTAAAACAATTAGAGACTTCACTCTCTCTTTTTCATTATTATTCTTCAGCTGGATCAATAACTGATCTATAGTATTATCAGTGAAGTGCAAAGCAAAACATTCGTAACACCTTAACACTTCAGAGTGGCTTTTCAGCAAACCAGGTTGAGCATAATCAGGTGACACGCAAATCAAATCAAAGATGGTATTCAGGATATTCATCAACAGAGGTTCCAAAAGGGTTCCGTTCACTGAAGCAGCCTTTTGGATGACTGATCCTAAACATTTCGTGATATTATATGGATCGATGTTCTTTTTGTAAAGGTTCAATAAGACTTGTATGAGTTTTGAAGTTTGCTGAGTTACTTTATCTAGATTCAATACTGGGAATATGGAAGATATAACATCCAAAGTGCTTTGTGTTACTTTAGGTTCACGAGAAAATAGCCAAGTTGTAAATAAAACATCATAAACCATGCCAAATTCAATGTTGAAATTTTCCAAAGATATTGTGGGATCAGGAACTTTTTCATTGTTCGATACATACTCCATTAATGCATCACAAAAATTACCCAAAGCTGAAAAAAACCGATAAAAATACATTCTACAAAATGGACACGAATAATATTCATTACCAGCATATGTATACAATTAAACAATGAGAATATATGACGGAGGATAAGTTTCGATTATTTGATGATATTAGTTGTAAATTTTAATTCCAAAGTTTTGTTGCTCCTTACACGACCATTTTAGGTTTTTTGCTCCTACAGGACCGTTTTAGGTCCACTATTGTTCCTAATCTATATCAATGGACCCTGCAGTTTCATAAAACCAGCAAAATGTATCTTGTTTGCAGATGATACGACTTTATGTTCTGGCAAAGACTTTACCAGCCTACCGCTAATGATGCAAGATAGTGAAACATTAGCATATAATTGGTTTGGAGCTAATAAGCTGACCCTAAATGAAAAGAAAACTAGAAATATATTTGTGTCCTCCTATCCAAATATTTTTCCAACTAAAAGTACACATATTTTATGATTCGTTATTTATAATAGATGGAGCTGGTCGGATCATATCAAAGATGAGACTAACAAACTTTCTAATGTTCTGTTTGTTCTAAGACGATTAAATAATGTGGTCAGCTTGAAGACGCTCAAAAGAGCCTACTATAGATTATTTCACTCAGTTATGTCTAATGGTATTCCGATTTGAGACCATTCAGGTAACTCAATTTACATTTATATATTATTATATTATACATATTTATAGTGATCATACAATATAGAATTTTTTATTCACCGAATATTACTCCTGATATCTCTTAACACTATATTTCCAGTAATTCTGTACAATTCCAAATAATTATTAGGTCTAAATATTTATGCTTTTCAGTTTGGCTGATTAATTTGCACTTAATTTTAACATTCAGCTTAATATTGTTCATATTTTTTTATTTAAGATCATATAAAACTATCATTTCTGAATTTATTGTTGAATTAAAATCATTTCATCATTTCCAATCACCACTTATAGGAACTGAGGAATTTTTGTAAATGAGAATTGATCATCAATGAAACCTACAATTTCAATATTATCAGCATAGAGTGAATAGATAATTCTGGCCGAAACTGAACTATAATAAATCAATTCGAATTACTGAATAAAATTGATAAACTATCAACTTAAATCAATACAGTATGTCAACAGAAGATGTTTATTAGGAAATCTAATTTATTGACAATAGAAATCAAGCCAACTTACCAAACCCAAAAGACTGTTTCAGTATATCAGACCTCAAACCTCCCAAAAGGGGAATCATTATGGCAAGAATATCTTTTAGATAAAGAATTATTCCATTTGCATTGGTACTTGCCATTGCCCCAAATGTATGTGGAACCATGAAATGAGGCAATACTCCTGATTGAATTTTTCCACAGAGCGAATCCATTACCTACAAAGTTTTACTTTTTTTTTGGTGTGATGACATAAAAATTATTTTCTTTACTTGAACATAATGTTCTCTTCCAAGCGCTACCAATATTCCACACGAGGGCATCTGAATGAGTGGATCGTAACTGACATTTTCAGTCATGATAGATAAACTGATGTCTATAACCCTGATAATGGTATCTCCGTCAATTTTGAGAATATGGTCGGAGCATACTGCTTCCATTATAATCAAAATTGAAGCAATATGTTCGGGTGAAGGTTTGGGGTTTTTGGTACAAAATTGACAACATGATTCCAAAACTTGATTTGGATGCTTTTCTGATAATTTTCTCAGAGAACTCTTCACCGTCTCCAACACTAGTATACTTTTATCAGTAACTGATGATAAAAGGGTACCTATGGCCACTAAAAAGCACATTAATGGTAAATATTACATGATATTAAATATTAGGAAATATCACCTTGTAATTGGCTTTCAACATTTACTTTTCCGTTATTGATCATAGCGAAATCGTTATATATCACCAATTCATTATTCTACGAATGCAAATACTTTATGTTTATTTAACAACATAACAAACTTTAACAAGAAACGTCAAATTGAGGTTAAGTTGAATGTCAATGTCAAAATGTCAAATGTTGGCGTTTTTAATTGCTGAAACTAGTGCGACTAAAGACAATTTGATGCATTCCTTTTCGAAAAAAAAACTACTTTGAAAGGCTTCAAATAATCAAATAAGTCAAATGTCGTCCTATATTTGAAATGTTGTCCCTTTCACAAGAGTATGTTGGTTCAAAACACTTTTTCCCCTTGTTTCTCTTCACTGTTACCCTTCGACACGAATATATCTTAAATAATTGTAGAAGTTACTTTCAAAGATAATATTTTCCAAATAGATCAAAGAGTAAACACTCTGTTCATCGTTAAAATCACTTGCACAACTGAAAGAGTACGCTATATTACAATGTAATATCATCGTACATTTTTGACTTGTATTTCAAAATCAATTTCAATTTTTGTTGCATAGCGTTATGATGGAGTATGTCTTCAATTTACGCTTTCTGGTATCTACTACATGATGCATTAGATGACCTCACCTTACATATTCGAATGAGCTACCAAACGCTAGCGCCACTCGTGGTTATCTTAAGAACATTCAGAAAAACCCCACTGAAATCATCAGTTATGTTATACAGTCGAATCCAGTGATTCAACTTCAACTCAACTTTATTTCACCTTTCTCAAAAAACAATGAATGTTTATGATAGGGAAATTTAAACTCAGAACGCCGTCTTTTCATGAGTCTCTTCAATCTTGCAAAAAAAAAAACCGAAGGAGGCTAAATCTGGTAGATACGGTGGCTGAGGTATGATAACGGTATTGTTTTTGGCCAAAAATTCACGAACAAGCAATAACGAGTGAGCAGGTACATTCTCGTATCACAATCAAAACTCAACTATGAGAACGTTTGTTATGGTTATAATAATAAAGACTTTCATCATTTTCATTATTATCATCTTTCACTTAAATGAAAAAACACTCTGCTACATTATGGTTGAAGCTCTGAGAATAGCTTTGATCCTCCCTAGGTAGCTCGCGGATTCATTAACTAGATATAACTTGAACACGATGTTGACGACCTTATTCGATGCAGAAGGTATCATATACAAAGTAAATAGGCTACTGAGAATGCTGAATGTCAAAGTGAATATCAAAAAAGATTGTCATTTTCTGCCATAGGTACTCGACCATGGTTAAATATAATTTGTCTATGCTGCCAAACTGTCCAAACTTTTTCATTGGAGAGGTCAACAAAGTTTCAAATCCAACCTGTATAGACACAGCTCTCAGCTCGTCATGAAAATGATTATCTTTAGTAATTGTGCACGCTCCATGAAAGTGCCGAAGTGGTTTCGTTGAATGAATAGGGAATGGAGAGAAGCCCAAAAAGTTACTTAGAATGAACAAAGTAACTATGGAACTTGGCTGTTAGGTATATGGTTCTAGTTGGAGTTCAGCAGTTGATTGGAAAGCTGGTCCTTAACCGTTGAATTATTGAACGTATGAGTTGGTACCAACATGAAAATTGAAGTCTATAGTCGATAAAACTATAAAAGAAACTAAAAGTTAAAAGGAAGATTGGCAGCGCTATTTGCAAAATCACGACGTGCCTGCAAAAGTATTTCTGTACGTCAACAATAAAATAATTTGTTCATATTCAGGTTGAACTTATTGTAGTGGATAAAAAATATTTGTGTGAATTATTATCCATTTTCAGTTTGTTATTTCTAGTGAGAGATATTTTTAGAATATTTTTAATCGTTGATTTTGGGGCGCCATTTTGTATATGCCGGTGGATTTTTCATAGACTTGTCAAAAAAGTGTTCTCTTTGAAAACAATTGTATGGACTCCTGAAGCACTGGTGAAATTAAAATCATCGGAAGTCCTCAGGACCACGTAATTACAAACAGTGGGTGAGAATTATTTAGTGTTAATGCTTTGATTTATGGGGCTGTCATTTCTGTCACTCCCATTTATTTTTCCTAGTTATTTTCCTGCAACATCTATGACATTCATTCATCTAGTATTGAAATTTTGCTCATAGATACGCATTACATCAGTTTGTAGTCGACATATTTTATCTTTACCATTTAGTTTATACTTGGGAACAATTTCTACACCTCTCCCCTTTTTTCAGTCTAGTCTAAAATGGTAATTTGAAAATAGAAAATACACTGAAATATGACTATTGCAACCAGAGGACAAGGAATCACAGGAGATACTATTGAAACACAAGTAAGTCTATTTTATGAAAATTGATTCCTGAACTGTACAGATATCAAATATCAACTATGTTTTGAAAATCTATATGTAATTTATATTTCAGTTTGGTTATTACAAAGTTATATTTCATGGTTCTTCTTTGTTGAATGATAAAGTGTTTAGTATATTATCAGTAGAGAGAAATCCAAAAATGACCCAATGTTAAAACATTGGGTTAAAACAAATATGCAGATTCAAAAATGTTGAATAGATAATTGAGTGATTGTATATTTTTTTTGTCATAAAATATATGATATGACATTGATCATCAACAAAAAGTATTAAATCCACTCCAAAACTACATTGTTTCCAAACTAGATCAATAACTGCATTTTCTGAAGCATTTATTTTTTGAAGGTGTCACAAATGAATTGACACATTAATGATAAATGAGGTGCACTCGTAATATAACTTTTTAAGGAAATGTAATGAAAAATGCTTCCAAGTTGAATTCAAGTTCTTGATGATATTTCTGTTAGTCTTTTTAGTGGAACTGATAGGTTTGCATTTTTGGCAACAAAGTAGTTTTCACCTTGACAGTATTCTAAAATTAGTTCCAAAGTCATCAATAGTACTGAAGAAATATGAAAAATATATCCCATTATATCAATTCAATGATTATTTTTATTTGCTATATTTTGAACCCTTCGGAATGTATAATAAATATTAGATGCGACAAAGGCAAGAAGATGATGAGTCAACATCCTAAATAATATCCAAAATTCAATAGAACTAGAATCTCTGTGAAATTATAACTTTTTTTTAAAAGTGGTTCCTCTTACGGGAAAATTAAATTTAATCATTATAAGGAACCATCTTAATCATTCTTCCATGAACTGAAGAGATGAGTGGATATCAAATTTGTTAAAAATCAAAACTTTATACTTTAAAGTTTACTGGCTAATATAATGATAATTCTGACTATTACAACTTATACACAAGCAACATAGAATGAAATAATGTCACAAATTTGATTCACGCTTCTCAAATACTGTATTCAATTAGACAATTTAGTATACAGCTTCATTGTCATATGATGAGAAGTTTTTTCACTTACAGAGTTAACCTATGTATGACGGGTATAAACTAATTTCTTTTCGTTTAATTGTTTATTTGAAGTATTGAATATTCATAAAAATAGTGGGAGTATATCGTCATTATCCAATTATTATTGAAAACGCAACTACACAGCTACAGCTGATATTCTACTCTTTGTTCTATTTCATCAATCTTTGCAAGAGAAAAAAAAGTTAACAAGCTGTAAAAACTAAATGAAAGTCGTTCTTCATAGAAAACAATCTTCTTCGTCTTCAATATGTGTCACAATATGATTGGGTTTTCTAATTAGTAAGGATCATTAATTTTTTATAAACAAGTTGTATGGAATAAGAATAGAAAATGCTGATATTTTCAAAATAGGAAGTGAAGTCTCTAGAAGTAGTATCATTTCAAATCGGTACTATTGAATTAATGTTATACATTATAATTTCAACTATACTAGTTTTAAAATACCTATCAACTTCTATATTAATTCAAAACATGAATAATATATTTTTTACCACACGGTTTTTTTGAACATTTTATGTACCTAGATACATTTTCAATATATCTACGTTTCAGACTTAGTAAGAGAAGATACCATGAAAGTGCTCAATTTTTTTTGTACTCCACTTTCAATTTCAATTTAATCTTTAACGAAACTTCCTTGAAAAAAATCATAATTTAAGAGTTACAAGTTATTTAAACTTATACTGTTAAATTCTCCAGAACTTTTTTTTTTCAGTTGCTTGCAGACAGAGTTGTCTTTCAGTTGAATGATAATATTTTAATATTTCAAGTGTCTAAAAAATGTAAAAAAAAGTAGATTGATCTGAAAAATCATCTGTTTAATTTCTATAGGCTTGTAACTCTACGACAAAATTTATTTTGGGATATACAGTTTATCATCTGTTATAGGATTCTTTGATTCAAGCGTCATTTAGTCAATAATAAAAATTTCAGTTCCTAAATGATATTATTATCAAAATTAGAATACTGTTACCAAAAAAGTTTCTGTTAGTTTCTGTTAATGATTTTCCCTTGCAACATAAGGTAAGTGGTCCTTGGGTCCGAGAAACTTGTGCCCTGAGAAGACGCAATTAGTCGAAAATGACTAATGGCCAGTTTATACTGGAGTTCGATAGTAGAGGATTCCAAGACAAGTGGTTTAAGTGAAATTTGCCAAGTGTGAAGAGAAAATCCGTTTTTCTACCTCTATTTGAATGACATTCGTTTCACCTGGAGCGGAATACTCCACAACATTGCATATTTGGTTTTGAAGTAGAACATTTAATATTAAATTGAGCATCTCGTTTTTGACAAACAAATTTTATTGATGTATTAAAAAGAGACCCATTCTCTGTTGTGTGATTTATATCCAGGCGAAAAACAGTTTGTCGAGCAAGTGTATTATATTAATAATTAAAATGAGGTTGTAGGTTCCCTGTAAATATTGAGTGCATTATAATTTTCATTATTCTTTTTGTATTTATGTGGTATACTGATATATACCTTGTTTATTGATTTTGAGAAAGTAAGACATATTAAAAAATAATTCTTTCAGCAGCTCTATACAAACTTATATAACTTGCCACTATACAGGGTGTATCAAACAATAGGTGGGTGGATGGGTGGACGATAGCTGCTTGTAGCTAGCTGTAGAGATTGAGGAAAGCTATGTTTCAATAATTGTTATTAATATACAGGGTGTTCAATAAATGTGTGACAGACCAAACTTATGTTTTTTTTTTTTCAAATAGAATACTGAAGATATTTTTCATTCGTATGAATTTCTCGGATAGAGGGCTTCTCAGAAATTTGAGGTTGTTTGGGTTTATACCAGGTGGTTTAGAAGTTTAGGTGAAATTTATGTCAAAAAATGGGTTCATTCAACACCAAATATCTCTACTCGTTCAAATGGAATGAGGAAAATTTTCCAGCAAATATCCTTGAGGGTAGTGTATTTTCATTTCGTCTTCAGAAGTTCACTGAACGGTCCTTTTCAAATAGCTTTTCAAATAGAACACCCTGTACATAGGGCCATTCCAGAAGAGTCTACACTTTGAGCTCCCAGAAAATATAGGAATTGGCTACTTTATTAACATCAGAAATGTATCTAATTGTTTAGGGAAGTATGAAAAAGTCATTGAATAAAAGCAATAACGTTTTTTATTCATTGCTGGAGAAAACAAGTAACAAAATGAAAACAATTTTAATTGAAAGGCATAAATTTACAACAGATGTTCAAATAATCTCCCATTTTGAACTATGCATAACTGCAGTCTATCAACAATTTCCCTTTGAATTTCAATGAAAGTCGATCTTGTAATAGACCAAAAAACTTCTCTAAGCCTATTCTTTATGTTTTCTGATATCGTTGGTTTCTATCGATGGACTTCTTCTTTAACATATCCCCGTAGATAGAAATCTAGTAGCTTGAGGTCTGGGGATCGTGCTGGCCAGTGAATGGGTCTATCTCTTCCAATCTATTTATTCGCACGCCATCTGTTCAAAACCCATGACCGATTTTGGTTGTGGGGAGACGTACTACCATGTTGGTACATCCTCCAACAAATTTGATAAACCATTTTGCAGAAAATCTCTATAATTTACTGAGGCCCATCAAAGAAATATGGTCCTATGACTCTACAACTCTTTCACGAAACATTTTTTTTGTATCTCTAATAGGAAAGTAGATATCGTCTACCACCTATCGTTGATACACCCTGTATCATCAGATTCATTGCTATCACGGTCTTGAATATAGTTTGTCTTTCAGGTATATATTTATTGAAAAAACTGCTAAATCACTGTAATACGAGACATCTGAATTTTTTCCTTATTTGATAAGTATTACCAATTTTGGTACTTTTCAGTAATCTGTATATTTTAGGGATCCACTCCCGGCCCGTCTGAAAATAATGCCGAGGAATTACAAGATGAAAATTTCGAACCCGATTTTCCCAAAGATAAATTAGCCTCCTTAGATGAAAAGATATCGAACTTACGATGGGTCGTACCGGTACTAGCCGATCAAGAACTCGAATGCCTCCTGAAAGCATCCATAGACTTGGCAAGAAAAAATCTCGATACAAGGTCGGAGGCTTGCCAAAGATTTTTCCGTGAAGGATTGACGGTGTCTTTCACGAAGATATTAACAGATGATGCCGTATCGAGTTGGAAACCTAATATTCACGCCTGCATCAATCAGAATTGTTTGAAACTCATCGAATTATGCGTCGTGAAGCTGCCGCACGACTGGTTCCCTCTTCTAGATCTCCTAGCAATGGTCCTCAATCCCAACAATAAGTTCCATAGTTTCAATTCATCCCGGCCAAGCGAGACGGCAGGTCCTAACTCAAACTTGTCGGAAGAGGAGCTTTTTGCCCGACCTTCTAGCGACCTTCGAAACCCCAGAGGCTGGCTCGTTGACTTGATCAACAGATTCGGGGAATTGGGAGGTTTTCAGGCACTTCTAGATAGATTTCAGTCGGGAAAGAATCTAAGCGTCTCGGTGGTTTTTGCGTTGGCTAGACCTTTTGGCTTGTGTTATGAATTCCTAACTACACATACAATCAACAAATATATTCTACCTATTCTGGTGAGTACTATGAAAATGATTATTTGTTTACCATCATCATCGTCAATGTATTCTAGTACTAAGTTGAATAGTGTTTGTGTTACCTTGCTTTACTATTTGAATAACTTATTTCTTTTTGAAATTTCACCCTTGTTTTTGTTTCGTTCATTGTCATTTTTGTCAGTTTTCTCTTTTTGTTTTTTTGAGATCCTTTAACGCTTTAATCATTAAGCATGGTTGGAGCCTAATACATCTTATAAATCAATTTTTCCAATGATAGGTATTCACTGTATATATTTATTTATTTATTTATTCATTAACGGGTAACACCCAATTAAGTTTAAGAGATTTCACAATAAATTACATGAATACAACAAATAATTACATCTAACTTGCTAAAGGTAAAACTAATTTATTGATAAATAAAAAAATAACAGTGAGAAAATAAATTTACTGAATTGAAATATTAATTAAATAAATGAATTATTAAGATAAGGAAAATTCAATAATTGAGGATGTTTATGTTTATATTTACTACCATTTACAATTTATTTCTGAGCGAGCGTAATGCAAACTTAAATTTTGTTTCGTTCAATGAAAAGAAGTCCAGATCGACTTTATTACCACCAATAGCAACTCTAGACAAGGGAGAGTGTTTACCGTAGTTACAACGATGAAAATCTATTGCAAATGTTTCTGTATTCCTTGTACTTCTAGAAGGAACATGTAAGCCAATTTGCGCTTGCAGTGCAGGGAAGTTAATAAGATAATTTAATAATTGGAATAAGAGTTTTAAGTCAGTTTCCACTCTACGACTACTTAGCTTCATTATATCTGCAACCCTACGAATATCATCTAATGAATGGTCCTTCAAAGGCATTTTTAACTTGAACGCCAAAAATTTAAGAAACTTGTTTTGTACCCGTTCAATGTTAAGTGCAGGACTTTCATAGGTGGGTGACCATATGGAACTGCAATAATCTAAAACTGATCTTACCAGGGTGAAATACAGCATTTTTATACATTCACTATTAGAGAAGTCCTTGGAAGTACGACAAATGAAGTCTAGCATTTTTGTTGCTTTGTTTATAATATAATTATAATGTAGGTGAAAGTCCAGTTGTTTATCCATCACTACTCCTAAATCAGTTACAAATTCGACACGTGTTAAAAGTTCTCCCGATATGTAGTAATCATAGTCTACAGTTGTAAGTACTCGATAGTACGTCATACATTTACATTTATTCACGTTGAGATTCATATCATTTTGTGAACACCATTCACTAAATCTGTTTAAATCTGTCTGTAATACTAAGCAATCATCTGGTGTTTGAATTGTCTTGAACATTTTCAAATCATCTGCAAAAAGATGTCAGTATATTTTAAGTTAACTCTGATATCATTAATAAAAATGTTGAAAAGAAACGGCCCTAGATGGCTTCCTTGTGGTACACCTGCTAAACCATTAATTTCGTGAGATATGTATTCCTTGACTTTTACATATTGAGATCTGTTACTAATATAGCTTATCAGCCATTCCAATAGTGTTCCACAAAATCCAATTGCTTTCAATTTCTCACATAAAATTGAACGGTTCACTGTGTCAAATGCTTTGGAAAAGTCAGTATAAATGACATCTACTTGATGTTTCTCCTCCAAAGCATTCAACACATACTGTGAAAATAACAGTAAGTTGGAAGTTGTTGATCTGCCTCTGGTAAAGCCATGTTGTTCATCTATAAGAACTTGATTAACTGAATCTTTGATTTCGTCACATACTGTGGACTCAAGCACTTTGGGTATAGCATTGATAATACTTATTGGGCAATAACTCTGTAAATTAGCTTTATCACCAGATTTATGAACAGGTGTTATGAAGCTTGATTTCCAGTATAGAGGAAGTACACCTAATTTCAGAGAAGAAGAGAAAAGCGCTAATAATGGTTTTGCAAGTGTAAATCGGCAGTTTCTCAATAAAATATTTGGTATTCAGGACCTTTATTAATGTCTAATTCCTCTAGCTTGGTTAGAATCGTTCCCAGACTAATAGTGCAGTTACTTATGTGGAGGGTATTATCGTTATTAATTTCTGGTATATTTGTCAGCTCATTAGGTTTATAAATAGATTGAAATTCTGTGGCAAAATTATTTACAATATTATTACCATTTTCAAATTACTCTGAATATTAAAACACAAGAGAAATCCATTCCTAAAAATAGCAGTTTACACAAGTACGATACAAGAAAAAGTGCTGATTTTTGTATGTGGACTAAATACTAAATTTACATCATATTTTGTGACGAGTCCAATAAGTTATACATTCTGTACTCCTTTTTGTAATAACTTCAGTGACAAATAAAGTTCTATTCTATTCTATCCGTCTATAGTGTTCAAAGCACTTTTGAAGTCAATAATACTATGTGAACTCATGTTTTATTCTCATGATTTTAATAGGATTTGTTGTGTGTGTTTGTGTGTATAACATTTATCGTTGATCTTCTTGGTCTGAATCAACTTAGATATAGGCACTCAGTCTTTTTCCGGTAAAGTTTTTAATTTTATTATTTATTATGTTTAACAATACTTTATATATTTATGCATTTAGGAACGTGATAGGTCTGTAGTTTTCACATATTATGTCTTTGTCTCCTTTCTTATATATTGGTGTTGTGATTACTTTTTTCATTCTTAATGTATTTAACCATATCTGTTTTTTTAATATATGTATATCTAATCATGTATTTTTTGTCCTACAAGTTTAATTTGAAAAGAAAATAATCTTTTTTAGGAAATGATTCCCGGTATACTTGGCAAATTGACTGATGATGAGCTGAAGAGGGAAGCAAAAAATGAGCAAAAAAGCGATATAGTCTCAGCTATTATAAAAGCGTCAAAAAATTTGGCGTCAAGAGTACCGAATCAGGAAGAACTAATAAGAACTTTGGAGGGATTTAGACTGACCATGATTCTACGGCAGTTGCAGATATCAAGTTTCAATGGAAAAATGAATGCCCTTAATGAAATCAATAAGGTAATATCGAGTGTTACGTATTATCCCAACAGACACCATGGTATGGATGAAGAAGAATATTTAACTCCGGAAAGGATGGCGGTAAGTGTATTTTTGACTATGCTGTCAGATATATAGAGTTTGTGCATTCTTTATTTATATGTTAGGAAAGCCAATAATGAGCATGAGAAAATTGAAATTGAAAAAATGAGTGAATGGGTAAATCCGAAATAGGAAATGTCGAGAACAAAAAACTATACACAACAATAACAAAATAAGTCCCACAACATTAAACAACCACTATTGTTCAATAACCGCAAAATATTCAGTTGATACAGTCTCGAGCAACGACCCAATTAAATATTTGAAGGGTGTTCAAATAGATCAACATTTGATTTAATCCCCATTATATCACTTGTTCCGACTTTATCCAAAATTATTGAAAAAATCATAAAAAGGTGGCTAATTTACTTTCTCTATAATAATAACATATTGAGTCCACAGCAGTATGGGTTTCAAAACAACAAAAACACAAATGATGCAGTTTTTAACTTTCTGCATAAGATTTATAGTGATATGATTTCTGGTGCCTATTCGGCAGCTGTATTCTGTGACGGAATCTTATTCCGGAAGCTGAAACATTATGGTTTTGAGCACAGAAGCATTAGATGGTTTGAATCGTACTTATTGCATCGAAAGCAAATTGTAAGACTCAACCGACTCAAATGTAGGAGAAATCACAGCAGATGTCCCTCAAGGTTTCATCCTAGGACCCATCTTGTTTCTATTCTATATTAATGATATAACACAACTGGATCTAACTGCTAGCATCACATTATTTGCAGACGACACAACGTTGCTGTGGCAGGGAAAACATCTTACAAAACTAGCTCAAGATGCCACCGTAGACATGGAAAAAATTAAGAGCTGGTGCGACTCAGATAAGCTTTCTTTAAACTTAAAAAAAAACCATCTCCTCACCTTCAATTGTGAACTCCCACCTCTTAGTTTGAATAACAACATTCTCGAGATGAAATTGTCCTCCAAATTCTTAGGACTTCACATTGATAATAAGCTTAAATTTGAGGATCATATTATCAAGTTGAATAAAAAACTTGCATCTGGCTGCTTTGTAGTGAAGTCAGTTTCGAAGGAACTGGGTAGAACCTTTGCAAGATCTGCGTACTTTGCCTTTGTGGATGCACATATAAGATATGGTATTGCCGTCTGGGGAGTATGCAGCAAAAGCATGCTGCAGACTGTTTTCGTTTTACAGAAGCGAGCTGTCCGGTATGTGTGTGTGTGGGGCAAATTTCCAAGATCACTGCAAACCATTATTCATTGAACAACGAATTCTGACAATAATATCCCTATTCATTCTTGAAACAGTAAGTCTGATTCATAAAAATATATCTGCTCGTGATGATGTAAATGAGCCACAAGCTATAACTTGATCAGACTTCCCCTGCCTACAACAATGGTGAAGGACTCATTGATATACAATGAAATAAAGATGTACAACAAAATTCCCATATACCTGAAGAGTTATTCTTTGAATATTTTCAGGAAAAAATTAAGCGGCATTCTGATTGATAAAGCCTATTATAGTTTAGATGAATTTTACAATGACAACGCTTTTTATGAATTATAGTTTACTACTGTATGTCACTATAATATAGCATATTTTTTTAAGGAAATTTTTTGAATTTTAAATTGAATAGCATTTATTTTGTTTCATAAAAATGTGTTTGACACCTTATTTTATATAAATGGGCTTTTAGGAATTACTTTTATACTACTTTGACATAGTTCATAATCGTTTGTCAACAAGAACTCTTTCTTAGGACAATAAACGTATTTCTCTTAATTTATACGTACCTAGATATTCTACTTTGAAAAGGGAAAATTACCTTTATAAATCAACAATTAAGGCAAAATATAAATTATAGTTCAATACCACTTCCACAAGCCACATAAACAACAGTTATTTTGTTATTTATTTATATAGAGGAAGATAGGTTAGGTACACATATGTCACAGAATGTCTCAGAACTGGGAACATAAGTAAATAGAACAGCACGCCTCTGAAATATGTCATATTTCTTTGTCTCATACAGGTAACAGATTCATTGTCCTTTAAACGATGTTGCCAAATGGTGAAATAGAAACGAATCCCTTTAAATGTTGAATGCATTATTTCATTCCTCTTTTTTAAGTATTTAAATTATTTTTCAAAGAAAAAGGTTGATGAAATAATAAGTTTAAAATGCGTTGTTTTAGAGCTCTTTTATGAAAACTACTTGATTTTCGTCAGGAGGAACATTCCCCAATAGGGGTAGGGGGTGGTGAGTGGGTCTATTCGACCCTCCACTGCATCCTTTGAGGATTTATTATACTTCACAATAATTGTTTGAGAAAAATATATTCACCTTGAATATATCCCGATTGACACTACCAAAAAAATGTTGATTTTAAATGATAATTTGACCACTCCATATATATATGTCGATATTCATATTTCTTGGCTGAGTTACAATTTACTTTCCAATTTTTAGAAATGGATAAATGAAAATAAAGTACTAGAAATAGTTCTAAGAGATTCTCTACACCAGCCTCAGTATGTGGAGAAGTTAGAAAAAATTCTACGTTTTGTGATAAAAGAGAAAGCGCTGAGCCTCAACGACTTGGACGCAGTATGGGCAGCTCAAGTTGGTAAACATGAAGCTATTGTTAAGAACGTTCATGATTTATTAGCCAAGCTAGCATGGGACTTCAGCGCCGAACAGTTGGATCACCTGTTCGAGTGTTTCCAGAACAGTTGGACCTCTGCATCGAAAAAACAAAGAGAAAGGCTGCTAGAACTGATACGTCGCTTAGCAGAGGACGACAAAGATGGTGTGATGGCACACAAGGTGCTAACATTATTCTGGAATCTCGCCCATTCAGAAGAAGTACCTACAGAAATAATGGATCAGGCTCTCACGGCTCACGTCAAAATATTAGATTATAGCTGTTCTCAAGAACGGGATGCTCAAAAAACGGTGTGGTTGGACAAGTGTGTCGAAGAACTGAAGAACGGCGAGAGATGGGTGTTGCCTGCTCTGAAACAGATCCGTGAAATATGCACACTTTATGAACAAAATACGAACGGAGGTCATACTCAACGTACTCATCATATTTATTATAGACAAGAAGTGATAGAAAGATTGCAAAACCAGCATTCTTTAGTTATATTAGTTACGAATAGCCTTACTTGTTACATGGATCGATTACGTGTATTGTACAAAGAAAATCCCGAATTGACATGCGAAACTTACATCCCTGATGGAAGATACTGCCATGCGTTACAAGTTCAAGAAAGACTGAATTTCCTCAGGTAATATATTTTTATTTATTTATTTATTTATTGCACGGGATCACCCCTTTAATAATAATACAAGCATCAAGTGTAATAAACAATTTAAAAATTGAAGAAAGACTAAAAATTCACCTGTGATCTCTGGATGTAGATATAGATATCAGGCTATTATGGAACATACATATATATACAATTTGCAATAGACTAAATAGTGCAGTATTTGCTATAAGAAAAGTTAAACAACTTATTAGCCAATCTGCTGCAATAACTACTTATGCACTGTTCGAATCCATTATTAGATATGGCTTGTCTGTCTGGAGCTCGGCAGCTCAGTTTCATTTAAATGCTATATTCGTCATTCAGAAGAGGGCTGTAAGATCTATTATAGGAGCTAATTTTGAAGACTCCTGCAAACCAATCTTTAAAACGTTGAGAAACCATCACTAGAATACTTAAGTTAGCATCTAAATAAGTCTAGGTTAAGACTGTTCAAAAGAAATATATAATCATGATTGTCATTTATATCTTTTTGGTGTCTGCCCAGCAGCTCTTAATGTGTACACATGTGTATTCCACCTCATCACTTCTGTAATATAAAGAAAATTTAATAAATAATGTAATCGTTATAATATTTGAGAAAAAACAAGCAGTGTTCAATAAAACTGCAACAAAAATAATTCAGTGTGCATCCTCAATTTTATCAGAGATTACATACAGATCAATCAATATTATACAGAAATAAACGAAATTTGAAATTGTCAACAAGTTACATAAAAGTAATAAACATTTTAAAAAGATGAAATATTACCAACGGGAGATATTACATTACAATTTCTTGAATAATTTGCTTGCTCGGCTTGAAATATTCAAATGTATCATCATTTTCATCATTGTAAGTTGGTGAATCTATTGAAAACACTTTCTCATACATGCTGTCTCTCGTCCCACGTTTTGCTAATCAAGTTTGCATCATCAGGAGATGACTAAAGATGTGGGAGAAGTGTTTTCAATAAATTCACTTTACCAGAGGTTTCAAATTCTGCTTAATGAGAAGATGAGTTCCAAGACTTTTTTTACAGCAAATCGGTTGTGAATGCCTAAAGAAACACAAACACTGAATTTTTGATTAATTATTTTTGTGATCTTCATTTATTATGATTGTTTCCAACATTCACATTTGTTTTTTTTTCAGTATTGAAGAATCTTGCATATGTATTATCATCAAAACAGGTTTTTGATGACAATATTGAAACAGTATAACAGTTTAATCCGAAAACTGATCCTTCTTAATGCTAATATCTCACTTTTTTTAGATTTCTTCTGAAAGATGGACAACTATGGCTGTGCGCTGAACAAGCTAAACAAATTTGGCAATGCCTAGCCGAAAATGCAGTATTCCTGTCGGACAGAGAGGCCTGTTTCAAGTGGTTTTCCAAATTGATGGGGGAGGAACCAGATCTTGACCCCGGTATAAATAGAGACTTTTTTGAGAATAATATCCTCCAAATAGATCCTGTTCTTCTAACGGAAAGCGGGATCAAATGCTTCGAACGATTCTTTAAAGCTGTTAATATGAAAGAAGGGAAACTCAAAGTGAAAAGGAGACTATTATTGACCGAAGATCTGGATCTGATAGGTCTTGATTATCTCTGGAAAGTGGTAACGCTATGTTCCAACGATATCGCTTCTCGGGCGATTGAACTCCTGAAGGAAGTCAGTACGAATTTAGGTCCTAGATTGCTGCAGTCCCAGTTGGTGTTTCACGAAACTTACATCACCGAGTGTTACGATAGGCTTCGGGCTCATTACGACACATTGACAATATTGCAAAAGTCTATGAATGACAAAGAATTCGACACTGACCAAATACAGAATAGGATTAAAGCTGAGGCTGTGAAAATGTGTAGAGTGATGAAAGTTTTGCAAGAATATATGAGCGAATGTGACAATGCCTTTGTGGGGNTGACAAATACAAATAAATAAATAAATAAATACAGCTGTGGCCCAATATAATTTCTGTCAGATTTTCAATACAATATGGTATAATGAGAGATATGAAAATCATTCTAGAAGCATCAATCTGTTTAAAATCTGTTTTTCCGTTAATCAGCTGCCGCCCCCATACGAACGACAACTCTCAGAAGTTGAGAAACTTGTGCGAGCTAAGGACTAACGAGGTCTTACCTTTTAACGTGTGATTCCTACACGGTAACAAGGAGGAATAGTTGTTTTTTTGATCCCAATTACCACATATTTTAGAAAGTTTCTCTGAACTGATTTATTTCTTTGGTTGAGAAGTACAGTTGAAAGAAAAAAAATCAATGCACAGTAACGAAAAAAATGTCAAGTCCAAAAGTAAATATGAAAAACATAAATGTAAATAACTACATGTAAGTTTTGATAAACGTCCATGAGTAATAGAAGTATAAATGTGAATAGTTGTAGTCTATAAAAAAGTCAATATAACATAAACAACACAATGGGGAATGTTCCTCAATTTGGGTTATTACAGCAAATGCAAGTTTGAACAAAATAAAGATGAGTTTAATTCATGAGTTTTTCAAATTCACTTAGAAAAAGGTTAAAATGATAAGTTGAAAATGTGTTGTTTTAGAGCTCTTTTATGAAAACTACTTGATTTTCGTCAGGAGGAACATTCCCCATTTCTCAAGTATTCAGTGATTCAAAGCAAAAACCTGAGAATAAACACTATAACCAAATTTGCTAAAGCTAAAGATCTCATGTTAATTGATTAGTGAATTCTTGAAAGGTGTAACAAGTATTGATCATAATTATTTCATTGAAATGAGGTATTTGAAGCTAATTTAGATGATCTATGTATTATCAAAAAGTAGATAGAATTTGTATAGCATGAAAATAACAATTTTATGTATTATGTCGTGATTCAAAATCAAAAATCCTTGGCTCCATCCAACCATTAATTATTTTATTTTTCATCAGTGCAATATATTGCAACATTTTTGTAGCTAATCTCCGCCAAGGTGGTGCAGATAAACTCCAACATGGCATCCTCACAAGATAGTAGTTCTGACAGTTCCACGTCGTCTCCTCAGCATCCTTACGACGGTCCAAACACAGAAGCTGAGAGTTTATTACCTGGGGTTCTCATGTCTAGCCAGTCCGTCTATGCGCAGTTCTTTTGCCAGCTGATGAACGTGGGAAGTACTCTGACGTTTCCTTTGCTGCGAGATATGGGACACACCCTTTTGCAGCTAATGCCCTGCGATCTAGTGACCATAGACAAACTGAAGGTTCTCTTCTCAACTCCAGGCGAAGATAACATTACAATGGATAGTATGTTCTTCAGTGCCTCTCCTGCTGAGGTACAGTCTGGTCAATGAATCTCTAAACGTGCGTCATTAATTTGTGCATACGAAATAAATTGGTAAAGTTCTGAAAACGAAGCGATGTGGCTAAAGCATCAAACAACTCAACCTTTAAATGAACAATTGCTAAATCTTTTATCGCATATTTTATTGATGACGCATGTGTAATGATTAGCTGCCCCAAGTGTATGGGAGGATATTGGCCCCCAACTTATTTTTTCTCACTTCAATCTTCGCCTTTTAGGTCTTGTATAATTTGGAAGTATTGTATTCTATGTTGATGCCTGCATTGGATACGATGTCGGAGAAAACATTCGAATTCCAGTACACTTTTATGATATCGGGGGAGGCACACAAGTTTTTGGAAATGCTGACAAAAAACAACTTCATGTCCAGCGCAGATAACACCACGCGTCGATCAGCCTACTTGGTTGTATTGAAGATTTGCAAACTCATTCTGACCTCCGTGGCTCACGTCCTGGTGAGGTTAAGCGAAGATCATACTCCTCCTGAAAATGAACCTCTCAACGAGAACAGCACAACACCCGGAACATATTTGAGGCAAGCTCTGAGAAATGTACCAGGACACTCTGATCATGTAAGTTATATTTGCTGATGATGTAAGCCTAGTTTTCTTCTTTCCCTCTGATCTAAATACATAATTGTCATTGTGGTTTTTTATCAATTTTTCGAACTATTTTGAATGCATTAAACTGCCACCATATTCTGTTATATAAAAAAAAAAATCATTGAAAATGCTTTTCAATAGTCTGTTAGGAATGACTTCGATCTTCTCGAACTTATTGATACAAATCAAGTTGGCTTTGAAACGGGGAGCTTCACAGCTTATGCCATATTAACATTTCTTAATGAACTTTGGTCTCGATGGACGAAAGTGAACTCTTAGTGTTTTATTTGGATCTAAATAAGGCATTTGTTTTGGTTGAACATAAAATTCTACTAGACAAATTAGAAAAGTATGGATTTCGGGACATTTCATATAAATGGTTTAAAAGTTACCATTGGGAAAAGGAATATTGAAGAGTCATCAGAATTAGAAAAGCGAGTTATTCAAGAAGCTACGGACTGGTTTAATGTGAATAGCCTATGTGTGAATAAACGCAAGATACAAACAATTATGTTCTCGCTCTCTCACAATCTCAAATAATGTGAAATGTCTTGGGTATAACCATTGATTCAAAGTTAACTTGAAAACCCCATACTGACAAACTAGCAAAAAATCTATCATGCAAGATCTATGCAATCAGGCAGATAAAAAATAAAGTCGGTAATGAAGCTGTCCATACCGCTTATCATGCAATATTTTATAGTTCCTAAATTTATGGATTGATAAACTGGGGCACATCTGTTCATATCTCGAGAATATTTGAAATTCAAAAAAGAGCAATCGGAGCCTTAGCTGGAATAGGTCAAATGGAGAGCTGTCAGAATTGGTTTATTAAGTTCAGTATATTAACTCTGCCATCTGTAATATACTGTAATTTGATACACATTCAAGAAAATTTACAAAAGTTTACTACAACTGGTAACAACCATTCGTATAATAGTAGAAACAAGGATAATATTAGAGCACCAAACCAAAGACTAGAAATAACAAAGAGATGTAACTCATACATATCATTGTACAACTCACTGCCCCAATCAATGAAAAATGCAACCCCCGCTAATTTCAAACGGAAACTGACAAAACATCTCTTAGAGAATGCTTACTATGATGCGTCTGACTTCAGCTTTACAGAGTGACTGTCGTCAATGTAGGTACTGTCCCTATGTATCTTTATTTTTACATTTATATATTTATTTACTTTATTTGGTGCTTGAATCATATATAATTTTTATGTACTACCTACTCCTTTTCGGTAATTTTAATTGTAATTTACATTTATTTTATACATTATTGACTTGTCATAACACTAAGGTGTAATAACTTGACCAATAAAAAATCTAATCTAATAGAAAAGTTCAAGTCTATTCTGTAGAACACAGAACTGTGTTTTTTTGTATTTGTTTTCAATCTATAGTTTTTTGAATTTCACTGTTGACTAGTTGCATGTCGGTGTGTATGATCCTAAAGAATTAATAAATATTTATATACACAGACAGCCCCAACTCAAATATAAAGTAGTCGATGCAATGTAGTGGATTGAAAGTAAATTATAAGAATAATAGTTACAAAATAGTAAGGTAACATATAGATCAATTAAGAAAAAATTTACAAGATATAAAATATGAACTAATATAAGTCTTGCAGACAGGTAACAATTGACACATCACAACAGCCCAATCTGAAAATTTTAAATAGCTAGATCAAGAATATGGTTTTTGAAGCGGGAAACTGATATATTAAAGATTTGAAGGTTATTCAAGGAGTTAGCTAATCGAAGAGTTCCCGGGATAAAGCTGTTATATGAGTAATTGAATCTGTGAAAAGAAACATAAAAGGTTTGCAATTGCCTAGTTGAACGACTAGGGACAAGTAGAGATTATTTATTTATATATTTATTCAACAGCAAAGCCAATTTACAAAACATATTTAACAAAGTGTGAAGAACTACAAAGTATTTTTGAATGCTCATGCCTGATGTCTACATTACAGTTTACAATTTTACAAAACATTTAGCGAAGTGTGAAATACAAAATATTAATAAATCCTTATGTCTAGTGACTACATTACTAAAAAGATGAAACAATTCTGGTTCTTGCAAGGAAAAAGATGTAACAAAACTGGTACTTACAAAGAAAATGGTAAGATAAAGAAAAGCTTCAAAAACGCCTTTTCAATTGATTTTTAAAGACCTGAAGTGATACATTAAACAGATCTAAGTTATTATGATATTGATTTCCCAGCTTCAGAATACGAGGAATCGGACTGCTCAAAGCATAATTGGTATGGAAAAAAATGTATATGAAAAATGTCAGGATTTCTCGTATTTCTTTGTTTGATGTGAAAAGTTATTAGTTGAAGTAGTTCTGGGCAGTTTATCTCACAATTTATTAATTTGAATAGAAAACTCAAGTTCATGGAAATTCTCCTATCTTCCAATGATTTTATATTTAACTTGGTTAATAGTTCATTGTACTCATATCCATTTTGTTGAATACCAAAGTGAAAAGCACAATTCCTTAAGAATTTCTTTTGATAATTTTAAATAAACCTTGAGAAACACATTTTCTTGCTCAAAATCTATACGTCCTGTTCACTTCAACTGCAAATCAAATTAATCAGTTTTAAAATGAGTTAATAATTTCAAGGATCTGGGAGTCCTTTTCGATTGTGATTGAACCTATACTCTATATTCTGATGATAAGAAAAACATAGAGAAGAAAGATTAGCAGCAGATGAGCTATTAAGAGAATGAAAAAGCAATATATAGGGGAAACATTTTTCTAAATAGCCCCTTGTACCTATGCTGCTACCTCAATTGTGGTCATTTGTACTAATATTCGTATAAGGAGTCTTTCTGTAGAATTTATCATCAGTTCCTCTTCTTCTCAATACTTGAATGAATAACTCATGATTGTGGAAGATCATTAAGACCAATTAAAGTTTTCTCCTTCATTTTCAGTTGTTACGTCAGGTCTCCATCAAGTTATCTCAAAGTTTAGCGCAGCTGATAGTAGCTGAAACAGGCAATACCGGCCAAGCGCAGGTCCTTTTCAGTCAAGCCCTCAACTGGGAGCTGCCAGATCTAGCTACAACTCTGGCGCTTGTCAGGCTCGTTTGGGCTGCGAGCAGTAACAACTTGGGAGCCCTCAATGCATCTCCGGAAAACTTGCACGCCCTCTCTGATCCCGGCAAAATGAAAAACATGGAAATAGTAAACGACGATATACTGTTGTGTAAGGAAGCTCTGGAGCTGCTCAGCACTGCGGTGGTGCTCAACCCAAGCAGTTTGGAACACCTTTATCAGGATAATTGGTGGCCTTATTTCATAACTGACTTAGTTCTGATCAATCCTAACTGTGCGATCCGGATTGCTGCTGCGGAACAGCTGATTATAATATGTACTTGTGGCGCTGCCAGTCGTTTGGCACTGCAGCTCATCATGCCGTTGCTGTTTTCCCTCCTCAACACATTAGTTATTGAAAATGCGAATACGTCGCATGAGTATTTTCAATTGTTGTGTCGACTAGTCAATGTGGCGTACCTAACGAACTGTCCCCTTTCGGGCGTGGAGAACCTGCAATCCAGTGAGGTGGCTTGGCTGCGGAAAGCCAGAGACAAACATGAGGTGCTCATCGAAGGTGAGAAGAATAGCCAATATTATTTATTTGAGGAAATGTTATTTTACAATAAATATTAGTTAATTATTGATATCAGTCTATTGCTAAACTTGGACAACTCGAATATGTGTGTAGGGTGTGTGTATGGTAATAGATTCTTGGGATAATAAAGATTATTATTGATAATTTTTTCAGTACTTTATACTATTACGTCCACCCACAAAATCTTATAGTAGTGTTCAGCTAGATTTTTATTTGGTTCTATAAAAGAAGGACGAAAAGTGCATTTTGAGGCTTCAATTTGTAAACACTTGGATGGTTCTCCATAATATACTAATTAAATACTGTAATTTCGAACTAATGACTGAGAAGTCAATTAGCTTCAGATGCTTCAAAGAAGTATAGTTTATTTTATTTAGAATCCCAATGATTGGTGTAACCTTTTTTCTAATTACATCGATCTGATTATTCCACAAAGAAGTTTCATCTATATGTAAACCTAAAAACACCATCCTAATACTATATTGGAAGTTGTTGTCCTACAGGGCTTTTTATCAATAAACATAGATGATTTTTTTTTCAATTCCATTTGTTGGTGTATAAATTCTGAATCTTAATTGCAATAGATTAATGATATATGATGGAATCGGCCGATACTTGATGAAAATCCATAACTAACGTATTCCAAAAATACTTTATTGTGAGATTTTCACTAAATTGTTTTACAAAAACGCAACACGTGTTTCGTTACAGGGGTCTAATGACAACTTATTTGATTCTAACTGAATATTGGAGGTCATATCCAAAACTGGCATATTCTGTATCACTGGACTTTCGAAAGCCATATTGATTTAGATACAAGAAATAAATGGATTCCAAATATTTCTACAATCTTTTATAGCTGGATAACACTTAAACTTTCTAATGCTAATGATATATAACTATTTCAATGAAAATAAAATTAAAAAATCAGATAATATTGGTAAAATTGACTGAAACATCATAAAAACTAAGACTGAGAAGGAAAATACACAGAGGTTGCTCACCAGGCATAAGTTTGTTCATATTGAAAATCTAATGAAAGGCTTACTAAAAGGCATTATATTACATTTAGTATGTAGTAAACTCTATTGAATCCCAATCTTTGAAAACTTGGAAATAAGCAATCCTTTATTCTCTGATAATTTTTGTTAAGCTATTATATGTCAAAACATTCACAATTATTCTGTTGTATCGATGTCTCAATACTAGAAATGAGGATTACCAGAATTTTTAATTTCTGTTGGGAGATGATTCAATATTTTAAAGGTATAAATGCATGACTTTTTTATGAATACTATGAAAACGATTCAGAAAGCTTTTGTATAGTGAAACATGTACTTTTATTGTATTTGTTAATGTTATCTATTGTAATTGTATTTTGTGAAAAGTTCTAAAGCTGTAGCTTTTTTTACGAACTAAATAAAATTTGATTTGGGGTATTTCTGAACAAAGACTTCTTTTTTAAGGGCATCTGCTTCTGGCAAAAGAACTGCTGTTATTCATGTCTCTGGAGCAGAGGTGTGAGCTAGGTAGTGCGGAATCAGGAAGTTTGATAAAGGAACTGCTGGAAGACTTTTTGTTTCCTGCCAGTAAATTGATGCTGCAGCTGAACAAGACGGGACAGTTGGGCGAGGATCCAGCCATTCCCATTTGTGATACCCCTCAAACACAGGCAGCTGCTTTCGACTTGCTCATCGCTTTATGTTTGAATTGTGTTCAGAATTACAAACAGCTGGTGACCATGCTAACGGAAATGTTTTATTCGGGTGAGTATATTTTTGAATGTGGAATTGAAAGAAAAATATTGAGCATATCATTTATCAATGATAAATTCATTTTATCTTCTCCTGCAATAGATTTTACGATTAAGATGGTAGTACAGATTCACCCAAAAATTCTCATTTCAGATCCTGATTCTGCAATAACCGAATGGGACTATCTGCCTGTTGTTGGTCCTCGCCCCTTCCAAGGTTTTGTGGGTCTAAAGAATGCGGGTGCTACTTGTTACATGAACTCAGTTCTTCAGCAGCTCTATATGGTGGAGAGCATCAAAGAGGGTATCTTGGCAGCAGAGGGCGCCGCCACCGATCCCAATGAAGATTTTTCTGGAGAGGAAAGGTTAGATGTCGACGGGGATTGTACAGACGACCGGAACTGCTTAGATGATAACCGAAAAGATTATAATGTAGGCATTCTCAAGCAAGTACAAGCTATCTTCGGCCATCTGGCCTGTTCACGCCTTCAATATTATGTGCCTAGAGGACTTTGGAGACATTTCAAACTTCAAGGTATATATCTCATTTCAGTTGATTGATATGTCATTCAAATTCTAATATATCTTCAATTTCAGGTGAACCAGTTAACTTAAGGGAGCAACAGGATGCTGTGGAATTTTTCATGTCGCTGGTTGAAAGTCTTGATGAAGCTTTAAAAACGTTGGGACATGAGCAAATCATGTCCAAGATATTGGGTGGTTCTTACTCGGATCAGAAGATCTGCAAAGGGTGCCCCCATAGATATTCCAAAGAGGAACCTTTTAGTGTGATTAGTGTAGATATTAGAAATCATAGTAGTCTGCCAGATTCAATGGAGCAATATGTCAAAGGTAAGAATTGTTTCAACTTGTTTAGGATTTTGTAACATCAAAAATATCACCATTTATAATAATATATAGCTATAAGTCATGTATGGACAAATTATATCTTCAAATGATATTAAAGCTGAAGTCTATGAAATAATAATAAAAAATAATAATTATATGTTCAGCAGGACTAAGGATTTGATTCGAAGGGCAAGTAACTGTTGGCACTATGAAATGCTTACTTCAACACAGAGGTACTCAAACTTATTTTGTCTACCGCCCACTTTTCGAGAAAAAAGTTTTGACACAGTTGGCTGAGCCGAGTGTTTCTTTTCCAGTTTTCGAAAATAAGTCACACTTTTGTCATTTTTATCTGAATGCATTTTATTCAAATGATCTTGTAGCTTTGAGGGTTTCATCATTTCATTCGAAAACGTTTTTTGACAAAGAAGGCACATAGGCGAAGATGGATTTGTGAGATTTTCAATAAATCCATATTTTATATATTCCGCGCTATACTGCCGTTTCTTCTTTCTTGCCTCCGACATAATTTTGTCTTCAAAAATGCCGAAGTAAAGAATCGAGTATTAAAAACTTGCTAATGACACCACTTACAGTATTCACCACCGCACATACAGCACTTTACCTACCTAGTCGCTAATAGCTTTCTGGGGCCATTGTAGTTTACAATTACAGAATACCATATTTAAGCTACAGAAGAGGTCTTTGAGATACCTTACAAAAACTAAGCCGAGAGATCACTGCAAGCCTTTATTCATCAGCCACAAAATATTAACTGTCACCTGTTTATACATAATGGAAACAGTATGCTTAATTCATAAAAATAAAACTAGCATGTACACTCCCGGAACAAATTGTCACAACACCAGACAGAACCATATGCTTTACTTACCTATTCCAAAATTCACCTTGACTCAGCATTCTCTGATTTATGAAAGTATTAAAGTATATAATCACCTTCCTACCATTCTAAAAAATAGCACAGATATCAAAAAGTTCCGAAGTACAGTTAAAGATCTTTTAATCAAAAAAGCTTATTATTCGATTAATGAATTCTACCATGATAACCTATAATGTTCACCTAAACTCATCTGTCTTCTTAATGTTTTATTTGTGTGATTGCTATGTTTGTATTTTTTATATTTTATGTCATGTATTGTATTTTGTATCTTTTATATTTTATGATATTCATTTGACAAGACTTTGTCAATAAGATACTTATCTTCTGACAATAAAGCATATTGATTGATTGTTTTCGTAATATCGTCGAATGACATTAGTGGCTGGATGGCGCGCGCGCTTTTATATGAAGCAGCGGGCGGGCCTGGTACTTTCGAGAATGGAGAGTAGTTGCTTCTCGCTTCGCATTGAAGCTTTCCGCCATCTATTGTATAGTTTGACAACTATCGAATAGGAAATAGTTACCGCCTAGTCTCCTAGATGGCGTTACGCGTTAAGCGTAAAGGAGCGGTAAAGTTTGTGTTGAAAGCAAAAAGACATTTTTAAATTAGTCATCGCCCCCCTATATAGGCCTCCAGCGCCCACAAGAGGGCGTTATCGCCCACTTTGAGAAAGACTTCTTTAACATGACAGATATTGACATTGATCCAAACAACAAAATTTTTCTGAAATTATTTGAATATTTCTATTTTTTTTTAGGTGAACTATTAGAAGGTGCTGATGCGTATCATTGTGAAAAGTGCGCGAAAAAAGTTGTGACTGTTAAACGACTGTGTGTTAAAAAACTACCCCCAATCTTAGGTATTCAATTGAAAAGATTCGAGTATGATTTCGAGAGGGTGTGTGCCATCAAATTCAACGACTATTTTGAATTTCCACGGGAGCTCGATATGGAACCGTACACCGTATCCGGACTGGCCAAGATCGAGGGAGAGATAATAGACTGTGATTTAGATCCTAGTGCCGACGACGTTTGTACAAAATATCGACTCTCTGGTATCGTCGTCCATTCGGGACAAGCATCGGGTGAGTACACAAAATATTCGAAGTAAAAGGCAAAGAAGTCTATCGATAATTTGGTATTTTTCCACAGGTGGACATTATTATTCATATATTAGAAGCAGAGATCCTTCAGGGGAAGTGAGGTGGTACAAATTCGACGACGGAGACGTGTCCGAATGTAGAATGGGAGATGATGAAGAAATGAAGGTGCAGTGTTTTGGAGGGGATTACATGGGAGAAGTCTTTGATCCGATGTTGAAGAGAACGACGTACAGACGACAGAAAAGGTGGTGGAACGCTTATATGCTGTTTTACACCAGGCATGATATCGAGGAAGAAGCTGCACTGAAAGCATTAGATTTGCTGACAATATGTGAGTACTACAAAATGATANGGCAATCAGGAATAATTTTGTGCTGTTCAGTGAATTTACTCAATCTCATATAGTAGCTATAATCAATTATTTTTGCTAGTTGTGATTGCAGACATACGTTTCTGTAGTTTTTTACTTCATTTTTTGATCCTTTGTTTTTATAGATCGGGACAGATTTTGATATTTTGAGCGCATCCGGATAAATCCCTTCACAGAATGATTTGTCTATAATGTATGATAGGGGATGACATATAATGTCACTGACAGCCCTCAAGGTTTTTCCATGTATTTCATCTACACCTGGAGTTGGCGTTTTTGTTGTTTTTTTTATAATCTCTTGAACCTCCATTGGGGTTGTCGAGTATAGAAATAAACTATTGTTAAAAAATGATGCTAATTTTATATCTTTTTTTGGCTCGATTTTCTCAATATTTATGAAGAAATCATTGAAGTAATTACCAATTGCTTCCCTATCTGTTATTATATCATTGTTGTTAGTGAGTTCAATTGTATTTCTAGTTTTTGTGATGTTTCTACTTTCATTAATAATTTTCCAGCTCTCCTTGTTTACATTACTTGCATTCAAGATTCGTTTATTATTGTACTCTGTTTTAGTTTTTTTTATTAGCTCTTCATATAGGTATTTAAGTTGTTTGTATTTGTTTTTTATGACTTCATTATTAGTAGACTTAACTATTTTACACATATCACATACCATTTGATGTAGCTCTTTGATGTCCCTAGTTATCCAGGGTTTGTCCCTATTTTTAGTTGTCCTTACAATTGAACTTTGAAATGAGGGTTGAATGATAATAATAGTACTGATAAAATATAAAAATCGTTGAGGGTGACGTGCCAAAAGCACTAAACCCTATATCTTCTCATGATGCACTGTTTGGAACCTTTGGTGTAGTAATGAATTGTCAATTCAACATGGATGCCAGTAGGAATGTCGGCTCTGATGGGCTAAAGAAAATCTGTAATTACTGCAAGAAAAACGTCAGTACGGGCTTGTGTTGTGTTACCTGTGAATCTATGTATCATAGTAGCTGTGCAAAAAGAGTAAATTCTTGTTNAATTCGCAAAAGATATTTTTTATTTTTCGTGATTCACAGTGATCAGTTAGTAGATCTACATTTATATCACCACATAGAATGTAGTAGTTGTTTTTTATGTATAAGTTACACATCAGATCATAGATTTCATCTATAAATATATTAATATCACTGTTTGGTGTTCTGTACACTGTTATAATATATAATTGGCAATTTTTACAGTTTGTTTCAAAGGTAGCTATTGTTACTTCGAAGTTTTTTTCTATACATTTATTAAAGGAAAAAGGTTTGAGAAAACAACTTTTCTTTGATAGGATACAGACCCCACCATGGCTATGAATTTCTCTACAGTAATTATTAACTAAATTGTAGTTCGATATGTTTAGGACTTTAATATCTGGTGCTGTAAGCCAGTGTTCTGATAGGCATACAATGTCTGGTTGATTGCGATCCATTAGAACTTCTAGCTGTTGAATTTTCCTTGTTGCCATGCCCTGGATATTGAGATGCATAATGGTTAGAGATGATTTCACATTTGTACAGTCGTCCTTTTGTTGCCCTGATACTTTTCCGATATTTTCTTCTGCCTTTTCAGTGATAATCCTTTTCGATAGACAGGTATTAATGTGTTTTGTTCTTAAAAATCCTCCCTTATATGGTCGAAGTGATTTGAATGATGCTGGTGTGAATAGTATTTCTTAAAATCAAAGCGTCTTATAGCTACGCTTTTTGGCCAGTTGTTCGGGTTATACAGTTCATCCTTCAGACTGAAGTCAGCACTAAGCATGAAGCACTTGTTTTGTGTAGTAGGTGTTGTTGTGTGTAGCAGAATATAATCAAGTAGGGCCATTCTACCTCTGATGCGCAATCGAAAATATTATTTACAACGAATTCCATGCATTTACGAAGAAGTGCGGCACACAATTTGAGAAACAGAAAGTTTCAATGAGGTTACCTTTGATTTAAGATAGATCAAAGACTTTTTCACAGCTTCATTTGGTATCAAAAACCTAGCGTGAATGCAAGCTGCATAGGTCTTGAAGATCCATCACAAAGCCCACACAAATGTAACTTATGAAGAACATCAGTTTATGAATATCGATACAAGAAAGATTTTTAAGTTGTGCTTTGTATTTCTTTTATTTTATTTCAATTTATTCAGGAGAAATTCCATTGCAACCCACTCCGAGAACCAATAAATTCTGAATTAACAATTCGGCCGTTGAAAAAACATCATAAATATCTACAGGATCATAGATGCGAGCTAGATCAGAGAGTTTCTTTCGCTTTCTACATAATTAATTGATAAGATTAAAAAATATGAAAAGATCTCGTTTAGAAGAGATCACCGCAATCCTGAAATTTTCACCTACGAATTGGGATTATTATCATCAAACATCAATGAGTTCTGATTGACATGATCTGGGGGCGAATAAAGAAACTTGGAATCACACGTTGAAAGGCAAGACCTTGTTATAGTCCTTTGCTCGCACAAGTTTCGAGTTTCAAGAATTGTCGTTTGTAGGGGTGCGACAGTTGGTTAACAGAAAGATGGATTTTGAACAGAAACAGTTTTTTGTTTTCAGAACGATTTGAGGTCCATTTTCACAGTTCAAATACTACTGTTTGAAATAAATATATAAGTTGTGTTTACAATGTACGGGCTTCAGTTGAAGCAGACCAGACATACATATATCATCGACATAGGTGCAATTCGAAAATACATTTGAAGCGAAAGGAAACTTTTCTAAATGAATGAACGTGCGTATTGCTAGAAATGATGAACAACTGAGCCCAAATAGTACTCCGTTCTAAGTATATTGTAATAAGGATTTATCAGAATTGAACTTCCAATTTTTTTCATTTTGGTATTCTGGTGTAACCATAATTTGAGAAAACATGGACTTTATGTTGGCAGTCATGACTACAACTCCTAATCTGAAATTGAGCAAGAGTGCACAAATATTCTGTTGGAGCTTAGGGCCAGTGAACAAAGTATCATTCAAAGGAACATTATTCAAATATTTTGAGGAATCATCATACACTAGCTGTAAGGTATCATTTTTGAAGATTGGATGATGTGGAAGGAAATATGAGTTTTCACTCCTTTGTGAAGTTAGGGTCATGTGATTATTTTTTAAGTAATTTTGCATGAATGCAAATCATTCTCTGTATGAAATAGAAACTGGAGCATAACGTGTTTTTGGAAAGTATGAACGACGAAAGGCTAGTAATCTTGAATCATCAAACTAAAATTCTTTATTTTTTAAAGGCAATGAAACTATGTACCTACGATTTACGGTGCGAGTTGAATTGACTTGTGGAAACTCTTTGATACGGTCGATAGTAAAACAAAAATAAATTTTGCGAGGAAAATCATAAATGTTACTGGGGTTTTCTTCCCAACACCAAACTGTAATTTCAGCACCTTGACACTTGTCTTGATCACCAAGTGATCATCTTCAAGAGATCTTCAGTTTGGTCTTCCTCTTGATGATCGAAACACGTGTCGAGGTGTTGAAATAACGGTTTGGTGTTGGGAAAAAACTCCAGTAATAATTATTACCACACCAAAGCTTCCAAACAGTGCATCAAAAGAAAAATCATGTTTTACGTCAACCATCAGACTATACCCAAATGTTGTATAGGAAGAGTATTGTCTTGCTGATGTATTTTTTCATTCAACAAAATTATTGATGCCTCAAATTCATTATACCGAACCCAATGAATCTCTAACACCTGAATAAAAAATTTAAAAAGTAAGAATGAATTTATCTAGTGTCCCTGTACTCGTACAACAAAGAAATCATTTGACGCATAAGAAATTAATCTTGATTCTCAAGCCAGTTTTCTTGCGACATACTTTTGTTGAGGTGGGATTAGTGTACGAGCAGCTAGGGACTTTGTATAGTATTTCCGAAGAAACTTTTCTCTCAACGGAGGTGAATTCACGACAAAAAAGGGGACATCATAATCTTTTCATTCTAGCGTACAAATGCGTCACAGTGAAGGTGAGAAAAACTTCTGAACTTGTATATGTTGTTTTCTCTGAGGTAATGCCAGTTGACAAAAATTATTATGTGATGGATCGCCATCTGCATTTCTTTTCTTTCGAGTTGGTTTTTTATTGATGATGAAGTAACCATCTAATCGATTGTGTTCATCCTCTCAGTGTTAAAACAATTCGTCAGTTTTATTGAATAGATATGAGAAACTATCAAATTGAACTATCTACGGATATTATAGATGATCCAACTGAATAAATATTATTATTATTTCCAGCTGGTACAAGAAAAGAAACCCACCTCAAGATGCCAGTAGCGATAGAAAATAGCATAAGAAAGCAAAATATCAAATTTCTTCACCACCGCAGTCAGTTCTCCGTAGAGTATTTCTCTTTCATAAGAAAATTGGCGACCAGTTGCACTCAGAGTAATCCAAGGCACAGTCAGCCGTTATCCAACGATTTGTTAGAACAGCAGTACCTGCTCAGTGTGCAGTTGGTTAGTAATTTTCTGTTCCATACAGGCTGGCATACGAAGAAAAACTTACGAGGTCCTGCGATGGAATGGTGAGTGATCCCAATATTTCAAAACCAAACATGATGTCTGAGAAGCATTTTCAAACAGTAAAAAACATTATTTTGAAATTCTAATAGTACTTAAATTCTATGGAAGAATATTAACATAAAACTCTAAATTAAAAGCTACCCGACAAAGAATGCTTTCTTTTAACCGGCTATTACAATAAATTATTCCTATAATTAGTGAAACGTGATGCGAATGAAAGTAAATAATTTTCAGGGGTGACGTACTGTGCCTGCATCTTCGAACTTCTCCGGTGATACGTTCCTGGTTTGCCCAGAACATGTTGTTCAGCCACATGGGCAGGTTCTGCGAGTACCTCCTTAGCTGTCCCAGTAACGAGGTGCGCTCCGCCTTCATAAAGATTGTCGTCTTGCTCGCCCATTTCTCGATAAACGATGGCCCTTCTCCGGCACCTGCGGCGTTCAACAACAACGACATGACGGCTTCTCTAAGCGATCACATCCTCTGGGCGTTGCTCAGTCTTTTACAGAGGGAGGTTAGCGAACACGGAAGGCACTTGCCACACTACTGCACTGTGTTTCACATGTATGCCAATCAAGGTGAGTGCTAACTTTGTGTAGCATGTAATAAATAGGAATTGCTCGTATTATTTTAGGTAATAACATTGTTATATAGTGCTTTGTTTTCACCCATGGGTTGACCAATAATTGACTACACTGAATGATCAAACTTAATTTTATTTCACTTTAAATACAACAAACACTTCAACTATTATTTGAAAGTCTATCGCCTTCCTAGATAGATTCGCGTACCGCACTGTAGCTTCCACTTGACTGTGTCGACATCCTCGTGGCTAGCCTTTAAATATCGTAATCGAATGCCGTAGAAATTTCGCCGCAATTCCGTCGAAATCGGTAGCATTATTCTCGCTGCTTCTAGAGTAGCGGGAAATCATCGTACATTCGCGCGCTCTAAGCTACGTCACGTTTGGTTTATGGTTACCAGTGGCGGCCGGCGTTATTTTCTGTCGGGCATGATTTACAACAATAGCAAAATATTTTAGCGTTATGAACCGTCTTATGACGATTTTCAAGTGAAAAGGTTTCCTAAACCATTTGAACGCTCACCCCAGCATCAATTTCCTCCACAAAAATAGTTCAAAAACCAAAATCATTATTTCCTAAGTTGAAAGCCTAAAATAGAACAAACACAATAGAACGACTTTAAATCTAGTGAAGATCACTTGGATAGTTTCAATTTCTACTTTAGGTAATCGATTCAAACAAATCGAGAGGAGAGAGTATTGCACTAGATGTGCCATGGCCATGGTGTTCTCGGCGCATGCTTCACCAACCAAGTTGACGTCTTCAGGAGATGAAGAACACTAATTCTGGTGCAGAAATTTGCGGGAAATTTCCTCGTGAGAGTTTCCGCCAATTTTAATGAAGAGATTCATATAAAGATAAATAAAGAGTTGTTTGTAATGGAAAATTTGTTAATGTTCATACATCTTAGCCACACTTTGCTTTTTTTCAGATTTTCAAAAGCATCTAAAAGTTTAGAGTCATGTACTGACAATTTCATCAGTTTTCATTTATTTTCCAAGCAACACCAGATTTATCTGGTTTTCGAAAGTGGATATGTGCTGCGTGTTCTTTGAAACTAAACAGCTCATTTCATTTATCCCCGCCTTTTCATTATTCAACATCTTGTCTTTGGGGTTACCTAAAATATGCATTTTATTCAGGTAATTTGATTTTTCTGTAAGAAAAAAGAATTTAACTTTTATCCTGAATGAAATCGTATGAACAATATTAGTTGATTTTTCGGATATTTTTTTCAATTAAATTAATTTATTTAATCGATAAATTATAATGAAGTCAAGAAGATATTCAAAGATAAATATAGATGAATAATTTTTAATAAATATTTATAATGCAGGTATTCAAGAAAGAGCTCAACTACTGAGGATGAACGTCCCAGCAACGTTCATGCTAGTTGCCTTAGATGAAGGTCCCGGGCCAGCCATAAAATATCAATATACGGAATTAGGAAAATTGAATCAATTAGTATCGTGCCTCATCCGATGTTGTGACGTGAGCATCAAGTGCCAGTCTAGTAACGGAAGTCCGGTTTTACCAAATCCATACCGAGATCCTGTCTGTCAGGAGTATATCATGCCAATATCACCCCAAGCTGCTGATATCTTGTTCAACCGTACAACGTAAGACGATATGATATTCCTTTTATCATTACTATTACTTTGACGTAGTCAAACTGATGATTAAGAAATACTTTTCTTTCAGGTATGTAAAGAAGGTGATTGAAGACACTAACTTAACAGATGAAGCCATCAAACTGCTTCAGTTTTGTTCGTGGGAGAATCCCCATTTCTCCAGGGTAGTGTTATCCGAACTTCTGTGGCAAATAGCTTATGCATACTGCCAGGAACTCAGACACCACATTGAAATATTGTTGTCAATTCTGCTTATAGAAGACTCTTGGCAAACTCATCGGATACATAATGCAATCAAAGGTTAGTAATTTTTATGTTGTTTGGAATAGGTAGGCAACGAAAGTCCAAGACTATCTATTGGTGGCTCTTCTCAAAATGAACATTTTGTCTCCTTGTTTGTTCTTTTATATGGTTAGAATGCCTTAGTGCAGGTATTTGTCCTCTCATTTCATTCGGATGTTCCTTTAAATTTAAATGGATTAGTGTTATTAATGTTTGTCAAGTAAATGGTGTCTGTGTATTCATGAGGAAAATATTTCCTTTGAACTGAAACTTCACTGTTTTAGGTGTTCCCGAAGAACGTGAAGGCCTGTTAGAAACCATCATCCGTGCAAAGAGCCACTACCAGAAGAGAGCATACCAATGTATAAAAGCGATGGTGGCACTCTTCAACAGGTGTCCGGCCGCTCATTCTCTGCTCATGCGCCAGGCAGATGTCCGCCGATCTTGGGCTTCAGCTGTCAATTGGCTGCAAGACGAGCTAGAGAGGAAGTACCCTCCCAACACTCAATATTCCTATAACACATGGTCTCCCCCGGCACAAAGCAATGAAAGCTCCAATGGGTACTTTTTGGAGAGGTCGAACAGCGCCAGGAAAACTCTGGAGAAAGCTTTGGAAATGATGCCGGAAATCGAAAGAGAAGAGGAAGATGTCAGCGAAGACCAGATTTCGCAAGAGGAAGCACCACCACCTTCAGATCAACTCCAGCAAGAGGAAAGCAACTCTGAACTTCCAGATGTGACGCAAAGCTGTGAGAATAACCCAAATACCTAAGGTAACAATTGAAGGCGAAAAGAGAGTTCGTCGCCCGCTTTTCATTTTTATATAAAGCTTTAAGCGCCTCTTGCACTTTTGGTTGTCGACTTCATTTTGGAGAGAGGTATATATATTTATGAGGACGGAAAGAGGAACATGTGATATGTATGTATATAAAATGTAACTTGACGCATTTTCTGAATTTTTATATTGACTGGGATGCATTTTTCCTAAACATGTTCCTTACCAGTAGTCCCGAGCGTTCATTTTGACGTGTGTTGAGAGGATCTGTCCGGAGAAATGTAAATAAATATGCGTATTACCACAGTCGTTTTTCTAGTTAGCTTTTGTTTTTATCAGAAAATAAACGGACTCTCAAAGTCGATGCAGTCAACATGTTTATACAATTGCTTTTTTTTTTAGTAACTAGTGAAAGTTTGTCTTTAACATAATAAGAAAATTCAGTGTAAATATCTAGGAAAACTATATGAAATTGTGCTCTTTGAATATTTATGTTCTGGGCGTTTCTTAGCTGACAGAAGAACAAAAAGAAACTTTGTAAAATGGAAGCGATCAACAAAATAGTTTTTCCGACAGTCGTACATTTCAATATATTTTTATTTTAAACAATAATTTAAGGACCGATCTAGCAGTTGATAAATTGAATTTGTTTCTCAGTGATTTGTTATAACAGTCCAGATTGTGTTGAGTTGGGAGAGGGAAATAAAAACTTCTGTCAGCTCGTTACCAACCCATCGGACATTACTTGATTTTGTGATAATTTTCTGTAATATAATTTACATCTAAAGTCATAACTCAATTTAACTTTATATTTTTTTATAAGGTATCCTTATTTTATACCAATACCTGTATATATTTACGATGACCATTTTGAATCTTGTCATATATTTTTTTTTAATTAACGAGTCACTTTGTTAATTTATATATATTAGAAGTTTATGTACATACATAAGTACTGTAATTTGTGAGATATTTGTTATGAAATTTTTTTCGTTAAATTCCGTTATGGCTTTAAATAAGCAGAACCAGATTCTTTGATGGAGTCGTCGGTTTATTGTGTTCTATACGTGTAAATGGCACATTTATTTATTTAATGAACTATAATGACTGTTGATAAATCACAAAATTGTTTCCCCCCTATTTATGTTGTGTATTTTGTAGGCTAGACTCGGAGGGAACTTGTATACTTACAATGAAAATGTAATTTTTGTTTTAAATGTGTCTCATTTAGCTCTTAAATTATTGCTTAAACCTAAGCTTACACATTTTGTTTGTATTATAATTTATCATAATTATAAAAAATAAACTCTTTTAAATTTTACATGACTTTTGAGTTTCAATTGTGAAATATATTTTTCCATATCTTGGCGGAACCAATAAAACTCCAATGGATATTTAAATTTTTTCTGTAATTTTGAAAAAATTTAAAATTAACTACGAGTAAGTTCATTGAAGAATAGGGTTCAAATCCAATTGTTACGTTTGCCAGGTAGGATTTTGGAGAATTCTTTCAATCAACTATGAACTATGAGATAACTATGATAAACCATCAAAGTTGATCAGGGATATACGCTGAAGGTTTCTCCACTAGGGAACACTTATGAATATATATATTAATGTTAGTAATGGAAAAACATAAACATGAATCCAATATAATAAGACGGAACATCTTCCTCCCTCCACCCCATAGATGAAGCTAATGTCATTACAGTTTCGTTTATGGCTATGGTTCTTTATGGCTATTTGCGTAAATTTGCTTCTCAGTTTTTTTTTCATTTGCTGGTGTTCTTTTGGTAAGAAAAACGCATACCTTCGAATATTTATTGAACTGTCTGAAACTTCCAAATCAACACTAACGCATTAGAACGTACTTCTGTTTAAATCTGTTCAAAATCTGTTTTTCCGTTAATCAGCTGCCGCCCCCATACGAGCGACCACTCTCAGAAGCTGAGAAACTTGTGCGAGCTAAGGACTAACGAGGTCTTACCCTTTAACGTGTGATTCCTAACACGGTTGCAAAATCATCCCAGCTTCAACCAGCTAAATTCTCTCGAGAAAAATATTTGTTCGAGGTGGGAATCGAACCCATGGCTTTCCGATTGTGAGTCGGGCGCACTACCATCGCGGCCAATTCTACAATTAAAAATAGTAAAATCACAACACAGTGTTTCTCATTTTCTTTGCTGGCCTTACCCATTCAATAATAAAATCCTGAGGTTCTCCGTTTTAGCTCAATAATAATGCTACTACAAAAAATACTTGCAGCAAAACAGGTAAAATACAGATTTCACATTATATGCTCAATTTGCTTCCAGAATAAATCACAAGTTTTGAGATTTCTGGGTGATCAATTCGAATAATTTCAGCATGGTCCTGCTGCTGGATGAACGAGACACGTCTGCAAGACCAGCATCTGTGAGGAATCTTGCATAAATGTCTGTCGAATATAATTCAATATCCAGCGTGGTATTAGCCGGGGAAGTGGTTGTTTTCCGGCAGGCATTTACCAGAACCTACGATGTAGGTAGTTGGGAGATGAATATTTTGAAATATTTATTTCCTAGTTATATCCTATTTGGACACAACAAATTACCTTAGACATTTCCAGATGCCGTGAGAGTAGTATCATCAGCGAAAGCAAAACAACTATGGAGTAATATGTAGGAAAAAAGATCATTAACATAGATTATGAATAAAAGAAGACCCACAACCTAGCCTTAGCGAACTCCACTAAAATTCGAGAATCAGTGTGAGGTAGTAGTAAAATATATTATTCAATGAAAAACAAAGAAAAAATAAATGTGCCCTGGTTCGATGCTGAGATGAAAGGTGAAAGAGATGTAAATTGATGGATGTATACTAATAGCCTGTGATCCGCAGGAAATTGCGGAGTCTAATGAATATTTTGTCGAAAGTATAAAAACTATTTTGAAATCTATTGGGAATGCCCAAAATGGCAAACTTGTACCACAGTGAGCAGTACCTAATTTTGTACTTTGCAAGAAACCCTTCAACCAGTTCCTTTTTGTTATATTCACATAGAAAATTTTAATAAGCAAGCCAGTATAAAATATATTCCTTTCAAATTGATACAGAGGTCTTTCCTGTTTCATTATCTATCACAGATTCAATTTCTCTTTTTTTTTGAGTTAAGGTTAAACACTTGAATCTATTGGCGCCCCTTAGGATACCACCAGGTATTTGAAGAAGTCATCCCTCCCCTGTTCAGGAAAGTTGCGAGCATAACCCATCACTTCACAACGTTAATGTGATGTAACTATTTGTTTTTTTCTTGTATTTTACAAAGCTACTAAAATTATTATGTAACAAACTGCTCAAACTTCATTGCTTGTTTGTGAATTTTTGGCTAAAAACAATACTATAACGATGCCCCAGACATGGCTCCGTGCGACTCCTATTTCCAAGAATAGAGAGAACCTCATGGGTTATTATTTTACAAGTATATTACATGGAGAGCGTATTGTTAAAAGAGCTAAAGGCTGTCGCGGAGATAGAATTTGAAAAGTGACTCGAGGACTGAAGATTTTTTTTGATTCAAAAATGAAAGAATTTCTACAGCATTTAATAATAAACAAAAATATGGTAAACTACCACATTGCTCGTTGAACTCCGCATAATTTATTATAATCGGCCAGGTTTCTGAATACAATTCTGCTCATTCTCCAACGGTACACAACACCTCTAGGTCTAGATGTTATTACGCATCTTTTCGTAGTTCTCATTAGGGCAGAATCACGAGGTAAGGCTTCAATTTGTGCATCAGCTAGTTCCTTTATTTCTGGGGGAAGGATATCATTTCTGCGAAGCGAATTAATTCGTAAACGTAAAGGAGCATACTCTGTTGTCACTTTTCGCCTCTTAACGTCTCTTATCATCCATCGGTTTACCCATTTTGTTCGAATTTGTTGAAACTGAAACAAATCATATGAACGTAATCATATTGGATTTCATTCATTCTTACATTTCCATTAGAATTTAAAGTTTGGTTAAATAATGTTCCCGCGAAGGATTTAATAAAATTCATATCAAATTCTTAGGTATTTTCAGTTCCTAACCTAACCTAACTTTCACCAGCAGCTGAGGAAGTGTAGGCAACTTTATAAGTTTAGGAAATTGAAATTGAACATCGTCGCAAGGTGGCGATGCATACCTATCAAGGAAAACAAAAAATTGTCAAAGTGACACTTTGTATTTATTGACATTTCTACGGAATATTAAGTCTGTTAGTTCAAAAAAAATTCTCAAAATTTATATAGTGAAAGTATTTTTGACGTTAATAATGCTAGATCGAAAGTGGAAGTCAAAGCAGTTTTCGGAGTGTCATGTGATATTTGTATAGGATAGAAGATTGACTTACAGAGTTCTTCGTTGAAATCATCTAATCTCGAAGAGAAATTTTCTAGGGTCTTCGAGTCTCCAACCAACGGTGTATAACAGATATGCGTCTCCAGCAGGTCAGTTTAATTTATACAATCTATGATCGTTACAATGAGCTTTCAATATTCATTTATGAGAAGCTGAATAAACCTTTGGAAATATGTACGCATACATATATGCATAATATTTTAAATATTTTAGGTACATGGAGTAAAATTATCTCTGGCTGATTTACCGGTTCTGAATTTAATTTTTCATTGCATTGGTAGTTTCCGACTAACCAAACAATACTTTTAAGATTCACTACAAAGAGTTAACTTTCACATTTCTGTAAAAGAATATTATAATAGAAATAGATAATATGGACTGGCCGTTACATCATTTTTACATCCCACCTGCGGATCATACAATGTCTTGGTCACTGCGTCACAGAACCATGTAACAAATCAGATTAAAAAAATCACAATAGAATTATGCAACACGTAAAACATTGTGACGTATCTGATTAGTATATGAGTGACGTTATTGCCAAAACGTGATTCATTTCATCATTTTTTTTAGTTGTTGGAGTCAATGCTCTATCTTCAGTTGCCAGTCTATATTACGACGTTATTGGATTCGAATTATGTGAATAGGTTAGAATAATATTCTTATTTTCACCTGTTATTATAACAAAAATGAATTCGGCATTTAATTAAAAAAAAATTCTGAGAAAATCTGACGCTTCTGAAAACAGCCCCAAGGAAGTTGTTTCAGTGAAAAAGGGCGTAGCTTTGTATGACGTCACCAGATATACGTAATGCGGCGCCGACTAGAAATTGCAATTAGTTTCAGACTTTTGGGTGTGAGGGGATGAAAGTTCAATTGTTTTTTTGTTCGTATTCGCCTGTCGAATTGTAGAATTATGGAGGAAAGAAATGTTCAGAAAAAATATTGTATAGTACCAAGGTGTCCTAATACAACCCGAAATGCACCAAACAAATTGTTTATAACTGTTCCCAAAGATGAAAAAGTGAACAAAGCCTGGCAGATAGCTATGCGAAGAAAGGAGTTTGTTAAAGGAACTTGTTTTTGTTGCGAAGATCATTTTAATGTAAGTACATTTCCTATATAATAAATAAAGTCTATATTGGGAAGATTTGTCATTATTATCATGAATAGTGTTATTGATTTTCACCAAACGGGTCAGTGTATTCAGAATTCAAAGTATATAGTATTTCAATAAGGAAATTTACATCTATTATGGAATAGTTATTAAACTATAATAGTAATAATGCATATCATGCGTACAATGGATATCCTTTAATTTCAGCCACCAGAAGATATTGAGAATTTTATGTACCTGAAGATAATGAAAGAAGGTGTCATAAGACTAAAACCAGGTGTGGTGCCACACATTTTCGATTGCCAGAAAAGTCGCCCTGATTTCCAAAGTGTCAAACCTAGACCTTTAATTAAAAAAAGGCAACAAGAAATGAAAGACTCAAAAAATAAAATGTTGAATGTTTTCCATAATCAAAGAAACGAAATAGGACAGATTGAAAAAAAAGCTGTTGTTTCGCAAGGTGTCCAGGTAAATATTAAACCGCCAAGGAAAAACGCAAGTTGTCAATGGGAAGACATCTTTTTCACTGCCGAGTCAACAAAAAAAAGAAAACCGACACTGGAAGATGAAGTGCCCAGAAAAACTTCACACCCATCAACTTCATCTACTTGAACAAAGATCTTTTCATCTACTAGTGGCACTACCTCAAGTTGATCAAAGCTGATAATATCCACCGAGATAAATTTATCAGAGGCAATAAGGGTACAAGAATGGAACACTAAAGGAAATTTTCGGAAAAGACATTTTCATCGAAAAATATCCTAAACTTCATTTAGCATTCCAAAAGAATTTTCACTCATTTAAAAAAAATTCTACTGAATGTCTTGAGAAATTATAGCTGGCGATTTTTTTTTGGTCACCCTCTTTGGTGTATGGTTATACAAAACACTATTTTATTACTGACATAACTTCTAGAGACTTTTATTCAGAAAGAAAACCGTTGAAGAAGTGACAAAATATCTACCTATTCCGACATAGATATAAAAATGTATGCTATATAAAAGGCTGTTTGGAAATTGAGAATCAAAAACCAATTGATTCTATTTGGCAGACTACGATATGGTCTGTTAAATATCTGATTGTACTCTTGATTGTTTAGTTTTGTTTGTGTCTAATAGTTTTTTATGGCAGATGGGTTACACTGAAGAACAGTTGAGTGCTAGGAGACTTACATCTGCTTCAAAGGGAAGGGAAAGTTTGAAAGAAAAAGTTGAGTCAAAAAATGGGATACATATTGAAAGTGTCATTTCAACTATTTGGTCGATGGAATCCTCATGCAAGAATAATTTATTGAATATTTAGACTCAATAGTTGAAATAACATGTAGACTCATCAGTATTCAAAACTATTTGATGAATAATAAATAGGATTCTTCAAATGAGTTATACTACTTTTTTTATACATATTTTCAATTCAAAATCGTTTTTTTAATGTGTTACTAATAAATTTATTCATCATAATCGTAGTATTTTATCAAACAATTGTTGGTTTCATAATTAGGGACTAAAACTACAAATATTCAGAAATCGAACTTTCTATTTCAACCACATATTTCTCGTTTACAGTCTCTGGCGACGCCCCTATTGAAGGAAATTTTTCCGAGAGGTATATGCCTGCCTTGAGATATTGCTTTAATTTGGAATGACTGCTCCCAAAATCTTTCCAAGAAACAACCATCAATAATTTCACCGTTTACATATGTTTTAGAGGCTATCATCCGACCATTTCATCTCATTTCTTGCCACAAATTCAATTGAACTTTCTAGATTCTTAGGCATTCCAGTCTTCTTGAAATCACCCACTAATGTGTGAATGGAAAAACATGAAAATATTAGCCATACCTCATTGGGAATTCATATTAACACCAAACTCAAATTCAACTCACATAAATCCTAGTGATTTTCCAATTGAACATATCCTATAACATTATCGCCATAATTTTGTCTCGCTGGCTTGCAATGACAAATATTTATTATTTAAACTTTAGAGAAATATTATATTCAATGTGATTTTCACTTAACCGTTTTACAGAAACGCAACACGTGTGTCGCTATACAATTGCTTCTTCAGGCGTATCTAAGCTCTTTACAGAATAATCACAAAGTATGCATTCTGCTGAATATCTGTAATGACGTAAAATGAGTAAATCTGCGGAAGACAGGCAGTACCAGAAAAGACCACTGAAATGTTTAGAGGTTTTGGTGAATTCAAATAGGGAAATTCATTTTTCTAATAGTTTTTTCTATGAAAATAGTCTATAACTTGATTTGAATAACCTCCCAAGACCTCCACCCCCATATGAGTGTCTTATGAACATTTAGAAAAAGCCCACTACAATACAATAATGCAATAAAATTTAATTGAAATAAATTATTAATTACATTAGAAATATTATTTCAAACCTCTATTTCCTGAACAAATACAATACAGAAAAGTGGAGAACTATAATGACAAAGAGCATATTTACCAAAACTAATCTCTCCTTAAAAGTAGGGAATACATTAATTTTGACTGAATTGAAAGGGGGATATTTTTAAGAGAGATAAGTTTTTGGGAACGAAAGGTTTTGGCTTTCCACTTCTCCATCACCATACAAAAAAGTATGGGAAACTGACAGGCCCTCTCTGTGGACATTAGTTTTAATTAATCTAGTTGGATCAAAAGTTGCATATGAGGAGTTTGCCAGTTTTCATGGTAAATGCACCTAATCTCTCTGAGGAATTTTCACTATCAGAGGAACTCATTCAGACTATTTGTAGATTTCACTCTTATCTGAAGTGTATTTGACAATTTTATTGAAAAGTATTCCAATTGAAAACCACCAAATATTTATTTATTAAAAAAATTGAAAGTTCAATTGTATAAAAAGATCATTTATTTAGAGTGAAATATAGATTTATTATATATGAAACATTCATGTTCCAAGATAATTAATCAGATTTTATTACCTGTTGAGTTTGCTTATTATAACCTTCAATAACAAGCATTCCTGGAAGACAAATTCAGAGCTTCAGAGCTTAACTGACAACCCTCAAACGAAATTTGGCAGATTGTAACAAATCATTTTTAATCATACTAGAGCACCTCAAATTATTCACCGACAAAAAACCTACTTTAATTGACAATAAACAGAAGAGACTACATGTTCAATGTATCTAGGGTTTGGATAGAAAAAATAATTGAAAATTAATATTTACTTCAACAATACAATAAATCCGTTATTTTTTCCTAGATACACTTAGTTTAGAAGTTGCTACTGTATTTTTCGAAATGAAGTAATAAATCGGATCTGTCCGCTATATGAAAAAAGAAAAACAATCTATTGTTGACTCATTTTCTCTTTCTCTCTGGCTTCAGCGTTTATACGAGCATGCCAATCTAAATTCTGTTTTGCAACTGATTCTCCTCTCTTTGCATCTTGTTTTCCCAGATAAACCATAGCAATACAACCTAACACAGTGCCTAACATCATATAATTAGCGATTCGGATTCGCATTCGGTTTCTAGCACGTTCCATTACACTTTGTGTGACATAAGCAGGAACTTCATTTATATTCTTGTATTTCCCAGTCCATACTAAGAATCTTTTCTCCAAGTTATTGACTTTGTGCGAACTATCAATTTTGCCAGCATCATGTTCAAATCGAAAAATCTCCTTGTACTTAGTTGATGATAAATAATCTTTTCTTCCAAGTATATTACTCAAATATGAAAACATCTGAAAATAATAGAAATTTGAACATCAAAAAACTTCAAATAACATATGTGTAAAACATAATACCATCTTCTGTTTTGAATTGACCCACAACGCTCTTGATACTAATTAAAATATCAAATTATTAAGTTATTTTTATCACATTTTAATAAGTGTTATCACAGAACACAAAAGTCTTATGTTTTCGATTGGCGTTTTGTGTCATTGGTGATTGTGGCACAGTAGTTGTGATAAAACTGACAGCAATTTGTAAATATAGATTGGCCGCATTTTGCTAACCTACTATCTCTGTATATAGCTACATTAGCTACTATGATTCCAAAATAGTATGCACAAAACTCTCAAAAATGACTGACGTTTTTGCCTTAATATGTATCTTGCAGTGGCGTACGGAAATTATACTGAATAGATGAGGAAATATATATAGAACCACAACCTGACAACAATGTTTTCGTTTTAATATAATATTTCTGAGAATTTAGTGCCTACTATTATGGAATTTTAGTATAGTAACTGTAATCGAATCACAGAATGCGATTTGTCAAAGATTTAATTACAAATAACGCTCACTGAGCTCTTTAGAAACGGAATAGTAGAAAATGCGTCATTGACCTCGACTCTGTACGTATGAATGGTTTGTTTTCGGCTTTGCTTCAATCAGAACGAGCCTAGTACCTTACTATTCTGTGCTAATACGTCAACTGTCGACAACTGCCAACTATTCCATAGACTTTTGTCGATGAAAGAGAAATCTGTTCCAGCATTACATGGTTTTCAAACAAAGATAATTTGAAAACTATACTTAAATTCCAAAATAGTAGGTGCTGAATTCTCAGCAATAACTGACGTTTTTGCCTTAATCTGTTACTTGCAGTGGCGTACGGAAATTATACTAAACAGTTGAGGAAACATTAAATGATGATAAAGTATATAGAATCACAACTTTGACAACGTTTTCGTTTTAATGCAATACTATTTCTGAGAATTTAGTGCATATTATTATGAAATGACACTGTAGAACTCGCCAAAAAATACTGCAAATAAATAGCTAATCAGTTATTGTCCTTCCAATGGGAATAAAACCAAATATGATTTTTACCATGAAACAAACGACGATAAGATAGTCTGTGGTAATAATATTAAATTTTTCAAGGTAATAAGGGTTTATATTTACCCGCGTGTTCACTGGTCCCTTTTTGCTGTTGATTTATCTCGAATAGTACTCATGAAAGTAACTACTTAATTTGGGTAATGAATATCATTGGAGTTTAATCCCAACACCAAACCGTTATTTTCAACACCTCGACACGTGTTTCAGTTACCAAATGATCATCTTCGAGATCAAGTGGAAGATTAATCTTCAAGTTCAAGAGAATCAGCTAAGCGATAGCAATTTTTGTTTTTAATGTGTTTATAGCACACACGCGCACACTGCATGTATGAAACCTTTGTGTAAGAGATTGTGAACTAGTAACAGCTCCATCTCGTGGACAAAGCCCCAAACGGGGAAGAAACATCCCATGTACCAACAGTACAGTATGAATTTTGTGTCAGTGTAATTATGCTTGTTCGATATTGTACTATATTTGATGTTTTTTTATCTAAACTAATGCGTGTATTGTTATACATTATTTACTTCAACTTTAAGACAAATTTTCCTTTCTCTATCTAATAATAGGAAATGAAGGAATAAGGCATACACTATAAGCAAGTCATTTAGAAAAAAAATGTCCTTACTGAACCCACAGGATGACTTGAAAAATTGTTTTTTCATTCATATTTATTCTGTTTCATTTTTTCAATCATATTCAAATATTTACATTGTCCTGTAAATGTACGTTTTCTGTTGGAAATGAAGGTATATAAAATATTATACAAAAGCACTGTAACAATAGGATTCTCAAAATCAATATACAATTGAAAATGATAACAATACAATAAATATGATATATTTTATTATGTATGATGAAGAATTGGCTGATACCTAATGAAATCCATAACGTATTCAGAAAACACTTTGTCAGATTTTCCCTAAACAGTTTTACAAAAACCAACACATTTACCGTGTTAGGAATCACACGTTAAAAGGTAAGACCTCGTTAGTCCTTAGCTCGCACAAGTTTGTCAACTACTGAGAGTTGTCGTTAGTATGGGGGGCAGCTGATTAACCGAAAAACAAATTTTAAAAAATTTAAACAAATTTCGCCATTCGGACGTGTCTTTACTAACTATATTCTAATCATATTTATTATTATTTCCATCAGCTTCTCAGGAGAAATATCAATAGAATTTTGGAATTTTCAAAGTTGACAGCATCATGAATCACAATAAAACCAACACACTTTTTAAATGAATTATTTTTATTTACATTATTTTACACATACAAATATAATTTGTACATAAACAATTAAACATTGATCAGGTAGTGCTTAATACAATTCATTTAACTATAAGTGATTGTCACTTTTCCGTTATAATTGAATAAAAAGTAGTAAAGTATACAAATAAAATAGCAATATATAATCGACTTCGATAATAGAATAATAGAAAAAAAATATATATTCACATCACATAAAAAAATAAACGCCTAAAATAGTAAAAATTAACAACTTTCAGGACTCTGCCCAATCAAAAATTAACTATAAAAAATTACAGAAAAAATATTCTAAAGTATACATTTGTAATACTTCAAAACTCATATTGCACAGCAATTTTCCTAAGTTTTTGTAAAAAAGTATCCAGGCGATAAAAGACTCTGGGTCTACAGATCGGCCTCGAAAGACTTTACAATTCAAAACATTATCAAGCTTTCTTGACCCAACACTATATTTCTAACAACAGTGATTATAAAATGACTATGTACACACAATTGAAAACAATATAAAACAAATTCACCGTAAAGAAATAAATATTGGGACTCAATTTATAAGAGGGTGTACAAGAATAGGATGCATCAAGATTCGTAAACTCTCTGGCGAAGGAATTCTAAGAAAAAAATTCAAACTGTGTTACTCAAATGTGTTACAGACAATATAAATTCTGCGAAATAAATATTTTCAGAATATCAATTAAGTTACAAATATTTACAAGTGGAAACAAAGCATTTGTACAAAGCTATCAAGAAATTTGCTTCACCAGGGTTTTTTGACCTCTTTCAGTTTTGGTTAGATTCACACCTCAAGTGAAAATCGCAAGTAAACAACATCAATATAGTAAAACTCCAAATGTTTAGCCCCTATTTGGTCCCTAACTCAAGCACTTTCGCTCTCCTACATATCAAAATATAGAGGGTGTTCTCGTAAAAGTCAGTACAATTTAGCTTAGTTACTTCCTTATATAAATGCCTGTTAGATATAACAATCACTCTTTATTGCAAAGGTATGGAATGTGTATATTAAGACTGAATTCTCAAAAATGGCACTGTGACAGTCTGCTTTATATGAAGAATAAAAAATATGTATGTACATGAGACGACAAATCCAACAACTTCTGTACAAACATCGAACGAAAATATATTAGATCACGGATCAACTAGTTCATCCACTTTCGACAATTCGGTGCACCACACATGCATGATATTTTGTGTTGATCATCTTCAATATCAAACTTGTAGTCATAACATAACTGAAATCAACAAAATTCAAGGTTAAACTTCAAAGGCTAACACTCCTATTGTGTACTCACCTCTTCTCCTCTCTGTATTCTACGTTTGGCAAAAATGATTATCCTCACGTCTCTTTCAACTTCCACTTGTTCTGCCACACAGTTAGGATTGCACGAGTGGTTTATGTACCTTGCTAGACCTCCACTCAAAGTTGCATCAACCACTCTCTCTTCGTCCAGTCTGAACATGTATATTCCACGATTCTAATGAAAAAAGTAATTGTCAATTGAGTTTTTCAAAAAATTTGTGAGCTATTAGACTATTTTGAGAAACTACTTCATCTTCACAGTTATAACTGATAGAATGGAAATAACTTTCTTGGTAACCACCTTTGAATCTCTGTTAAAAAGTTGGCACTGTTAAAGGAACAGCAACATGTGGGTTATTATTGATTCCAAATGTTTTAATACAAAGTATTGGTAGTTTAGGTTTTATGTCAAAATACTGTTAGTGATATAATAATTATCCTAAATATGGAATATTCTCTGAAAATAACACATAATAGTGTTAAAATTTTTGGCTGAGGTATAGAGGGGTAATTTTTTTATTACAGAAGGTATTTCACTCCCTTTCCTAAATTCCTTTATTAGGTATAAAACAATTTCATTTATTTGTAATAAACATCGGTGTCTACCAGTGAGGATGACAGTGTTCCACGTAAGTGCAATTTGTTATCATTCATTTAAAGTAGAACTCTTGTGAATGATATCTGATTTTATTCCATAACGAATGTTTGGAATACAAACTGAGTAGAGAAAAGTATCTTCTGTATAATTCAGTGTTCATATAAAAGTATTGGTTTCGAAAGAATTTTTTTCTTTCATGTAATTCAATGTTTCTATGAAAGCCGCTGTTTCAGGAGGGCTTTTTTCCAGTTTGTGTCTGAAAGTTGCTTCTTTGCATGATCTACACATCCATGTATAGTTACTTATTTTCAAATTGATTACTTCCTTCCTTTCTTTGGAAGATTCCCACATTTTTTTATCAAGATGGAGTAGTAGAAATCCAAAAACTTTCTTTCCCAAAAAATTATTCACTACTAAAAATAAAACCCCTTCAATTCAAATAAGATTCCTCTTGGCTGGGATTTAATCAAATAGGTGAATAAATGTCATTACGATGTCATCGATGATATAAGTAGATCAAACTTATTCAATTTTTTATTATTACTTTTCCAATTGTTACATCGGGTACCATTTATTGTACTTTTCATTTATTTGATGTATTCATATATGCAAATCTATTCATAATACGTAAGTAATTAGAATTGAATATAATCAAGATTTCACAGAAAATAAATTATAGAAGTCTCCCAGATTTATAAAAGCAATTATTAAAATTCTTAATACTTCCTAGTTTTCTAGGAGGGACATGTACAAATTTTAACAAAACAATTTTTGATCATACCTTAGCTTCATACTGCTTTTCTCTGCATTCAGCAAGTTCGGTCCTTATTATTTCTCCAATATACTCAATTACCATTGTGTGTTTCTCCAAGTCTTTGGCTGCATAAAGCCCCAACCCCTGAATTTTCGATCTAAAAATTACAGAAGAGCACATGTGATAGTATTAAGTCACATATCCCAAACTATCATTCGTCCTGTTATTTTCAATACAGAAAAAACGTATTGTCAATAACAATTGATGAGTTTGAAATTAAATATTTTGAATTGTTGCTAAAGAATGAAATTACTATAATATATTTTCTCTTCGTCTAATTTTGCCGTTTCCCTCTTGTCAGCCTAGACTTATAAGTTACCTAGAACCAAAGATTTTTTTTATTACCGAATTATGTTGAATATTATGATTATACAAAAATTACCATTAAATAACTGAACAATTAATTTTTGTTGAAGAAATTTAAAAAATTACTGTTTTATGGTTTACTACATTTTCTTCAATATTACCTTATATTAAAGTTATCTGTTCCTTTGTTCCATTTAGAACCAGATATTCCTTTGTTAATGTAGGGTATTGGATAAGAACTGATCCTCTCGGCATATCCAAAACTTCTTGAAGTAATGCAACTGCATTACTTATTACAAATTGAAGAATTATTGAATATGTTGGAGTATAATAGTGACTAATACTCCGATATGGAATTGACGACATTCAAGAAGTTGTTGAACTCATTCAAATCTTCAATAACTAGCCTTCGAGGAAGTTGAAAGTTCAATTTTACAGATAAAATAGTGTTTCCCCTGCTAATACTTTGACTGTCTTCAAAAATCTGATTCTTTCAGCATTGTCAAAAAATAAATCATCCACTAAAATTCACCTCGTTAGTCCACAAATACTTAAGACATTCTGGAAATGACTTCTGACTTTATATGCCTCCACCTGTCAACTAGGTACTGCCTTATAAAGTACGGCAGAGCCGTACTCTAACCATCTGACCTGAACTAATCGGCTTCGTTAAGAAGCCTGGTTTATTTGGCCGAGTGTGAATTGGCGTGAGCCACAATAAACCCTTGCGGGTTGCGGTGGAGGGTCGAATAGACCCACTCACTATAGACCTAACCTAACTTAACCACAAATACTTTGCTCTATGCTAACATAAGTAGCATTCTATCTAAAATGTATTGCAGTTTTTCTTGGTTACATATTAATCAATTGATTAAAATGTGTGCAGATTCATATTTTCAAAATTTTGCAAAGCAAATAACTTGAGTTGAAAAAATTGATTTTGTTCAACTTTTTCATTATTGGATACATATTAATTAAATGATTAGCAATTACAACAGCCTACTCCAAATATAAAACGAACATCAGAAAAGTGAATAAATATTTACTGTAACGTATATTACATATATTTTCACATCTTTATAAAATCCACTCAAATTCTAATTCATCACTCTCACTTTCATCGCAGCTATACTCTTTTTGTCACAAACGTCAGAATCATGTTCATTAATCTTCATTATCAATATGATTGATAGAAGTCACAAAGAAAGCGTGATCGAATGTAATCTGAAGTAGCAAACGTTTCGTCGGCTACTGTGAGAGACATCATCAATGGCGTTGACTACGAGGACGAAGATTATATCTTGAAGTCTCAGCAACGACTGATATTGCAGTCAACCACTGATGGTATCCAGTAGCAGACGAAATGTTTGGTACTACCAGTCCCATTCATCACTAATTAGATTGCTAATATTTTTGCTAGTTCCTATATTATATTTATATATTTTTGTACACTATTCGAAAATTTAAAAGATAAACAAATCCCTTTGAAAATTAAAACCCAACATTTGAAACATCAATTTGAATACATTTCGAAGTGAATTTGAAAAACTCATGAATTAAACTCTACTTTATTTTGTTCAAACTTGCATTTGCTGTAATAACCTAAATTAAGGAACATTCCCCATGTTGATTCTATTATGTATCTACAACATACCTTGCTAAATAGACATTATTCCTCCATTCCTGTTTCATTTTTTTGTATTGCGAGCTCTTGGAATGTACAAACTGCTTGCTGTAAGGACACGAAATGTCGCCCAGACTTGAAGAAGAGGCGACGGGACTCGCGGAAGGTCCGAACAAGGGCCTTATGGTAGCTCCTGTTGTACGCTGCGTGTGCGGCCTCTTCCAGTGCATCTGACTCCTCAATCTAGGTTCGGTCCTCGCAGATCCAGATGGGTTTATCGCCAGCGGCAGCTCCAACAAAGGATTACGGCCATACTTGAACTTGTAATCAGTTAATGTTTCAATTCCGGGCAGGCTCTCCAAGACTCTAACGATGGCGGGCTCGGTGAGACCAAAAAGATCCTCACCGGTCGCGAATTTTGGAAACATCTGCAAGCATTTCTGTTCTTTCCTCATATTAGCCGTCTGTTCCAATATCCTGTTCCAAGCCCCTTTAGGACTGTGATCCCTGAACTCCACGTCTTCTTCCAGGTGCTCCTGCACCAACACTCTGAACTCCGGCCTACCGCTGAAGTCGTGGATGGAACATACGTATCGGCATCGCTTGTTTATCCTCCTCATGCTCCAGTAGAATCTGATGATCTTATAACCTATGGGGTATATGTAATTCGGCGTGTGGAAATTCGCCAGTTGGTGGGGTAGCAACTGTCCCACGTTCAGGAATATCAGACTACCCACTCTCAGTAAGTTATTAGTGTCAGAATTGTGCATTACCGAAGCGACTTGTCTGTTCTCGTCTCTGTTAACGTATACTCTACGTGATACGCTGAGAGTCGTCAATTCGTTATCTTTCTCGTTTTTGGGTACGTGCGCAGTGCAGTATACGGTTTTATTTTTGTAGAAGACGCACCTATCTTTTACAGCACAACTCAAATGATAAACGCTGGAACATCTCGTCTTGAAACATCTTATGGTCGCGCCTAGGTTGTTGCAGTGTATGCACGTAGTTGTCAGGCTGGTTTGAATGGCGTTTTCTAGGTTCATTAAAGCTCCGTTTACAGTTTCATATACTCCGTCTGACCAGAGACCGCAGTTCAAGTGTACCCATTTGTTTACATCGAAATTGAGAAGCCTAGCCGGACCGTCTGCGACTCCATCACCAACACCTAGAAAAAATTAAACCCAGATGCTCAAAAGAAACTTTATTTCAATTGCAATCTACTATGAAATATAAGTAAAGAATATATGTATAAATAAAATCATCATAAATATAAAATCTTAGAAATATGTCGCTAAAATTAAAGTGTAGGTATGTTGATTTAATGAGGCCTTTCGGAAGTTAAAGATCCTGCCATTTCAATATATTCCTCTATATTATAGAAAGAGTGTTGGTGGAGAAAGCTTTTGATAATAAATTTAAATTTAGTGTGACTTCACAGATGAATGAAGATGATTATAAAGATTTAAGTTCAGTGTATTTCTTTGACTGATAGTCAGATTATGTCTAGGCAGGTTCAATAAACTTGCGGACCTCGTTTCATATGCATGATTTTCACCATGTCTTTCAAATTTGTCAACATTTTCATGGAAGTGACATAATGCCGAGTTGAATAAAAAGAGGACGACAATGATCTTTGCAGTAACCTGCTTTAGCTAGAATTCTTATGGCCTTTTTCTGGCACCTAAACACACATCGAGTGGATTTGATGATATAACAGTGAAAGCTCTGAAATGTGTCATCCCAACAATATCGGGAATTCTAGTAGAACCTCATAAATAAATCAGTATTTGAGGGAGTTTTTCCTGAAGTTTGGAAAACTGCAAAGGTTAAATCCAATACATAAAAAAAGGTTCCCAAGTAGATATTGATAACTATCGCCAAATTTCATTATCAAGTGTGCCATCAAAACTACTAGAAAAAATACTTGCAAATAGAATTGTTCCATTCCTTGAAGAATACAAAATCTTATCTGATCAACAACATGGCTTTAGAAAAGCTAGATCGGTTGAAACAGCTATTGCTAGTAAATTTGAGTTCATTTACAATAACATTGATAAGGGAAAGTATGTAGTCTCAATCTTATTTGATCTAGCGAAAGCATTTGATTCAGTAAGAAATGAAATTATGATCAGTAAATTGTAGAACATTGGTATCAGAGGATTCTTACTTGAATGGATTAAGTCATTCTTATCTGACAGAAAAATGGTTGTGACTCTGAATAACACTGCAACACATATTCAAGATATTATGCTTGGTGTACCACAAGGTTCAATATTAGGACCGCTGCTGTTTTCAATCTATATAAATGATCTCTCGAAATATATCAAACATGGTTACGCCGTAATGTTCGCAGATGACACTACCAGATCAGTGTCTGGTAACACAATAGATGAGTTAGAATTCAATATAAACTCAGTCATGGACGCTATGGTTTCTTGGTGTGACAGAATACAACTGAAACCCAATTCACTTGGGTTTCTCCTTGAGAAAGACATTGAATCTTAAAAACGTTCAACTATCTGATACAGCCAAACTCCTAGGTATGTACTTAGATAAAACCAAACCTTGTCTTGGGAGCCTCACATTGAACATGTGTGTAAAAAATTGAACCAGGCAATATTTGCAATACGCCAGCTCAAAGAGTTGCTTGACTTAGATGGTATCAAGATGGTCTATTATTCTTTGGCCTATTCTCACATGGCTCAAAATATATTAATGTGGGGTACTTCTACTGGCGCAAGACATGTATTTATTCTACAAAAAAGAATCATAAGAATCATATTTGACATTACACCGAGATCTAGCTGTAGAGCTTTATTTTCAAAATATAAAATATTAACTTTACCCTGTATCAATATTTATAAAGCTCTGCTTCATGCGAGATACAACATGATTCATTTCAATCACGAGTCAGTCACTCATAATTATGAAACACGAACTAAACACTTGACCATCCCAAAACACAAAACTTCAACATTCAAGGAATCTCTTAGGTATAACGGCATCATACTTTATGATTCATTGCCACAGGATGTCAAGGACCTACACTTAGTAAGTTTCAAGAACTATATCAAAGAATTATTGACGAACGGGGGTTATTATAGATTAGATGAGTTCCTGCAAAGGCATGTCTTGATATAACTTGTTCTCACTGCTTTTCCTTCCTATTTTTTTTTATGTTAAACCTTTTAATTGTATATAATTATATTATGTTGTTTAATATTATTTTGTCTATGATTTTAAAATTTGTATCAGTCAGTATGTCGCTTGTAGTGTTTTGTATAGTGCCTGTTTTATTTGATAGGTGTATGTTTATTTATTTATATTTATATAGTTATTTATTGTTATTTTTATTATTGACATGTTTAATATCATAATGATCTGAAAGATGAATAAATACAACAACAACACACTTATCGAGTTACTTGAATGACCCCAAATGAGAATACTGAGTGAAATAATCCTTAGTAGGCTCTTTTCAGCGTCATCAAGGTGACCACATTGTTCAGTCCCTCAAAACGAACAAAACAGTAGAAAGTTTGCTGAACATAGCTTTGGTATGATCAGACCAGCTCAATCTATGATCAATGGTGAATCCTAAAAACTTGAAACTTTTAGACTGGGGAATATTGCGATTGGAAGATATGATTATATTTTGAGTTTTATCTTCATTTAAGGTAAGTTTGTTAGTAGCAAACCAATTGTAAGATAATGTTTTGCTATCTCCCATCATTAGTTGTAAGCTAGTTAAGTCTTTAACTAGAGCACATTAAATTTGTATCATCTGCAAACAAGATACATCCTGCTGGTTTCATGAGACTGCATAGGTCATTGATGTAGATCAAGAACAACAGTGGACCTAAAACGGATCCCTGAGGAACACCATGCTTCATTTCTTTGAGATCTGACTTTACGTTGTTCACTTCAACAAATTGGCACCGATTTATTAGATAAGATTGGACGAGCTTGAGAGCTGTGCCCCGGACACCATAGTAGCTCATTTGTCAATCAAAATACTATGTGATACACAATCAAATGCCTTAGTCAGGTCACATAATGTCAAAGAAGAGTGCTTTCCCTGATCAAGACCTCCGACTATGTAGATACTAGTCATTGTGATTTTCCTATTCTTTATTGAGACTGTCTGAAATCTAACATGAATAACCAAATTACTACTTGATATTTCGAATTCCTATAAAAACACTTTTTCCCCATACCAGAAAAGAGAGTACTGTCTCTCGACACCCATTTCGCTAACCAAATTGGCATCATCAGGAGATGATGGGAGATGAATTGAATGATGAGTAAATCCTAACAACTTACTGTTGTTTTATGCAGAACCTTGTTAAAGTCCATGTCAAATATACGAAAATTCAACCATTAGAGAAATACTCAACATATGCCATACATCAATTCTTACCAGAATAATATTGTTTTTGCTGCTAGGCAAGTAATTTCTCTCTTTTAGGGTATTGCTTGAAGTTCACTTACCCTGACAGAACATGCACTTCCTTGTATCAACAGGCATGGTTAGTGGCGTAACGGTAATCTGCATTCGATAAAGTAGTTCCATAATCTCCTTATCAGTTGGTTTTTTATGCTTTTGATTTGGCTGAAGGCAACCAGGAGTCCAATATTTATATCTTAGATTTTTATACATGCGTATAGGCATAGGCTTGAATTCTGAATGATCATGATAACCGCTCCGGTTATTTTCAAGTCGATGAAAGTAAGGAGAAAAGTCTTTGACGTCCATCGATGGATATTCTCTTTTGAAATCTCTATTTCCTAATGATAATCTCTGAGCTATTATTGATTTGCTATCAAATGCTTCCATAAGCGGCATCTTATGCTTGTCTTCCATTTTGTCTTCAATAACTCCAGGAGTCTGAAAAGAAAAATTAACTAATTCTGAAGTATAATGTTTTACTGGATAAATTACCCTTGAAGTTAATGATCTGTTAGTTAAAGCTTGAGTATAGCATGCCACACTACAGAAATATATTTCGTCCGTATCACTCATCAGCTCGAATTCCTTGGCAAGACATGGCAAATCAGACACTTTTTTCCTTATTATGTTGTTCAAAATTACAATGTCGCAAAGCTTACAAAATTTAGCGGCTCCATTAAGAATACTTTGGATGTCGATCGGAGCTGAAAAAAAGAACACTCATGACAAAATGAACAAACTCACAACTATCATTCGAATACCTCCTTCTTTACCATCTCTACCTTTAGTTCTGTAAAGTCCTAATTTCTGATTAGGAGGTGTGGTTGTTCTCTCTACAATTTGGTAACTGGTAGGTGCAGGGATATGCAAAATATTAGCCAAATCTCTGAGAACACCCATTATGTTTTCGGCAGCAGATGATGTCAATGTAAGGGTCACTGTTACATTTCCAGAATCCTTGGGAACTGGCTTGGGTTCGGTTATGTTATTTGCAGAAACCTCTCTGTTTATATTTTCCTTGTCCTGAAAACATAATGTCAAAAAATGTTTTGTCAAACAGTTCATGTGCACACTTACGCCATCTTTACTCTCTTTCAGATACAATCCGCCCGCAGGTTTCAACTTTATTGGAATCGGCTTTATTAGAGGAATAATAGGAGAACACCTGCCCTTTGACTCTTTTACCTCACCCTTCTCGTCGTCCTCATCCTCACTTATGAGCTTCAATCCCGAATACCTTTCCAGCGGTTCATCCTTGAAAAATTCGGGGGATGAATTACTCAATATTGAATCAGGACTATCTTCTCTAGAAAACATGTCGAACTTCTTATGGTCGTCCGTATCAAACCTTATCAATGGAAACTCTTGGTCGTAGAAACCCCTTTGAGTAGATGCCGGTATTTTTTCAGGTAGAGGATCCAACTCTCCGTAAGGCTTTGTGTGGTAGAAGTCTGAGAAACCGGGAAGTTCAGCGTTCCCGTAGGTCCCTACTAGATCTCCAAACTGAGACGAGTAGTCGGCGGTACCAAGTTTAGACATGTCTCCAGATCCGAACACGGGTACCACCCCGTAGTTTCGGTTCAAATTCGGCTCAGATACATTCATGGAGGGCAGTTGCCTAAGCTGGGATAGCACGCCATCTATGTAACTGTCGTAATCTTCATCGACCTTGGAATTCTTCCTGGGCCTCTTTTTCGGTTGGGAAGCGAGTTCTTTGTTGAGAATTTGATTCTGCCTCCTCTTCTGTTGATACATCCTCCTCTTCTGCTTTTTAATTTCCTCTTTGTCCACCACCACCTTCTCGCTGGAAGTGTCCATCGAGTCCATCTCCTCTTTCATTTGAATGTCAGATCTGCTGTGGTTCGACATTTCGGAATGTTGTGACGATTCGTCCAAAAACTCCTTCTTGACCTCGTGCGGAGTAAGTATCGGACTCTGTTGCGGATGGGGCACCGAAGGTAATTCCTTTTTCACCACAATAGGTGGCGTTTGTAAACTAGAATCTTGACTACACGAAGATCTAGGGGTTTGGGGCGAGAGCAACTCGTCCCTGCTTGACGTCCTACTGGGAGGCAAACTCTTCTTCACGTCTATGTGCAGCTGCTGAGTTGCCGAAGAAGTTACTGGGGTTGTCTGAGGTGCAGACTGTTCGACGGTAGGACTAGACACGAATGACGTTTCTCTAATAGGGATTCTTGGAATAGTTGGAGCAGAGGTATTCGTAGTACTCACAGAGCTAGGCGGAGGCGATTGCGTACTAGCGCAAGCCGTATTCTGCAGCAGCTTTTTCAACAAGACGTTCTGAGAGTCTTCGGTTTTACTTAGAGGAGTCGACATGCTGGAAAACTTGCAGCCACCCAGATCTTGCTTTATACTCGCGATTATCGCAGCTTTATTTTCCTCGAAATTCGTCATATTTTCGCTTGGTTCTTGCTTGATATCCTCGGCTGCTTTGATCTCTTTGGATTCCTCCAAGGACCTGGTTCTGACCATTTTTGTGAGTTGTGTATGCAGCAAATTCGTGGTGGACAACACTGGTCTATAACTGGGAGCCGTAATAACTGAACTTATTGCCAAATTACTGACCGAAGATGTTGCAGCACTGGAGCTAACAGTAGACACGAAATTCGGCTGGTTTTGTACTATAGCAGTAGTGAAACCCGATCTTACCAAGTTCATCGGTGTGGCAAGAAGAGAGGCTGTCGTGAGAGATTCGGCGAAGGTCTTAGACATGGTCGTCACTATCGTTGTCGCTGTGACTGACTGATTTTGCACGACGGGTGTTAAAGGACTAGCACTGACGGAAGGTTTGACGTTAGGTTGAGCTTGCACAAAACCAGTACTGAAACCCGTTCTGGGTAAACTTATCGGAGATCCCAGAAGACTTGCCGCTGTTATAGTGTCGGCAGAAGACTTGGTTGTCATAGAAGCGGCCGGCTGGTTTTGCAACATGGCCGTCAAAGTTAACGAAGGTTTTTTAGATTCGGAATTGGTGGTTGTTGTTTTGTAAACGTTACTACTGGAAAGTGCAGTGACCGTAGTGACAATTTGTTGCGTAGCTGTAACGGTCGTAACTGGCGGTAGTTTCGGGTGATCAGGCATCAAGTGGATACCGCCCACAGTCCTGCTTTGGAGAAAACTCAAACTCGGCGCAGTACTGTTGGCAGAACTGGTTTGTTGGACACTAATAAACTGGGATTTGATAGGGCTGCTTCTTGAGTTACTTGTCGAGGTTACGATCATTTTTTGCTTCAAATTCGGTACAATGACCGTACTCATTGTCGTCACGACAGGCGATTGTCTCCCAGTCTGTTGAATAACTCTCGAGGCGACTATAGGTTGAGCTACCGCAGCGGTACTGCTAACCTTATGCCCGATACTTTTAACGACAGACTCGACATTAGTAGGCGCCGAAGTGGAAGTTGTCTGTAGCGACGACAGTAGAGTCCTGAGTTGCTGTGAAGCGTTCGCCATGTTCGTGGTTAAATCCGTGGGTTGCGACAAGGGTGAAAGTTGTGGTATGGCGGATGATTTCGATGCCGTGACGTTGATGTGTTCGATTTTGTTAGGTGGCTCTTTACGCAGATCTTTCTCCTTGGCCTCATTTTTTTTCTTGTGCTCTCTTTCCTTGAGAGTATTATTTTCCTCCAAGGTAGCGGGAGGTTCAGCCGTGATATTTTCTATCATATCTAGGACATCTTCGAACGATTCGAATTCTCTTCGTCTATTTTCTAAAGCTTGCAAGGCGATATTATCTAGCATTTGCTCCTGAGAAGGAGTTGGAGAAGGAATTGATATAACTACGGATTTAGTGTCATCTATGGAGCCACCATATGCATCAACCGTGTTGGTAGTTGAACTCATCTGCATGTGCGTTTGCGTCTCCTGAATGACCTGTGCCGTCATTTTGAGTTCGGGAGTATTGTGAATAATCATAGGCGAAGAAGTTTTCGATATTATAGGGCTAGGAACCCTATGTTTCTGAACATGTTCTTTAGATACTAGATTGGTTACTTGGAGATGTTCGATCTTTTTTGTCTGTTCCTGTTCCTTGGGTTTATAGTCGATCACAGCTTTTGGCGGAACGCAGTTATTGATAGTGACTTCAACATTCTTCGAGAATACTGGAGGTTTCGCGTCTTGAGTGGGCGATTCAGACTTGGACTTCTCTTCGAAAGAGTCTTTGGACTTGTCGTCTTCGAAATTGGAACTATCTGGAGAAACGGAGTCATCTTCAAATATCTTGTTGGGCAAGGCACTGTCGTGGGAAGTGAGCGATAGAGAGGACGATGGCTTATCTATTACTTTAACGTTCGATAGGTGTCGCACAGCGCTAGCACTTATGACGGGCACCGTGAATTTTGAAGGCAAAATTGAGGCTATTTGTGAAGTGCTAGCAGTAACTATAGTTATAGCTGGTGATACGGTGCTCACAACCTTTGTGACATTGATAACGTTTCCCCTAACAGCAGAGTTGTGAGTTAAAATGATGCTTGTAACTTTTGATGCTTGCGTTGTGTTTATAACCGTTGTTGCTGAAGGTGTTAGGATGAGTTTGTCTGCAACCGTCTTGGCGCTATGTACTACAGAATTGCCGATGAGAGAAATTTTTGGAGTCATTTTCTGTGGTACATTGGTAACTCTACCAGTATTTTGCGGTGGAGTTTGTATGGTTTGAACGTTTTTGGTATAATTGAAAATATTAGCATACTTGTGAAAGTCGTTCAAGTGTTTAGTGGTAATTTCTCTTTTAGACAAGTTATTTTTTCTGGATCCTTCGTCAATAAGTTCCTCGAAATCTTCTTTTGTCGAAATCGAATCTTCGGGAGACTTGTTATTTTGATCAATAATCAGCAACTCAGAACCGTCATAATTATTCAAGCCTTCTTCATCGATTGCTTCAGGAGATGGTTCTGCAGTCATCTCTTCTTGATCCGGCGATTCCGGCGCGCCGTGCATGTTCAATAGTTCGCCAGTATGGGGAACTAGGTTATACTTTTTGGTTTTTCCTTGCATTATGAACTCATCGTCGCTGGTTGTAGGACTCCTAATGACTATATGCATGTTCTCCCCCGTGTATTCTCCTTCTACTTCTTCATCTTCTTCTTCTTTGTCAGAATAATGGTTTCCAGGCATATCAACGACCATATTTCCTGGAAACAACAGATACTCGTCTGCTATCTGGTCGGATTCCAGAGGACTGGATAAACCTTCCGTTAAATCTTGCTGAGACAAAGTCTCAATTTCCACCATTTCATCCCCGTCATTTTGGGCCACGGAACTCAATGAAACTTCTGCCGAAAGAACAGTGTTTGTGTCATCGTCATAATCCATCATATCTAGCTGCTTGTTGTCTGGACTATGTAGTTCTATAACTGATTCTTTGGATCTTTGCCTCTCTAATATCTTCTTGGGCAGCGTTTTTTGTATGGCGCCTCTACCAACGGATGTTAAAGGAGGAGGAGTTACAGGAGGAGTGGACGAACTGTCGTCCAAGTCGTTGTAGTCTGTACTTACGAGAGAACTAGCTTTTCCAGCAGCCGTTGACTGGAAATTCATTTTTGAAGCAACCTTTCTCTTGAGAATAGACACCTTACTCAGGTGAGATTCTTTTCTAATCTTCTGAACTGCATTCGATTCCGAATTAACTTTATCATCGATTTTATTCACATTAGGAGGAGTAGGAATTCTCTTAGCGCCCCTTCCATAGTTCCACATAGGGGATCCGCCTCTCAAACCGAGTTTGATGTATCCAAACCTACCGAAACCTGTCGGAAGAGGTATTGGATTGCATGGATTATTGGGATTACCACCTCCACCGCCTCCTTGCATGTTATCTCTTTGGTTATTTTGATTATTAATATCATTATTAAAAAGTCCGAGGTTATTCATCCCACTGTCATTCCCATACTGCATGGAATGACTATTTTGACTCAATGTCTCTTGCATTAAGTGTTCAATAGAATATGAAGGTCTAGGCGTAGTTGGATTTTCTTCGCTACGAGGTCTGTCAGGCATAGCTGGACTAGAGCTGGCACTAGGAGGCCTTCGCATACTGTGGGGAGATTGGATCGGATTAACCATGGGACTCCTGGGCATAGGAGAGCTTGGTGGTTGATATTGCCCATGTGTCATTGGACTCGTTGGAGGTTGACCCATCCCTTGATGGAAAGCTGGACTTCTTGCAGCTGGGGAGTTGGGATTCGGTTGAGAATTCCCAAAACCAGAAACCATGGGACTTTTCGGAGGCATTTGCATTGGCGATGGAGGCATAGAATGAGGAGACATGATTTGTTGGTTGACCATCGGGCTCTTAGGAGGCATTGGCGAATGTGGAGGATTTTGTTGTTGTTGCTGCTGCTGCTGCAGGTGCAATCTACCAGCTGCCTGGATCTGTGCGATTTGTTGCTGCTGCTGTTGCTTCAACTGTTTCTGTTGTTGAATCATCAACTGATGTTGTTGAGGGGTTAAAGGTTGAGGACCTACTGGTTGCTGTACACTCTGCTGTCTTATCAGATTTCTGTGTTGCAAAATCTGAGCTGTACGCTGCGAATGCATCACATTAGGGTCAGCTTGGGTGGCTTCTGCATTCTGTTGTTGCTGCTGCTGCTGTTGTTGTTGCTGTTGTTGCAGTAGAGCTTGTTGTTGAAACTGCTTTTGCAGATGTAGTTGATGTGTGATACTTAATTGCTGAGGTGATGGACTATGCAAGGGTGACAGTGTGCCTGGTTTCTGTTGGAAATTCGGCATTGGTGATTGCATTCGAATTCGTTGTTGAATAACAGCGTTTGTTACAAATCGCATTTGAGTATTGGCGACGGGGCTCGTAACTACTCTTCGATGTTGGGGCGAAGTCATTCGAGGAACAGGTGGCGGAAGACATACTTGAGAGGGCGATTGAGATGGACCTGGACTTCCTTCACCTTGATATTGACGAAAAAAAAAAAATACTAGTTGAGAACTCGGAGTTTAAATTACTTTATACTGTATGTCATGGAATTGACCGATATTTGAAGGAAATCCATGATAATGTTTCAAGTTACACTTAATTGTGAAATTTTCACAAAACGGTTATTAAACCCGGCACAAATGTTTCACTATACAATAGCTTCTTCAGGAGTGTTCATGCATCTGAAGAAGTGATTGTAATGTTTAGTGAAAATCTTTAAATTATTAATTTTTCAGATATTTCGTTTCATAGAGAGAGAGAGAGATAGGAACAATAACAATACAGCCAGAGGAAAAAATAAAAAAAATAAAATTATGCAATACGAATAAGTTCAGCGGTGTTGCCAAGTTCATACTGAATGTTAGTGACGTCATGATTGACGTTTTTACTCGATTATTGACAAAAAATTGCAGAGTATGAAATGAGGTATGCACTATTATACATGTAGTTTTCGGCTATGCGGTTATCCTAATATCCGCGTAAAGGTCGATTAAGACTTTCCTATTAGAACACAGTGGTATTGAGTGCATGATCACGCCAGTGTTTTCGCTTAGAAGTTTAAGATCATCATAAAATGTTTAACTCCGACATCTTAAGTAATGTGACAAACACATAGACCTTATGTGTGAAATGTTTTGTCAGTGAATGAATAGTCTGAACGATCCACTTTCCTAGTTTGGGTACATTGTAATTGTTACTATACATTTCAACGTAAAAATAAATACACTTCTACAGGTATTTATAACAATTTGATATTATTTTTGAAAGTTCAGGATGAATTGGCCAATGTAACACAAAATTCATTATTTTTTTTAGTCTATTGTGTTTCTTTCTGTGAAATCTCGCAGATTGAAAGTTAAGACATTTTCTTTTTTTCATTTGATCAACTCAATTACCAAGAAAGCAGTTACTGCTATAGCTTGAATTTGTTTGTTAATTTAGTTATTCAAAAAAAGCAGCTATGATTATTGGGAGTTCATATCAACGTATGTTATAGTGGATTTTCATCAAGCATCGGTCAGTTTTACAGTTCATATCAAATAAATTCAATACATGTCATCAAGAGTGTGATAACATAACTTATGTATTAAAGGGTAACTTTAATTTCCAACCTAAAACTGACAGTTAATAAATAACCTAACATTAAAAAGAGGGTTTATTACCTGAACTTGGCTTCGTTTTGGCGCTTGGTGTAAATACCAAGAGAACTTCAACAGAAAGGAAGAAAGAATATACCTACCAAAGATCTGGCACACAGCTTCGAAAAGCGCCAAAACGAAGCCAAGTCACCCAAATTGCGCGAAAAATCAGCACTATAACTGACTCGGCAGAAACGAGAGCTTCAGTTTCAGTTGACACGTCAACAAGAGTACTTCTACCACGCCACTGAAGATGACCACGGCAAAACCCAGAAACCAACCAAAACAGGACAGTTCCCAATTTCGAGAAAGCAATACGATTTGAGAAGTACATATTTTAGGTTAATTTTTCAGTTCTTTTCAACATAAATATACGTTGCAACTGTTTTTGATTTTCATGAACCATAAGAAGTGAACAGTAACTGATAAACAGATTCACATTTTATAAATTGCCTAAAAATATCAATCACACAAACTATGTTTCCAGGTTGTTGGATATCCTTGAAACCGAATGGGAAATGGAGGAGCTAATTTCATTTCATTTTTATTTGTCTCAAGAAAATTTTACATTTTATAGACACGTCCAAACATTAACCCAAATAACTAAAGATAGGTGGTAGAATAATTTGTAGTCTTGGGAATATAATCGAGGTTGACAATAATTGTGATATATGATATTGAAGAATAAAAACATATATGATCTACATACAAGATAAAATACA